GATTGTGTATGCTCGGATTTGAGGCAGTGCCTTGTGAATGAAAATGGTGGGAGCATGTGACTTAGATTTATAATTAGAGTTTATTAATGTGGGAAAATAAATATTTAAACGAGAAATACGAGTATTCCGTCTAGATCTCTTACCAAGTTTCTTATAATAAACATTAGCAAATGATTCTGTTTTTAAAAAGAAACGATTGTGGGACAGAAATATATGATGGATAGAGGACGATACGGACATGACTGGTCCGAACGGGACATGACGAGACGGGTCGGGACGGGACGGGTTGGGACGAGACAGGAAGGGACGGGTCGGGACGAGACGGAAAGGGACCGGACGGGTTTTTCATTCCAAACTATACGTAAAATAATTCAAACTAAAGCCAAATCCAAATCCGATTTAACATCTCTAAGGAAACGGTTAGAAATGTTTTGATTATTTTAAAAAATAAACATGTAGTATCATTTAACATTTTCATTTAAATTATTTTAAAACTATATTAAGTAAACAATATTTATATTTTACAACTGTATGTCTATGTATAGTTTTTCAAATAAACTTATATAACAAACTTTTACCAAAATCGTATCTACATAAAAAAAAATTTGTAGTTTTGCAAAAATAACCCCGCACGTACGTGCGGGTCCATCACTAGTAACCCATAAAGCAACCCATCCATGGTATCTCCGGCCGCTAAACTTTACTAATACGCCACAAATTTTCTCTTCTTTATAGTAATTAAACCACTTGAAAAGTAATTAAAACGTTTCTAAAAAAGACAAGTTTGAATATTTTGACCCAAAAAGCAGTAAAAAAACAAAAGGGACCAACTTTGAATACCAATATCCCATCTTTTGATCTGGTCTTTTCCCAATAAACGACAACACAAGGCTCACCAAATCAGCTACGGGTTCAATCATCATTAGCAAGTTGTCGAACTTCACCCTACAATTAAATGTTCCTATACTATTTCAAAGTTTGAATCTTCCTCTCTTGTTTTTTTCGTTTCTCCATTGACAAAAATCAGACTTTTATTTAACTCGTTTGATTGACCAAGAACCACAAGAGGAAGAGAAAATCAAATGGGTTTTGGGAGTTAGATTTATTGATTTGATGATTATTCAACAAATCTTACAGAAGTTGCTATGTAATTTTGGTTACGACCAGTCTTAATCAAAGTGGTTCGACTCTCAAAACGAGTTTCTACTTTGTCATTTAAAAAGTGTATATTTCTGTTGGGAGTTTCTCTTCTCCTACCACCTCTTTGTTGACCTTTAATGCTGGACTCATAGTTGTGCGCAAAGTGACACAAAGGGTAGAGAAACAAAATTTTAAAAAAAAAAAAAAATCGATCTTGGAGATTTTTATTGTTCTGGGGCGATCCTGTTTGGTTGCCAAGGAAGTGAGCCAAAACAATGGGGATCGTTTCAGAAGAAGCCATTGATGAATTCCAAGAGCTGATGGATAAAGGTCTGACCTTTTCCTCTTCCTTTTCCTCTGTTTCTACTTTGATTCCTATTTAGAAATTACTGAATCTGGTAAAAATTTGTGCTAGCTGAGGAGCCATTGAAGAAAACATTTGAGGTATGTTTGTATTTTTGTTAGAGCTGTTCTTGGAAATGGGTCAAACCCCTATTCGACTGACCAGATCATAGATTCAGAGGTTAAAACTGAACCTTAAAAGGAAGGTGTTTTTGTGAATCTGCAGAGGGTCCATCAGGGATACCTGAGGGAGAATTTGGGTCGTTTTCTGAAAGCAAGAGACTGGAACGTATGCAAAGCTCACATAATGGTATCTCTCCAAAACTCTTATGTGGTTTCAGTGACTCCACATGTTGTCTTGTCTGATTAACACCGTTTCTAACTAACTTTCAGCTTGTTGAGTGTTTGCGTTGGAGGGTGGATAATGAAATTGACAGTATCCTATCCGTGAGTTAATTCATTCCTTCTTTCCTTGGTTTGATCTGGTTTGAGAGCTGAACTTCGACCTTCATGCTTTTGGTTTCCGCAGAAACCCATTGTTCCTACTGAGTTGTATAGGGATGTACGAGATTCTCAACTAATAGGGATGTCAGGTTACACCAAAGAGGTAGCCTCCTTAGTTCCCATGATCCATTTCCTTTTCTGATCAAAATAGATTCTATGTTATTGATATTTGCTTGTTTCTTGATGTTTAGGGCTTGCCTGTCTTTGCTATTGGCGTCGGCCTCAGCACATTTGACAAAGCTTCTGTAAGATGCTTCATTGTTTTCTCGCACTTTTGACAATCAGATGCGAAACAAAAACTGAATGTTTTTCTCTTCTTCCGCATACAGGTTCACTACTATGTCCAGTCCCACATACAAATCAATGAATATAGAGACCGTGTATTACTGGTGAGTAGCTACACTCTTCTTTTTTCGGTTTCCCTCTTGATGTAACGAGTAAAACACTGTTACAGCCTTCTATGTCTAAGAAGAATGGGAGGCCAATCACCACATGCGTCAAAGTTCTAGACATGACAGGGTTAAGACTTTCAGCTCTTAGCCAAATCAAGGTATGATAATTCACCTCTGCAAACAAATTTAGTTCATAACTAATGATACCGCAAGATGTTGGATTCAGTTTCCTACTTTATTTACCAACTTTATGTGTTAACAGTTAACACTTTAATGCAGTTACTGACTATCATATCAACGATCGATGATCTAAACTATCCAGAGAAGACAAACACGTACTATGTTGTCAATGCCCCATATATATTTTCCGCATGTTGGAAGGCAAGCCTCTTTGATCTTCTTTTGTTTGTAACTCCGGGTGTTTAGCTGTTTAGCACGTATGTATAATTCAATGAGCTCCTACCAGGTTGTAAAACCTCTTTTACAAGAGAGGACGAGGAAAAAGATTCATGTCTTATCTGGTTGCGGAATGGATGAATTATTGAAGGTATATGTATATGCATTTACTTTCTTATGATCTTCCTGTGAAATGCAATTTTGTCTAAATATTGTGGTTTTTGTAGATTATGGACTTCACATCCCTCCCACATTTCTGTAGAAGAGGAAGCTCTGGGTCATCTCACCACACTCAGAGCGCAAATTGTTTTTCTATCAATCATCCCTTCCATCAACAGCTATACAACTATGTAAAACACCATTATGAAACCCAGGGACAAGCAGAACCTGCAAAGCAAGGATCGTTCCACGTGGGATTTCCTGAGCCTGAAGCTGAACGCTGTGTGATAGCCAAAACCATAGAATCAGAACTGCACAAGTTTGAGAATTGCAACGGTCTGGCCATGTCCATTGGTGACAGAAAAGCAAGTCATGAAAAACTGAAAGATGATGAAACCTGAATGCTTCTGAGGGAAATCCTCTCAGGTGCCTTCACAGTTAAGATATATATATATATATATATATTTTTTTACGGTTTGAGCTGGCAAAGTAAGCGAGTACCGAGCAGTGTTCTGTCCTTGAGCCATACAAATGTAAAGCGAAAAGAAGAGAATAAATCTTGAATTTAATCAATAGGTGACTTAATGGTATAGTGTTATTTGATCCTCTGTTGTAGCAAAATTATTTGTTGGAAATCTACCTCTCATTATCCTAAGCATTTGGGTGAGCCTGTAATTCTCTTGTTCTGTGATGCGCTCTTTGGCTAAAACGACAACAGTTTTAGGCTTCTAGATTATGCTCAACTTATCTGATTCTTCTCGCTCTCTAAATTCCTAAAAACTATTGCAAATGCTCATTTGTAGACGTTGGTCAAGGTAAACATCATTGACTGCAACAGTGCAACATTTCACTTCAGAGTGTCTACTAACTCAGACATTACGTCTCAATTTCTAACACACTTTTTATTGCATCAAAGTACAAAGTTAAGCATTCTTGTGACACAAACTTAAACCATATAATAAGCTATGCGTTATTCTTGTATAAATAACGCATATTTCTGGAGACAACATCTCTTAGCTTCAGAGTGCCGAATATGCAATTGTCTTCTCCAATCTGTGCCAACATGCCAACACGTTGAAGTTAAAAGGTTTAGTGTTGGGAAGTATTACTTGACAAGTGATCTCGTATGCTAACGCTAGCTTACCAGAGTTAAAGAAGGAGCTTACATGAACTCTAAGACAAGGGCTGATGCTCCTCCTCCACCGTTGCATATTGATGCCACTCCATACTTTCCCTTCTTTGCTCTCAACACCTGAATTAGAAGTGTTCAACCATTTTCAGGGTGGATTCAATTCAACACCGTTGTTGCCTGGTCTTACAACTTACCCCCAATAATGTCACCAAGATACGAGCACCACTGCATCCCAGTGGATGTCCAAGTGAAACTGCCCCTCCATGCGCATTCAGCCGTTCCTGTTTATATATTCATCATCAGAGAGTCAGAGACTGAAAATTAAGTCTGAAACATCCACAACTGTACTTGTTTCATGACTCACAGGATCTAATCCCAGCAGTTTCTGATTGGCTAGAGCTACTACCTGTGGGGAAACAAAACAGTCAGACCTCTTTATACAAACACAACAACTATAAAACACTGAGAGTTCAGTAAGTGGGTTTACAGAAAAGGCTTCATTTATTTCATAGTAATCCACTTGAGATGCATCCAAACCAGCCTGCTTTATAGCTTTAGGAATAGCAAGAGCCGGCGTGGTTGTGAACAATTCAGGTGCCTGAGCAGCATCAGCATATCCTCTAATCTTAGCAATAACATGCAGTCCAAGCTCAATAGCCTTCTCTCCACTCACCAGCACTAACGCTGCCGCACCATCACTGTCCACAACGTAAAGCAGAGGCAGTAAGTGGTTGTTGGAAGTAAACAACACAAAATGCCAGCAGAGTTACAAATGAAAAAAACTAAGAAACAAAGTTAAGAGAGAAAAGAGGACCTTATACTTGATGCATTTCCAGCAGTGACTGATCCATCCTCCTTGAAACTCGGTCTAAGCTTCTTTAACTTGGCGGCATCAAACTAGTTCATGCCAAACAAAGTTCAGATCAATCAAGGCTGTCCCAAGAGAAGCAGCTGTTCCTAAACTATTTTTACCTTCCCCAATCCTTCATCCTTGTCAATAACTATCGAAGGCCTCCCTCTTCCAGTGGAAACTTCGACCTATCAATATTGAGTGTATGAACAATATTCCATTAAAATGCCATAAAGTGAATTCCTGGAATGCATGGAAAGGAGAGGTGTACCGGAACAATTTCCCAAGCAAACAACTGAGTGTTTTGTGCAGAAATACCACGCTCAAAGCTCTGGATAGCATAAGCATCCTACAAAAAGTAAAAGTTTATACGTAAAGAGAATCAGCGAGACAGTCTTATCAGTCATGATTCTACGGAAACAAACTGGAAAGACAGATCAAGGTTGAACATAAGTGACCTGTTCTTCTCTTGTAATATGGTGCTGGTCAGCGCATATTTCTCCACAAACTCCCATTCCAAAGTCATTGTAAACATCCCAAAGTCCATCTTTCATCATACCATCAACAACAGTGTCATGGCCTAACCGAGAACCCCTTCTGCTAACAGATATCAGAGTAGAGAATAAACGAGAAAGCTTTTTCGAGATGAGAAAACAGATTGAATCTGCCTCTCTTGGGGTTCTATCTACAAAGTTTGAGTTACGAAACTCAGAAAGCACCTTGCGTCTGGGAGGTACTTAGGTACATTTGACATGCTCTCCATACCACCAGCCACAACAACATCATTCAAACCGAGCTGGATACTTTGAGCCGCTAGCATTACAGCTGAGCTTACAGGTGAAGTATAAGTAGTAATGGAGATCATCTGGAGTAGAAGAAGAGTATTAAAAGGTTATTACCTTTCATTCCTGCAGCACAGACTTTGTTAACAGTGGTGCAGATCACCGAATAGGGAATCCCGGCACCAAGTGCAGCCTGTCTTGCTGGTGCTTGCCCAAGATTAGCGGTTAAGACATTGCCAAAGAAGACCTCTTCCACAAGGGCCGGATCAACATTTGCTCTTCTAAGAGAGGCTGTGAGAGAGGGTATGAAGCAGTAAGAAAATGAAAACTTGCTGAATCAGAGAGAAAGAGAGAGAAGGTAGTCGTAAAATTACCTTCAATGGCTATGGACCCAAGTCTTGTGGCAGTCAAAGACGAGAGAGAGCCAAGGAATCCCCCCATAGGCGTTCGCGCGACTCCCACAACACAAACATCTGCACCCACAGGAACTCAACTGCTTAAGTAAAGGAAAAATACATGATCCAACTAGAAAACAGAACAAACAGGAACAAAACACACAAGCTCGAGAAAGAACCTCGAGGCTGTACGGAATCATCAGAGAAAGATGGAGCCATAGAAGTCACCGAAGAAATGATGTCCGAGGTACGTACGCCTGCCAAGTAAGAAAAATCAGATTATGATGAGAATCAACACAAAGATCACGACTTTGGGTTTTGGACCTTTGGTTTGGTGGCAGATGAGGACGATCAGGCTAGTGTTAAGATTACGAGGAAACGAGAAAGAGAGAGTTCATAATTGACTCAAAAAGGAAAAGGTGGATATAAAGATAACAACAAAGTGTGTGTGTGACGTAAGATACCAATATCAATGTCGGTTCTGTTGGATTCTCTAAACCAAGCCAAGTTTTCATTATTGGTATGTTATACCAATAGGTTCCACCCCACCTTGGTATGCGTGATTGATTATTGCCAGGTTTTGTCCATTTCTTCAAGTTAAAGTTTTTATTAGCAAGGTAAGAAGATATATGAGATTCGGCCATTGACGGTAGTCTACCTGTGTAGACGACAACAGGGAGGAAGAGAAAGGAATAGTACAATAATGTATCTCGAAGTAAGGTTTTTAAAGCCGTTTCACATTTCACTTGGAAACAAAGACATATTGCAATTATACTAGGCAAACGGATCTCGTGTTACAAAGTACAAGCTACATAATACCCTATTGCTACTTCTTTGTTCCAGGAGGATCAATCAACTTTATCTTCAACTCAATCTCACCCGATTCAACAGCACACAGCCTCAGCCACACACTCTGCACCACCTCTCCGTCTACGCAACTGATTGTGCTCTCCCGGGATACGCAGTTCTCTGGATCCGGTAACACTTTCCTAAGCGTTGTCTCACCAGAGGACACGCGGACTACGTGTCTTAGTCTGGCAACTGAGATAAGCGGTTGAAGGCTGAGGGAGGCATGACCCATCTTGTCATCTGCCTTGAACCTATCTTTATCAAACACTTCCTGCACCACCCAATTTAACAATCTCAGCATCATCATCATCATGGTCACAAGGGAAAGATTCAATGAAGATTTAGACATACCAATACCAGAACTGCTGCAGGATCTTTCAGTGTGAAGCTCAGTGCCTCATCCCACACTGGATTCAGGCAATTGTTGATCACTTTGGTCTTGGCTGACTGGTTTTAAAGACAGTAAAACATCACATTAACACAACGAGACACTTGTGTTCCTTGGTAGAAACACAAAACACTAGTTCTAATTGCGAAAAGAACCAATGCAAACTGACAAAACATACCTCATTCCCTAATTTGACTATCACATAAGGATCACTTGATTTGAAATCTCGGATCACCAATTTCTTCCCTTGAATAACAGTCACCTGGAGCAGTCCAAGCGGCTCGCCCATCTCAGATTCTACAAACACAAGCTACCAACTTTAGGAACTTGACACACTGACTAGTCGTGAATAACAGAGCTAAAGCAACTGTCTTTGTTCCTACCAAAAAAAAAAAGCAACTGTCTTTGTTAGAAAATCAACTGAATATGATAGAGAGAGACGAGTAAGCCAACATTCAAATCACTCAGTTTGGGAGCTTTTTTGATATACAAAACAAAATTCTTGGAAAAGATTTACACTAGATCAGGCCAAATGACGTCAATCTACAGACACACCAACTAGTCAGTGAGTAAGGCACAGAAAGATACCTAAATCGCAATCAGAACTTGAGCAAGAAACAAAACACTGAGGACTCTGCAAATGTTACAAATCCAAAAAAAAAAAAAAAAAGTCTCTAACTTTGTGAGTTGAAATACTCGAGTCTTATAACAAAACCAAGAGACAAAAATTGAAACCCAACTTAACCTTTTCACCAAAAAAAGAAAATTCGAAACCCTAAAGAATGAGTAAAGTAGCGACGAATGGTACGAACTGAAAAGAAAGTTTCTCTGAGAAATTTGCCAACTTCAAGGGGAAAAAGAAGAAAAGAAGAAACGGTAAGAGACAGCCGAGAGACAGATGATTACGCAAACAACTTTACCAGTTTGGAGACAAAAATACAAAAATCGTCTTCCTTGAGATTAACGCAGCTACTTACACCCTTTGTACAAGGAGCCAGGGAGGTCTAAACTCTAAAGCAACGATGCAAATTATTTACTTTTTAATTGAAATACATTTTATACAACTACTAAAGAATGTTTGACCAAACATGTTTCTTTTGACTGTAATAGTTAATCTTGTAAAAACTGATTTTATATTTGATTCTTGAACAACGTAGCTAGCTGTAACGGTATTGAATTAACTACTACTGCAAAAGGGTAGGTGAACCTAACCCTCGTTATAAATTAAAATTACTGTGAGTGAATCAAACTCTTTTTGTTTTGTGTGGCCCGGTACCAAAATATATTTAAAAAGAAAGAAAAAAAAGGAAGAAAACTTTTAAAAAACTGTTGTTTACATGCTTGGAATCAGAGATGGTCTCTGACACGCTTTGACTCGGTCTAACCATTAAAGATCCATTTATTTTACTAGAGGCTCCATAGAACCAATTTTGATGTAATAAGCATTTCACATTTCATTTATACTAGCATCATATAATGTTTTAAGTATTCCATATTTCATAACAAGAAATTTTAGTGTTATGATGAATCATTTGGGTGTTACGAAGTCTAACATTGAGATTTGGCCTGATTGTTCTGTTGCTATTTTATATTTGATGCAGCAACTGATCGTTTTAGTTTCCCAAAAGATTGATTGGTCTGGTCCTATCTTCACCATTAAATGAGTGTGTGTGTACACAAAAATAGATAATGGGCTTAAAAGATTTGATTTTCGTCAGAAGAAACAGAATAATAAATAATGGCCCAATAAGGCCCACATTAAAGAGCGAAAACCCTAAAACAACAGAAGAAAAAACCCATCGTATATAATTAATCTTTCGGCTGCACTAACGCCTCCTTGCACTTCTTTTGTCTCTCTTTCTCTCGCTCTCATCTTTCTCGAAGGTTAGTTTCCGATTAAAATTTAGCATTTTTGTTCCGTTTCAGTCTTGCTGATTCATGTCTGACTGTTTTTTGATTTTACTTTAATCGTGGATTTTTTTTTTTTTTTGGTTTTTGAAGTTGTTTATATCATCGTTTCAGGGATAATTAAAAATGTCGACAGTGGGAGAGCTAGCTTGCAGCTACGCTGTTATGATCTTGGAGGACGAGGGTATTGCTATAACGGTATATATATTTCATTCTTCTTTTCCTTTTGTCTCTCATTGCTTTATTAAAACGCATGGGTCTATTGCTAGTCAGCTAGCTCTTAATTGGTCTCATTGCATCCTAGTTAAGTTTAGTGATTTGGGTGGTCACATCTTGAGGTGTAAATAAAGTATTTAGTGTTTTAGGATTTGTGGACTTTGCAGTCAAGAATTGATCTAAGGATGTTTATGTCTGAACGGATTTTGAGGTTTAGCTTGAGGGTTTTGACACGGATTTACCATCTTTTCTTGTGTTTGTTTATATATATCATTTGAATTTGTTGTGTGTGTGTGTTGATTAGGCCGACAAAATCGCCACTTTGGTCAAGTCTGCTGGTGTCGATGTTGAGTCATACTGGCCAATGTTGTTCGCCAAGATGGCTGAGAAACGTAATGTCACTGATCTCATCATGAACGTTGGTGCTGGAGGTGGAGGCGGTGCTCCGGTTGCTGCTGCTGCTCCAGCTGCTGGCGGTGGTGCTGCAGCTGCTGCCCCTGCCGCTGAGGAGAAGAAGAAGGTAAAACTGAAATAACAAGTTTTCTTTGCTTTATAAAGATTATTCTGTTTTTCATCTATCTAATTTTTTGGAGGATTTGTTTTTCTAGGAGGAACCAGCAGAAGAGAGTGATGAAGATTTGGGTTTTGGCTTGTTCGATTGATTTCATTTACTTGTTTCTCTTCTTGGTAGTTGGTCATATCGATTTTTTCGTGTCAGAGTTATTACTTTTTTGGTCTGGCTGAAGAACTAATAGTTGTTTTTTTGAACCATATGTTGTATGACTCAAGTTTCCTTGCAAACCAATCGGCTTGTGCTTTTGTTAGAATTTATTTTGTTTCTTATTCTTTTTTGAATCCATTCAAGGTATAGGTCTTGGCTAAATAATACGTCAAGCCATAAAAAAATAAACCTAAAGAAATTAGTCACACGAGCAATAGAGACAGACACACGAGCTTTGTTGTAGGTGAAAGTACCTTTTGAGACTTTCGTGTGAATTGGTTGGGGAACGTTTTGTTGTTGATAAAGTTTGGGATTAGAGAATATTATTCCCATTTATCTTTTACAGATAGATTATCCTTTCAAAAGAAAGTTTTATTTCAGTATCCTTCTTTTGAAGTCATAAGGTTAAGAAAGACTTCCAAATTTCGCATATTATTCAGTGTACAAATGATAATAAAAGAAAGAAGTTTTTTATAAGAAAATTGTGGCAAAGTATTTTAGTTCACAAGAGAATAGTACGTTGTGTTAAGAAATGTAACTTGTAAATATTACTGAAAACAAAAAACAACCCTAGAAAATAAACAAACACACAGAGGCTACAATACATGACCACATACGCTTCTGGAGGAGCTTCTTCTGCCTATTATTCATTCCATCATGGTGGTTAGAACAAGTATGTATCACTAACCCTACAAATCTCACATTTTTTACCACATATACACCACATCAATCCAGAGACCACCAATACTTCAGGACAAACACCGCAATTTCTTTGTGACAAGCTCTTTCACATTATGTTGCTTTCCTCGAGCTTGACTTCCCCACTTTACTTTTCCACGCTCCCTGCACACACATTCAAAAGTAAAGCACATATCAGAACTTTCTGGCTATATTGCTTGTAATATTTAAGAGGAAGGTAGGTAAGTACAAGAGTCTCATTGTCAGAAGTCTCAGCATCCTCAGCATCATGCTCAGATTCTGTCTCCATTTCTTTGTTTTCTTGTTTCCCTTCAGTATCTGAGTTATCATGTTCAGCTTCTTTCCCCTCAGCGTCCCCACTCAACTCTGTTTTTGCCTCCTGTAAATCTTCTTCCATATTTAAAACTTCATCATCATCCTCGCCTTCTTTCAACGACTTTCCTTCAGACTCTGATTTTTCTTCGCCAACCTCCCCACTATATTCTGTCCCTGATTCTGTGCCTGATTTCACTCTTTTTCCTTTTTTCTTTCCAGCAACTTCACCTACTTGAAATTTCAAAATAGAATAACTCAGTAAAAAATATATATATTGTATTGTGTAATATGATTAACGCCGTTGTTGTATGTATATTTGCATGATAGTAAATAGGTTGAAAGGATTTAGAAACAGAGGATCCCAATGGAGCTTACTAGGCATGGCAGAAGATCGATTTTTCCTGTTTCTGTTTTCTGGTTTCTCATGTTCTAAAGAGAGACTTCTTCGTGTGCCTTTTGGGTGTGTATGTTTTAGGTTTTTCTTTGGAGTTCTTTTCCCTTTTGGCCTACAAAAGACAGCAGTCCCGGTAAAACAAAATGTTTAACAGAAGAAATGCAGAAGATACGCAAAAAATAGGGGAAAAAATCAATAAATGACCCGTATTATTTGGATTTCTAATGACAGAATTTCGCTTACGTAGTAGAAATTGGCTCTTCATCCTTTTGTAGGCTATCCGAACTCTTAAGCTTACTTTCAGAAGATCTAAACAAAACAAAAGAAAACTATTGTTGTGAATAAGACTAAAGCAAAATACAAGGCGAACTGCACTACAAAAAGATGCAATATCTGCAGTTGCAGAGAGTAAGTGCTACCTTTTCTTATTGGAACTTCCCTTTGATGTTTTGGACTTCTGCAGTAGGTACAAATACTGTAAGCATATTTATTAAGCTAAAAGGAACAAACTCGGTAGATGATTAGAAATGGTGAAGATAAACTGAAAATAGAACCCGAAAACCAGAAAATGAACCTTCGCAGGCTTTCTACCGGTGTCTATGAGCTCCCACCGTTCTTTATCTAGGTTAAGTACTTCAACATCTCCATCCTCGTAAAGTATCTGCGATATCATATGGATAAAGTACAGAGTTGGCAGGACCAACTAACCCAAGAAAAGGACAAAGAAGAAGCAAAGTGCTGAAAGCTTACCACATGTCTCTGTTTTGTGGAATCATAAGATTTCACTGTCCCTTCATAAAACCTATTTATTTCACCAAGATGCAATTTCAGGTGAGATAAATGTAAAAAAAGATACCAAATTTTGTTGGAAATGAATGATTGCATCAGAGGAATTCTATGTAACAAAGCTTCTATAAATGGGCACAAGACAAATTAACTCCTTAACAGTGTAGATTTGCATGGATGTCAGAATAACAAAATTCGAATGAAGACAATGAGACCACTTTTGCACTGTCAATCCGAAGAAAGTCACTTCAAATATGCTTACCGTTTATCCATAGGCCACCAAACATCTATTCTGCAACCGATCAGTTCATCATTTACCAATTTATTTTCGTTTGTCGAGCACTGGACAAGAAATTATGTCAGACAAAATGTTCAATTACCACAAAAGTGACACATCAATGGAAGGAAGGTAAAGCTCCACACCTTAACCAATCCTGACATGTTTTTTCTTTTTCGCTTCATTGATCCAGAAGCAGACTTTAATTTGCTATCACCACTTTCAGCTGACCTACTCTGCTTTTGTTCGAGTAGAAAAGTTTGCATATTGATTAAATATCAATAAGTTGAACTAGAGTGAAATAAAGCAAAGGGTAAAATGCTATTGATGATTTGTACCCTCTCACTGTAGTTGCCACCTTCGCTTTGATTTTCCAGATCAGTGAGAGCCCAATCAGAATCTGTAATCTTTACTTTTGATGATAAGCTTTTCTTTCTCTTTCGGGGAGAGATGGTTTCTAATCTTTTCTCCAGGTCTGAATTTTCATCCTGCGAGTCCAAAGAGGCATTTTTGTCTATGTCTCCCTCTTGATGAAACTCTTCTTCAGAAGCTTTTAATGGAACTTTAGAACCACTATTTGAAAATTTGTAAGGACTATGGCCAGAAGATGATCTCCTGCGCTTAGGGACCGAAACTACCGATGTTGCATCACCAGCATTCTTTTTGTTATCATTGAGATCTCTTTGACATATGTCTACTCTCTCACCAGTGGGATGTTTGTGTCCATTACTCGATTCGAATTTATCTAGCATTTGCAAGTGATCAAAGTTTATCTCCCTCACCATCTTCAAAACATCAACATCATTTTTACCATTCTCATCTTCAGCTGGTACAGATTTATTCTTTTTGCCCTTTCTAGTCTTTGTTCCCTGAGCTCTCAAACGCTCTACAATTTTACCCAGAGGAATTTCATTTCCATCACTTTCTCCATCAATCATAACCTCATTTTCTGAAGTTTGGGGTATTACCTGCAAGGGAAAAGATGGATAAATACAGAAATCACTAGGTACCGCAACACAGATTTAAGAGTTAAATAACATACAGAAGCATCAGCATGACTCTCCAACTTCAGATCCCTGAAGTGTGCCACCACAGTCTCATCAGCTAGCCACAGTTTCTCCTCACCTACCTGACATGGGTTATAAAACACAAACCAGGAAAATATATGAGGTTAAACGCCACGAATCTATAAGCAAAGGCGGCAGACAGTAATATTGCCAAAGATTAAATGAAGCAAACTCATCATGAAAATTTGCGCACACAACCAAAAATCTTCTGGGTTCTTACCTGAGACTTGTCACTTTCAACTTTTTCAAAAGGTTTGTAAAGAGTCGCAGGCAGCGATACAGGTGTGATTTCCCCTTGTACATCAGGCTCTTTCTGAGTTAAGCGATTGATTATTGACAGCCCAAGCTCACAGATCGCATGTGAGTTCTGTTAATATAAGGTATGAGATGTCAGCTCCATGGCACCACAACAATGACAAGTAGTGTGATTCATTGTACCGGCATGCTTAGAATCATTACAAAAAAAAAAGTAGTCCTGACATGGCAGTTGTAAAATAGAAGAAGCTCAAGAAGTCTTTTACCAACCTTTGACTTTGTTGCATCTGTGACATCTTCTGACTGTTTTAAACTTTGGAAAATAAGAATTATGGTTGGAACACACTCTTGTTCCTTGTCAATATCCTCAGCCTTCACGTCTTCCTCTTTACGGAGCAACATAGAAATGATCAAGTATAATTGGCTGAAATAAACAATCAGAAATAGTAAGCATAAAATATCAATAAGAAAAAACAAATAACTGAAATCATAAATTTCACAGTTACAGAAAGAGAAAAAGTGGTGGCATGTAGAAAGAATACCGGTATATCATTTCATATTCCTTCACGTCTTTGCATTTCTCAACGTCAGGACAAGAATGATGTGCAAGTGCATGAACCAGATAAGGAAGGATATGATGAGGGTAGAGAGTAACTGAATTTGCATCTGCCTGAGCAGAAATTTTCCGCAGTTTTGTTTGATAAGAATGTTGTATGATATCAGCTAGGTTGTGTTTCTCCTGTATGTCAATACAGACGCATCGTTTATAGCCAGATTGTCAACATTTTGACGCAGAAACATTAAATATGTGCTTTCAAGTAAAGGGTGATCATACCTCCTCTGATTCGAGAACATTTGATCCAGTAATATCAAATAGGAAGGAACAGGCATACTTTGTCTCTAAAACCCGATCCTTTACATACTGGTGAACTTTCCCGAGGAATATTTTCTTAGCAGCAGGAAATGGTATCTACAGGAAAGGTTAAGAAAGAATGATAAAAGTCAAAATAGAACCCAGATCAGATGAAGGATTGAATGGGAGGTGTGAATTGAATAGAAAAGTAAAGGAAGTTACCTCAGGGGTTTTTAAAGTTAAATGGAAGATCTCAATAGGTATTCTATCGTCCCAATGTCTGGAAAGGCGGAGGACTGCCTTTGCAGCAGCAAGTCTCAAATGGGCCTTGTCAACAAAACTGTAGCGAGGTTGAGCATGAGTGCCTTCAAATATTACAGAAAATGACATCTTAGCATATTTAACACATCTACGAACCTTGATTCTAGATCTTCAGATACTTCCCCAAAAGAAAGAATGTTTTTAAGTAATCCAAGAAGATCATCAACACCCACACGGAGATGAGCATCCTTAAAAGGCAAGTAGCTCTTAACCAACGTCTTTATCCCATATATCTATCAAGAAAAAAACAGTTTTAAACTAACTGTACAAGAGAGAAATTACCTGATCACTTTAACATAAGGTCAAACAAACATTGGTAACTATAAGTGAAGTCAGATATAAAAAACGTTTCGTCAGGTACCAACCTTCAGTTGACAAATTTCACTTTTGTCATCCCATGATAATTTTTTGTCATCTACAGTTTCCTGCAAAGAGGTTTAAGTGTCTTCCAATAAAAAACGAAAAGAGACCTGGGAAACTAGTGAAAGATAGTGAGGTCTTGCAGGAAATACATACACTTTTGAGCTTGAGGATTTTGCTTCTAATAAACTCAACTACTTCACTTTCTCTAGTCTCATAGACTGGCATCGCAATCTGCGATATGCATCCAAGACACTGAAGAACAGCTGGCTGATGTCTCTTGTCCTCCAGCATGTCCACGAGTCTCTACAAATCAAGTATAAAACCAGATTTTACACAAGCTAATTATTAACTACAGATAATGATAATTTTAAGCAAAGTATCCATGGGAAAACAGAACTGTCACCTTGTATAGAACAGAGAGCGACTTCAGCCCATCATCTTTTGTTATTGATGCTAGTGCGTGCACAGCATACTTAGCCTGCTTTCGGTTTCCTTCAACACAAATCCTTTCCAGTAAAAGTTCCACAGAACTTTAATAGGACAATAGGAGAAACAATATAAATCAGAAATACGAAACTAGCAAAAGAGGTGAGCTCAAGCTTGATGAAAAAGATGAATATATAAATCGACAGAACTGAGAATTCCACCTTGCTAAAACAATGAGATTCTCTCGAATAGTACCACCAGCTTTTGCCAGAATTTTTAGAGTACCCTCCTTTATCCTTTCATCATCATCTTTAAGGAAACTAATCAGTTCTTCCTCAGCACCATCAAACAATGATGGACAGAAACATGCCAGGAGCTAAAAAAATCAATGCACAAGCATCAATCTGGTGGAGTTTCTAATAAGTAAAAGTAAAAATGTTCATGAGCATGGAATATAATCGGCTAGAATAAATGTTAAAACAAAAATATTGACAGAAAGTTAGAAAATCTTAAATGATGTGTCACATAAATTTTTACCCCTAAGAAGTCCATGCATGGTTGGATCCCCAATATATTTTGAGAAGACTTTCTAGCAGATACTTCGGCTAATATCTCTTTCACATATTCTTTGCTGAATAGCAGATAAGAACACTTTATGGAGAGAATGCTGAGAAATTCATAGAGCGAATGTTTCTCAGACAGTATTTTAAGCATATCATCCTGCACACAAATTAAAACCAGAAACCAGTTATATGGTTGCCGAAAGCAAATCTAAATGTAAATACAAACTTCTTGTTATTCTCACCCGAATCCTGGACGCTTGCATTATGCTAGTGTTGGGATCAAGCAGATTGGTCAAAATCTTCCAGATATTAGCATCTTTCAGTTGATCAAGAATTAAAAAGTTTTGCTCAGTCTTTGGGGGGTCGGAAAATAAACGTGACATAACTCTGAATCCAAATGAGATCTTTTTCTGCATCTCAGGAGCATCAGCACTCTGCATTCAGACAGAACATAAGGCTCTAGATGGTGAAATTCAAAAGGAAAAATTCAAACCAAATATTTTTTATAAAAAAGAACTCTTCAACTACGTCGAGACGAACCTGGTGTGTCTGCTTGATTGACAAATATCTTTGCATTTCTTGTTGTATCCTAGAGGTCAAAAAAAAATTCCAAGATCAATCGTCAAAATCCAAAACTGAAAACCATAAAAATCATTCAAGTGCAATAAAATGTCATCATATATACCTTTGTCTTTGCTCCAGTATTTTCTCAAAAGCTTTGGTCTCCACTTTGTCAAACCCAGAGAAGATTTGTATCCAATGCTTAGCTTTATCTCTTACAGAGAAATCATTAGGAAACAGTGAACTGCATAGGATATATTCAACTGTGTCTGATCTGCAACACAAAAAAATATTTAGAACATTTTCGCGAAGGTAATATGATCATATTCAACTGGACTTAAGTAAACCACAAAAATATATAAGAAAAGGAGCAAGGTTTTAAAAAAAAATTAGGTAAATGTCCTACCTGAAATCTTTGTCATAAAGACATCTCAGGATTTTTCCAGGAATCCAATCAAAATCCCCAGTGCATACCTTCCCATCAGCATACCGTAAGCAATATACCCGGAACAACTCCGTCAACCTTTCCATAGTGTATGTTTTTACGAGTATCTGATTTAGACAAAGATCTATGAGTTCAAATGTCTTTCAAATTTTAGTATACAACTATCTGAGACAACCAGACTGAATGCATAAAACGTACAGCTTTGTCTCGAAGCCGTTCAGCAACTAACTTCATAGTGTCAACTGGAATTGACGTCAATGCACTCACAGCCACATCACAAATAACAGCAACAACTTGTTTGCGGATATTCTCATCATAATCCAAGAGCCGGTCACAGAGAGCAGCTACATAAGAATTAACATTACAAGATTAGTCAATTCTAATGTATACTAACGGCATGATAAAGAAAAACTTACATATAATTTGAGAAGCTTCAGTTCTCGAAGGATCCGAGAGCAAACAGTTCCTAATATGTTCAAGGATTGCCATCCTAACTTCAACTACCCTATCGGTCAGCCTTTTCAGAAACTCCAAAAAAATTGAACCAAACTCTTCAGAGATGACACGTCCAGGCAAGGAAAACAATTCTCCAACCAATCCAACAACTTTCAAACGAGTTTCCAGTTTATCAGCCTGTATATGTTAATAGTATGCATTACGTATTATTCAATATCAATCTACTTGAAAAGATGAGCTCATACTACATGAAAAGTATTGACACAGCAAATGGATAAAGCGACTATTCCATAATAATAAAAGTGTTGTGCATGATTCAAGAGTCATGATAAAATTTGAAGTGCAAGATAGCGGCAAAAGATCAAATAAAATTATACCAAAAGCTCTCCAATGAGATATGGTGCAACTCCGGATAGAGACTGAGGAGCACAGCGGTACAAATCATAGATAACCTCATGGTAGTCAATTTGACTGCTGGAACATCGGCTATCTCCAGACATTGAAGATATAAGGAACTGCTTTATGTCAGATTCAACTTTGGGCGCACACTGCTCTATGACTTTCATAGCAAGTCTTCTTGCAGAATCTCTAACGTCCTGCCATTATAAATGCAGAATATGAGCTGTCAGCTATTCCATAATATAAAAAAAAAACAATCCTAAATTAGAATAAAACCAGTGGTCAAAGCCAACAACGTCAGAATGCTCACACTTCTATTCCGGCCCAATTTAGAGAGTAAAATTCGTAAAAGATGCTCCTGCACATCTTCACTTTCTTCTAAAAGAACAATCATTATATTTTGCATTGATGAGAAAACAATCTCTGGATGGTCATCTCTGCACATACAGAAATAAAACAATCCGTCAGTATGAACCCCCCCCCCCAAAAAAAAAAAAAAAATCACAGAACCACTTTATCTTTTGTATTACTAGCTAAAGAAACCAACGCAAAGCACAGCTAATAATATGATAATTAACAGTGTTTTGCAGGGGGGGAAAGTAGATGATGTAAATCAGCGGAACTTTTAATCAATCTGAAAAGAAATCTAGGTTGATTTCGAAACCCACCGAGCAACATCAAGAAATGTAGTAAACACTTCTTTCACCAGATCATCACATTCAAGATCCAACATCACTACACATGACCTGTACTTTGCAACTGTTTCTAAAATGACAACCCTCCTTCCAAATGATGGACCACTGACATCATTCAACCCAGTAAAAGCACTCACAATCAGTTGAAAAATATCCTGAAACAAGATAAGAAACAGAAGAAATCAGTAGTGGGCATGTATGTGATCACAGTGCCAGAGGAAATTCAGGACAAACAACCTTCATAATATTATCACTGTAAGGCGCTTCAGGTGCTGTAATACGAGTTATCTCAGAAATGCAGCTTGCAACTAGAAGCTTGACATCCTTGTCTTGATGGTTGAGAATATCAGGTTTAATAACTGCATCAAGAAAAGGTTGAATGGACTCGAGCACTGCAGCTGGTGGAGACTGCTCCAACTCAGAAAGACAAACAGCAGCTTCCTGCATGTCGCAACAAACAAGTTAACGAGCTCACCATTAGTCACGGTATTGTACGAAAAAGTATTAAAGGAAAGAGATATCTGACTAAACTAACCCAGCCAAGTCACCCCAATGAAACCAATCAACAGCAAATCACATTTCCACAAATGTAGTTGATAAAGAAACACTTTAGTCAATGTAGGCTATCTCACAGTTATAAATAGAAACTGAAAATTGGGATAACTATTGCATCTGTCAAATTGCTGGTGAGGATCATACAAGGAGAGAGGACGCAAATCTAGACACTGAATTCGGTCTCCTGGGAACAATTGAAAAGCTAACAAATAGAAAGAGGAACAATTCAGAAGCGAGACTAGTCTAAGTAGCTAAATATCTTCCAAAAAGAATGGAACCAATCGCAGTTTTTATGCATGACCTAATTTCGCAAAAACAACCTAGATGAAGGGCAAGTGTTAACGAATAAGATTGGTACAAACTAACCCTAACTCGCAACTCCAAAGAAGAAAACACTAGCTCAATTAATGAACATGGAAGAGGATCTACAAAGCTGAAAATTTTATTCGTTTCCAATTAGGCAGAATTTAAACAGGGGAGAAAGATGAAAAAATTCCCTCCAAACGAAAAACCGAAACTTGGACAAATTGGAGAAGAAACAAGGAGAAGTAGAGATGGGGAGTCACCTTTAAGAGTTTGAGCAATGAATCTTTGGAAATAGGAGTTAGGTCAAGCCTCGATCCGAGCTCATTCAACTGTTCCTCCGGCTTCTGAGCCATGGCGAGTGAAACGCAGAAGAACTCTCTAAACCGGCGGGTGTTGTCGTCTCTTAGAGGTGAGCAACCATGAACGAAGAAGGAAAACGAAAGGTGTTTTTTTTTGTTGTTGTTGTTGTTGTTGTGAATTTGATGTTGAGAGTCACTCTATGGAAGAAGAAGAAGAAGAAAGCCACATCTGATCTGAGCTCTCTCTCTTAACAACAAGACCCCCCGATTTGCTGACTTACGGCTTTGTGTCTCTCATCGCTTCCTTATTTTCACTTATTTTATATTTATGGTCCCTCACGTTCTCTTCTATTTACCCCTTGCCCCAGTTCTAAAGCCCATCCTAAACAGGCCCAATAGCATAGACGACATCATTTTCTTGAAGGCCCATTAATGCGTTTTGTTTGGTGGCGCATAGTCTTTTCTTCTTTGACCCATTTTGTTTTCTGCTCTCTTCGCTTTCTCGCGGCAATGGCGGCGGCGACGGGAAATGACGACAACGGCTTCGATAACCAGCTTAAACCAGAATCTGAACCGGCTCCGGTTAACCTTTCTTCGCCTCCTCTGTCTAAGAATGCTCAGAAGAAGCAACTGAAGCAGCAACGGTACGAAGCGAAGAAAGCTGAGAAGAAGGCACAGGAGAAAGAGCAGAAGAAGAAAGACGCCGAGAGAAAGCATAAGGAATGGGAGGAAACCCTAGCGAACGCGACGGAGGAAGAGAGACTGAAGCTGATTGAATCGAGGAAGAGTCTGCGGAAGGAGAGAATGGAGAAGAGATCGGAGGAGAAAGAGAAGAAGATGGAGCGGCTTAATCGAGCCAAAGAAATAGGTCAAAAGATCGTCGTAGATGTTGATTTTGCGCATCTCATGTCTGACTCCGAGATCTCTAGCCTTGTTCAGCAGATTATGTATTGCTATGCGGTGAATGGGAGAAGTACTTCACCTTGTCACCTATGGCTTACAGGAGTCCATGGGAAGATGAGTACTGAGCTTGATAAGCTTCCTGGTTTTGAGAAATGGTTCATTGAGAAGGAAAGTAAGTGTTACATTGATGCCATGGCTGATCAGAAAGATCATTTGGTGTATCTCACGGCTGATTCTGAAACTGTTTTGGATGATCTTGACCCCAAGCATATCTACATTATCGGCGGCTTAGTGGATCGAAACCGATTCAAAGGGATCACCATGACCAAGGCACAAGAACAAGGCATTAAAACAGCTAAGCTTCCCATTGGGGAGTATATGAAAATGTCGAGTTCGCAGGTAACAAAAGTCCTCTCTTTGAGCTCCAATGCCGCCTGCTGCTTTGTTAATGTAAGATTTGGTTTTTCATTCAATTAGGTTCTCACTGTGAACCAAGTTTTGGAGATACTCGTGAAGTTTCTGGAGACTAGGGACTGGAAAACAGCCTTCTTCACTGTCATTCCTCAGAGGAAAAGAACCGCACTTGATCCCGTTGATTCTTCCAAATTGGAACCTCTTTCTGAAGAGCATCAGGAGCAAGAGGCTGATGCGGACGAGACTGCAGACAAACATGATCATCTGGAGAGGAAAAAGGTATGCCTTGAAGTTCCTCTGGAAAGTAATAGCTAGATGAATGAAGATTATGCATATGAGAGATGTTTCTATATCCTTTTAAACACTGGTTTCTGTAGCTGAGAATTGGAATCTGGATTGTTTAGTCCCTTTATGTGTTGAGTCAAAACGCATTACCAATTTCACCGTCAATTCTTATATTAAAGATCGCATGCACGCTGTTTGGAAACCTAGTGCTTTATTGACACACTTGACCACAAGACAGATCTGATGAAAAACATAATGTTCTTTCAACCAGATGACAAACAAAGAAAAACCATAAAACTTACGCCTACTAACAGTTATGACTCACGCTCTGTCAGCTGTCTACTTTATTAGCCATTGTTCTTAGTACTTATGTTGCTGAGTCGGAAATAGTTCAACCCTGGCGCCACCTGCTGCTGAAGATGAACCGCTCATCTTAGAATTAGGTTCGTTGCCACTGAAAACAAACCCGTTCTGATGACGATAATGATACTGCGCCATCTGAATCCCTGGCACAGGCCCGTAGTTTCCATAATCAGCCATGGTCCCATTAGGTCTTTTGACCACCATGCCATTGGTCATACTTACAGATCCAGCACTGCAGCTAACCCCTCTTTCACCCTCCAACTCTCTGTAACGGTGGAGGTACAGCGTGAGGGGTTCGATGTAGTCATCAAAACCGAGCTTGCTCATTGCCCACAAGACGTCCTCAGCAGTGATGGTCTTGCGCTGTTCCCGCTGACACCGCTCATTAGCCTCCCCTGTTATGAAGCTGATGTACTCCGAGACACACTCTTGGATAGTCTCCTTTGAGTCGTCTGAGATCTTGGCGTGAGCAGGTAAGATCCTCCGCATGATCCGTATCACGTTGGCAATAGGCATGAACCTGTCTTGCTCCCTCACCGTGCACTCCTCTTCACCACCATTGCTAGTTTTGTTAGGCTGGTTGAATTCTGGGGGACGCATACTGCCCTCTGCCATGAGAAAATTCGCTGGTAATTCCCAACAAAAACAAGAAAAAAAGGAGTTTTAGTGCATAATGGTTATGTTAGCTGTTTTCATTGCTAAAGTTTGAGCTTCTATGACGTCTGCATGCGCCGTTGGCACAGTGGTTTACAGGATTGACAAGCTTTTAAATCCACTGTTTGCCATGAAAATATTACAGAGGTGGAGGGATTGCAAAAGAAAAAAGAAACATCAGAGAATGGTTTCTCGCATGCAACTGAACGAAGAAGCCAGTAAAAGAGGGATGTGTAGAATGGCACTACCTGGTGCAGGAGGAGTGGTGGTGCTGAGGGATAACTTGCGGTAGCCATGGAAGCCTCCACGTTCCATATCTTTGTTCAAAAATTCACGACTTGGTGTTTGTGAGAATATATATTATAAATAATAATCAATGCCAGAAATTATGAAGCATTTGAAGAAAAGAAGGGAATGAGAGAGAGAGAGAGAGAGAGAGAGAGAGAGACAAAGCTTTAGTTTGGCAAGTGTCAGCACTCGTAATTTCAGACCTCACAAGTTCCACAACGTGGCCAGCCAAAGTCGATGTGACCGAGGATCCTTCTCGTCTCCCTTAGCCGTTACAAAATCCCGACCACCAACGTATTTGTCTTTTTTATTAGAACCTTCTAAACTCAAAACACCCATACGGATACAGAGTCGTAGTAGGAGTTATTAAAAAAATTAAAGCTACACCAAAATAAAAATTTAAACTCGAGAAATCATCATCTACAAGTTTCCGTTTTGCGTGCCAAAAACCTAATTTAAAATCTTGTCACTCTTCCCTCTCACCCGAGGAGTTTGTCTTATAAAAATCTCCAAGTTTCTCAAAGTATGAGCGAGTCTTGCTGTGCTCAGGCTGTTTCCTCCCACCTTCCATGACTCTCCTGTAGTACTTGTTCATGTTCTCCCACTTCTCCTTGCACTTTTTAGCAGATCTTTCGTACCCTCTTTCCTTCATTCTTGCTGATATCTCATCCCAAATCGAACCCTTGTTGATCCCCGACTTGTCTTCCACGTAGCTTCTTGCACTTATCAATGCCTGCACTTCCTCTTGCGGCCACCTTCTGCCGCCGCTTCTTGAATACCTAAACGTTCTCTCTCTTTGTGTCTGCGCGGATTCACATTTCTCGGGAAGGATCTGCTGGAGTGGCTGCGGGAATTCAGAGGGTTTAGGGATCTCAATCTCGTCACCAATTACAGTTCTAATGAAAGAGATGAGAGACAAGCTGCGTGCCATCTCTTGCTTCCGTGCCTCTTCATTCTGTTTCATCCTCTCGATTTCCTGTTGCCTCCAAGCTTCCTCACGGCGTATTCTCTCCCCTTCCATCTTCTCCATCACCTTAATCAACTGGTTATGCATCTTCTCCTGCCGCTTCATCATAATTCCCACCAACTTCTCCAAGAAATGCTCCAGCTTTACCCTTGTTTTCCGCTTTCTTTTACCTGTGACGGTCTTGCCAACGTCTGGGGATGAGTCACTATCGCTATCAACAGAGGAACTGCAAAACAAAACGTTCATATCAGTGTGCCTCAGTTGGCAACTCTCGATTTCATTATCTACTAACTAATAATTCTAAAGTTCCCCAGAATCTATAGACAAACAATGCTTAGAAATGGTATAAACAACACTCAGAATCAAATAAACCAACACTGCAAAAGGTTGTAATGACGCCACATAAACCTGATTGCTATCTGCAAAGTCTAAAACTTTAAGCTGAGATGTTCAACGACGCATCAGTTAAACCAATATAGAATCGAATGATACCGCAAGCTGAACTATATAGAGCAACTCCGAGGGTCAAGACTGTCAAGAGAATGTGTTTGAGGTCTACCAAATAAACGTGAAAACTTAAAGACCCCAAAAAATACAAAAAGTAACAACTTTTCACAGTAACAGATCCAAAAAACTTGAAAAAGCTTACATTTTTAGTGTACATAGATAGTGGTGATGATTTACCTGAGAGAGACACCATCCCAAGAGAGGCGATTACGAGCTTGAAACTCTATGTGGAGGGGAAGAGGATCATCACCTTTTGAAAACCCGCGAGTCAATTGACCACTTTGCTCAACGTCAGCAATCTTCGATCCCAAGGGAGTATCGAAGCAGCCAAAGCCCATCTCCGGCAGCCTATCTAGAGTTCCGGCGAGAATATCAAGAGGATGACGATCCTCAGACGAGGACGACGGAGGCTTAACGCCACACCTGATAGGTTTGAGTTTCTGAGGAGGGGAAGCCAAGTCTGCGAGCGTAGCCAAAGCGTCGTCGTTTCCGTGAGAACCCGATTCACGGCTACCGTACATCCATCCGCAACCACCATCTGAGCCGTCGAAAGGGTCAACATCTTCGCTGAATTCGTCGCCGACTCGTTTCCGACAGTCGCCGGCGAGAAGCTCCATTTCGGAAAGGTAAAAAAAATATTGGGCGGCGTGAAAGAAAGAGACTGGCCAAAGTAAAAGCAGTTTGTTCAAAGGGTAAAAAACTATGTATTGACATTTCTACCCTCGAACGAGCAACATAATCTCCATCTTATCCTTACTTCAATTGAGTCGTTTTCTTTACGACCCGACCCGAACTGACCTGAATATGTTCTGTGAATTTGTACCAACTACGACTACACAGAGATACACTTACTTTAGGCGCCTGTGTGGCTCAGCGAAGGCCGCGGAGATATACCGACATTATATGTTCTTCCGTTTCAGATAAAAATCAATATCAAGATTGCTATGAGAATCTGATGACAAGTATTTAAGAAGAAAATCAAAACATATTAGTTTCTCTATCAAGCGTGTCATAATAATACAATACATACAAAACAATCCAGAAGAAACTATTTGGCAGTATCATCAACACAAGTTTAATTTGGTTCAAGATATAAAGTTTTCACATTGACAAATAGATCTGAGGTAGAAAGAAAGTTTGCTTCCTTTACTTTTATTTCCTTCATCGTATACGTTAGTTAGTACTTAAAACACAGGCAGGTTTGGTTTTGGTTTTGTTATCAAACGAGTTGTGATCATCCATTTAATAAATTATTTCCCACTTTTGTCTGTTATTTAGAGGTTTGAAAAGTAGTAACAACAAAAAAAAAAAAATAGAAAAGGCAAATCTTTTTGTGTAATTTTGTGAGAAAGTTGTGATCATGATGAGTATGAGTTGCCGTTTGGCGAAAAGCTATGGTTTAATCAAATTGTTGTGTGATAATAATAACAATGGGGGCCGTTGTCGTCTTCTTCGTTTTCCCCAATTTCTTCTGCCTTCTCCGTCTGATGGGTTCTCTGCGTTTCGCAGTTGCTCCACCAGATCCATGTCCGCTTCTTCCTCCACAAACCCCATGTCCCTCCAGGAGGCGGACGCCGTTAAGCTGCTGCCATACGTTGAAGACAAGTACGGTGGCGTGATGACCGAGATGACTCATCCCATGGATCCTTGTGTCTTCTCCGCACTTCTCCGTGCCTCTCTCTCTAACTGGACTCTTCAGGTTCTCTCTTCCCTTTTTTCCTCTTTGTTGGGTTGTGATCCGAATTCAGATCATTCAAATTCCCCACTGCGAGTAGAGTGATATCAATTTGTTACATAGAAAAAGTTGGGATTTTTAGAAGTGTTTATGTTGTCACTATTCCTCTTGATAACTAGTATTGTATTCTAATGGGGGCCAGAGACTACTGTGCTGCAAAGAAAATGTGGATCTAATGTGTAATGTTCGCAGGGCAAGAAAGGAGTGTGGATCAAATTGCCAAAGCAGCTTATCGGTCTTGCTGAAAGTGCTGTTAAGGTGTCTGTTACTTGATGTTACTCTTGCAACCAGATTTCTTCATGTCACTGACTGCTTGTGTATTATTTGTAGGAGGGATTCTGGTTTCATCACGCCGAGAAAGACTACTTGATGCTTGTGTATTGGATTCCCAAAGAGGCCCATACCCTTCCTGCCAATGCATCTCACCGTGTTGGCATAGGTGCCTATGTCATTAACCACAACAAAGAGGTGTGGTGAGACGAAAGTTTCAACCTTTTCTTTTGTATTGCAACCTCTCCAAGAATGGATCACATCTCTGTTTCTGTATTTTAATCCAAAGGTGCTGGTAGTTCAAGAGAAGACAGGAAGATTTCAAGGCCAAGGTATCTGGAAGTTCCCCACAGGAGTAGTGAATGAGGTCCTGCTTCTTATCAAAACTCATTACGTAGTTAGGTACAGCTCTCTGATGCGCCTTTTTATTTTTCTTGTCTCAGGGTGAAGATATCCATGATGGCTCAGTCAGAGAGGTGAAAGAAGAGACTGGAGTAAGACTTCTTCATGCATCAACTTTTCACCGTCGCCTTTACAGTTTACATGAGACCAGGAGCTAATCCCACTCTTCTCTGGATCTTATGTTTTCAGGTGGATACAGAATTTGTTCAAATATTGGCCTTCAGGTTGCAACTCCAACTCCAACCGTATCATCTGATATATTGCAACACAACTGATCCTTACCTGTTTTAAATTTTGGCAGACAGGCACACAAAGCTTTCTTTGAAAAGTCAGATTTGTTCTTTGTGTGCATGTTAAAGCCCCTTTCTTTGGAAATCAATGCACAGGAGTCAGAGATTGAGGCAGCTCAGGTAACAGTTTTTCCTCCCCACTTCTACGACTCTCCAGTCTCATCCACCAAAACTCTCACAAACCTCTTCTCTTTCTGAAAACGGTAACTTGGTGCAGTGGATGCCTTGGGAGGAATACACAAAGCAGCCATTTGTACAGAATCATGAACTCTTGAGATATATGACAGACATTTGCTCTGCTAAAACCAATGGAGACTATGAAGGCTTCACTCCTCTCCGTGTCTCAGCACCTGATCAACAAGGCAACTTGTACTACAACACCCGTGACTTACATTCGCGCCATTGACCTTCTTTCACAACAAACAAAGCTAACGAAGCTGGTTTCTCGGCTGCCCTATCTATGTAAGCAATTTGACATTTGAGAATCGATATATATTTACCTCTCACCAAAACAAACATCAAACCATCCCAAATGAAAACAGTTGCATTCAATGTAATGGACATCCAATACAATGGCTTTAGGTTACATACAAGATTTCAATAAAGCAGATTCGTTAGTGAATCCTATCGTTCAGCAAACACACTTGATCCTCTTTACACAGCCGCAAAATCTAAACCCTTAATGCACATCTGATTTTACATCACCAACGCCAATGTTCGTTCTATCACATGATACCATATATATCGACGATATTACGAATTTTTATGGATTGTAAAAATAGGCATGTGTATAAATATATGTATTTATGTATCTATATACAGAGATCCACTTCATCACCAATCAATCTTTTTAAGTCCTCGTCCTACCGGAGGCAGCTCCACCTCCACCGTTGCTACCGCCACCTGTGGCTCCATACATATGGTTCTGCTGGTGAAGAAACTGATGATGTTGGTGATACTGCATCCCACCACCACCGTAGAACCCACCGGCATCGCCGACGGCATCTCTCTGATGCTCCCCGGCCTCAGCAGCAGTCTGTGGCCTCCCGAGTCCAGTCCTCTCCCCTTCGATCTCCCTAAACCTCTGCAAGTAAACTTTCAAAGGCTCAACATAGTCCTCAAAGCCTAGAGTGGTCATAGCCCAGAGCAAATCGTCGCCGTTGATGGTCTTCCTCTTCTCCTTCTGACACTTATCGGAGGCTTCCCCGGTGACGAAGCTGATGAATTCGGAGACACACTCCTGCATCGTCTCTTTGGCATCTTTGGAGATCTTGGCGTTGGCGGGCAAAGCCTTCTTCATGATCCGGCTTACGTTAGCGATCGGCAAGAACCTGTCTTGCTCTCTGGGAGACAACGAGGACTGTCCGTTCTGGTTGTTCCCGTTTTGCCCTCCACCGGAATCCCTATCGGAATCCCCCATTTCTGAATAATTACAAGAAAAAGTTGGTAACTTTACTCTCTTTTATGTGTTTTTTTTTTCTCAAATCATTCCACCACTGATTCAAAATTCGAATTCAATTGGTGGTTGACTTGGGTGGGAGGGAAGACTGAAGCGAGAGATATAGGGTTTTAGAAAGAAAGATTGGGGGGGAGCGAAATGAAAAGTGTCGGCTGAGACTGTACACAGTGGTGAAGACAGAGTCGCCGGAGAGTATTATATAAAAGCGAGGATGCACAACTTCTGTTCACGTGACACGTGAACTCATAGGAACCGTCCATTTACTGATAAGATTCTGACAACTGGATGCATGCTCGACCGTCGGATTGGAATGATCGTGTTCGAGAGAGATAAACAGCCCTTTCAAAATCTGCCACGTGTTGTGGACCGTTAGTGGACCCGGCTCACCTTTTACCCGGAGCCGAACCGCAGAGGAGGAGCGTGGTTAACACACAGCAGAGAGTAAAGAGAGCGCGTGTAAAACCCGGAACGGAGATGAACGCGTTAGGGAAACACAAGGTAACTGCCACTCAACGACCCATGGGTCAATTTTTCACTTTTTTTTTTTTTTTTTTTTTTTTTAATTTTGGTAATGTGTGTGAGTGAGTGAGTGTGTTAGTGTAATTGAGAATTGGTTTGGATCATGAGGGTGTGGTCTGTGGTGGGGTTCATTGCCATCAAACTGCATCGACCAATCAGATCAGACAGCTGTTGTGTTGGTTAACACACACACACGAAATAAAGGATCCAGTTTTTGTCCCACTTTTGACGGTCTCGATCTTCCCAGGAACAGGAAGGGCCCTCAACCAATGTCGCTTTACTAAGCGTGTGATTAGTTAACCTTAACCATAATCACCAGCTCTCCTAGTGACATTATTATTAATGAATCCTTGTCCACCTATTGGGCCGTAAAAATATTAAATCAGTTAACAAAACTGAATGGCCGGCCCAATTGATCTGTTGTTGACAATGTCTCTAATGGCTTTCTTTCTGACAAGTGTGGTTTGGTCAACAAAACCTTAAACACAAGGCATAGTGCTGACTGCTGCTGTGCTGACTATAGATGTGTACGCCGCGTGGAGACGACCAAAGTCAATCAGCAGCGTTGTGTGTGTGTTTTGTTTTCTTTTGTTCAAACCAAAGCTGAATGAAATGTGTAGGTGAACCGTGACCGTGAGAAAGAGAGAGAGAGAGAGAGAGTATAGTTGGGGGTAGGCTTGATTCTTTTGGTTCCTGCATGACTACTGATAAATTCAATTTGTTGTGTCTAGTAGTAGCTTAAACAAAAGATTAAATTTAAAATAAAAAAAGAAAAGGAGAAACGTCACATTACATACAAAAACGTTGCACCAAATTTAATTAAATACTTGGTAATATATAATACATATACGAGTGTGAAAGAGTAGGCGAACCACTCAGTAATTGCTTCCAAGTGCCGTCTCTCTTTCCCTCTCCCGGTTCATTGATTCATTTGGAAGATTCAGCTCCTCTTAAGTTAATTTCATTTATAAAAGTCAGCCATGAGTTACTACTGCTAGTCTTTTTAAGAAAAAGATTGAATTTAAAAGGCAAGGCTGCCGTACAGAACTGTGTGACCTGAAGCCACGCAAAGGGTCTCTTCCTCTTCTTTAGCTTCTTCTGTATATATACTCTCTCGTTCATGCTATTCTTATTTCTTTAAACAAAAGCAAACATTTTCATATCTAGATTAAAGGCAAAAAGAAACATCTTTTCTTTATTTTTTTAAGAAATGGGAAGCTTCTTCATTCTCCGTTGCGTCTTCATAATCATCTTCTTCTTCAACGGAGCATTTGGGAATATATGGACCAGAACAGAGATGGTGGAGCTGGCTGGCTACGGTGAGCAGAAACTCTCCTCCGTCCTCATCACCGGATCTCTTATTTGCGACATTTCACGTCCTCGCCTTCACTCCATCGCTATTCCAGGTATATACATATATAGTTTATCTACCTATTCTTCATGCTTCTTGTGCGTTCGAGTACTTACATGTTCCTCACAGGTGCAACTGTTGCCATTAAGTGCCACACTGGATCGAAAAAGAGGTCCAGATGGATTAAGGCTGTTACTGATGATTCGGGAGAGTTTGAAATCGATCTTCCCTCCCAACTCCACGCGATTCCGGACCTCGAAAACACATGTTTCATCAAGCCTCTACATGTGCCTAAGCCCTACAGATGCTATCACACTTCTACCAATATACACAAACGTATCAAACTTGTTTCCTCTACCAATGGCTTCCGTGTATACACCTCAGGGAAGATCATGTTACAGGGCTACAGTTCAAGATCATAGCAAGCTCCTGGTGTCAACATTTCAACAAACAGCAGATTCTTCAAGTTCCATCATGTGAAAAGCATTTGTTTGTTATGGTCCTCGTTTGTTTAGCTGGCGCTTCAGTCGCAGAACCGAGTTGAGTCTCTCTATATTGTTTTTCACGTTCCCACGTTGTACAAACATAAGCTGTTTACGTCATGTGTATAAAGGCTCTCATGTTTTTGGTACAAAAGTAGTGTAATCACATAAGAACATCATATATCAGAAGAAATGTTTCGCAGTGCTAACCCATATTAAATGCTGAAGCAAAGACAGAAAGCATGTCCCCAACCAAACATTGCATTAACTAAACATTGAAGGCAAGGCTAAAAGGCAGAGATAACTCAGGATCCAGACGCTTTAGGGTGAGTTTCAGAGAGTATGTATGCAGCAACATCACCACAACAAGTAAGCTTATCAGCTTTGTCTTCAGGGATTTCAATCGAGAACTCCTCTTCAATAGCCATAACTAGCTCCACCTTATCTAAGCTGTCCAGCGACAAATCCTTCTGGAAATCAGCCCTTTCAGTAACCTGTAAGTAACGAAGCCGTGTTACAAAACAACATTTTTCACTGAAAACACTATACACAGAGAGAAAAAAAAAGCAGAAGTTCTTACAAGCTTAGAGGAGTTAGTTTTGTCGTATTTCTTCACCAGCTCAATAACCCTACTCAAGATTTGATCTTGGCCTCCATCTGCAGCTGCTGCTGTTGTAAAACTCATATTACTAATACTCTTGAAAACATTCTTGTTCTGAAGTGGCGAATAATCGACTCTTAGTCTCAAATGTTGCAGGATTGAGCTCCTTATGCAATGCATCTGAAACAAACATAAATCAAGTGGACGAATTTACAATCAAGTTTCAGCCTTTTCAAGAGAAAAGAAAAACCCCTAAAATGTTCCCACCTATCGTTGTGGGAACAACACCACTGAGTGATATGGGAAGAAATCAAATCCAAGCTTATAAAAACAGAGACTTGAATCTTGATCAAATTTCAAATAGAAACCACACAGATCGAGAGCTTTTGAAGCAATACCTGACTGTGGGATATGCGAGTGAGTGAGGATTTTTTTAGCTCTATCCCCTCGGAAGCGGGAGAATGATAGAGAGAGTCAGAGAGCAGAGCACCGAGCAGAAACAGAGAACAACACCTTCTGGGCCAAAATTATTAATGGGCCTTAATAACATGGGATCTATAGGCCCTTTGGGTTGCGGCGTTTCGACTTTTAAGGCCCACCAAAGTTTTTGGCTAATATCTTTTGCTCATTTTCGGCTAATATCTTTTGCTCATTTCTAATTTTCGGCATGTGATTACTCTTATAACTTATTATAAACCTACCTTTCTTGATTTAGTAATTAATAGACCAAACTTTAATAGTACAAGAAATAGTTGGTAAATAGGGTTTATAAAGCCTATATTACATTACACTATTATGGTTAGTGGACGATATTCAATTCTCCATGTGTCTAACGTTTGATGTCACACTTTTAATGATTTTCATAGACCTTGTCTATGAATACATTAGTAGGTCATCCCAATTAGTAAACTCCAGATTAATGTTACTAATTAAAAAATTAAGTGATATAATTAATATAGACCATTGAATTATTAAAAAAAGAAGCGTCAATAAGTTTTAGAATAAGATACTGATTTTATATCATGCAAACCGGTAACTAATTGACTTGTAAATTTTACATATTCTTTTTTGAAATCTAGTGATTTTGTATCCCTAGTATAGTAAAACAGAAGTACAAATGCACTTCCGGGTCGGGTCAAGAACAAAAAATAACCCGAAATTACAATGATGGATACTTCAATTTTAGATCAAAAATTCGGGTATAATATTACCCATTAACTATTAAAATCCGAAAATTTAAAAATTATCAGTTACTAAAACTTCCCCTTATTTAGGAAACTATAATAATGATACATATGTATATTTTAGAAATCCAAATTAATTGTGAATATTTAAATCTTAATGGTGAATAACAAATGCACATTTTAAGGAAATTATGTTTATCATTACCTAAAAAGATCTCAATATTTAGATAATATTCTAATTAATAATTATTCCGTAATTTTTGTGATTTTATTGTTAATCATATGGAAATCTGATTAAATATTCTCCTAAAAAATAAAAATTTCCAAATATTAAAGGTTATGATTTAATTATCAACTTTAAAATAAAAAACAAAACCAAAATATTAAAGGTTACAGTGTCCCATATAAAACTTCAAACAAAAATTATTAATTGGAAATACATTTAATAAACATTCATTTTTAAAACAGGTTCTAAGTTTGAGCAAATTATTTTTTTTTCTAAAAAGCTTCAAAATATCATAATAGTTAAATTTTAAAATGTATAAAATATTATAAATATTAAAAACTTTATATATTATAAATATTAACTGATAGTTTTGCAACGGGTCAGAACATATATTAAAATTATTGATCATTTTACAACGGGTCAGAATATAATACACACCACTTAAGTTTTATAACCAAATATTTTGTAATACCTAATGTTACATAAATATGATTTCAAATTATATGGAAAAATTATTCACTTTTAGTGAACACTTATTATTAAAAAAATTATTAGTTATGTAACCACCAAAATTTAAACTATATGAATTAATGAAAACAGAATAATTACCCCTCATTCCCAATTGCAATTATTTAATCAATAATATTTATTTATTATGAAAAATTATCAACACAAGTAGAAAAATCTCTCACTAGGTTAATGTTTTCGTTAATCTCTCACTAGGTTAATGTAGCGCGGGTCCAACTCTAGTTATTCTCATTAATGTGTTAGTAAATCAAATTCAAAACCGAGATTTCGGTTGAAAATTAGAAAAACGGTTTTTTCGATATTTTTGAAGAAAAATAGTTGAATTTTTTCTTTTCGGTTTTTACGAAAGTATTTTCAAACTTTTTTATGATAAATTTTGATAAGAAAATTTCAATGACAATTTAATCGTTTACGATTTTTAAAAGGCTATATCTTTCGAATATTTTGGTAGAAAAGCGGAAAAACTTATTTTCTACCAGTTTTTTACGAAACTAGTTGTAGGAAAATCGATCAATTTCTGGAACTAGCTAAAATGATTGACGTTTTTGTTTGTAATAATTTGGACGGCAAAGAAGTAATTTTAATAATATAATGAAGAAGAAAAAGAGTAAGCATATGAAAGAAAAGGTGGCAATAATGTAATGTGGAAGGATGGAAAAAGGCACAAGTAATGCCTTGTGCACTTGAAAGTTGAAACATCTATCTTCTTCCACTTGGTGATTGAACTAACTATTTTAATATTCACAATTGATAGGAAATAATATGAAGAAAAATAGGATTATAGTAATAAATAATAATTTGAAAGCAAACGAAGGGACATAGAAAAATTTGTGGGATGGCAAAAATCTTTATCGTCATCAACCATTGCTCCCATGTTCATGCCCACTTTGATTCCCCAATTCTTTCTTTTTTTTCATATTAAGTAAAAGCTAATAATGATCCATTTTGCAACACAAATGATTGATTTGTCTCTTGAAAATCACATGTTGCATCGTTCTTATCATCTACTTAACCTAATTCACAATTACCAAAACAATTGTTTGAATCTTCTACTACTACTACTACAAATAGGAAGAAATCAAGATTAAACTTTAACTTAATCCATGTTTTTTTATTAATAAGAGATTTTTTAACTTATAGGTAAAAATAAATTTAAAAAAGAGGGAGGAAGTGCACACGCATTGGTAAACCCAAAGCGTCGGTTATAAAAATAAAAACATGTACAGTAAAAATTATATTTACAAGGAAGAAACATGTAATGACGAAAAGACCCTCGTCTCTTCGAAAGGAAGAGAGGAGTGAATGGCAAAAACATTCCATATAAAAAACAAAAAAAACGTAAGAAAAAGTTTTCTCCTTTCTGTTTTTTTTTCTCCCCAAATTTTCTAAACACAAAAATTTGGTTTGGTGTTGTTGTGCTGAAAGAGAGAGAGAGAGAGAGAGAGAGAGAAGCATTGCTTGCTTTTGCTTCCATCCATTTGTTTTTTTCGATTTTAGCCTCAAGAGAAAATTTCCAAAATAAAAAAAGACTCTAAAATTTGGACGATAATCAGAAAAAAAGAGAAAGAAAGAGAGAGAGAGAGAGGAGGGCCTCTCGCCCTCTTATTAAAACCTTGCCTTCTCCAAATCTTAAGATTTCTCAATCTCTCAGCTTCCTTTTTTTTTTTTCCTCTTTCTCCGTTTTTTTTTCTTATATATTACGGTATAGATTCTCTCCTTCTTCTTCTTCTTCTTCTTCTTCTTCTTCTTCTTCTTTTTGTGGGTTTTTGTTTGTTTCTTTTGATTCCAAAGCTTCAACCTTTTTTGTATTGATCATTGGGGTTTTTGTTTTGCAGGAATCCAGAATCGTGGGTCGATCGGTTATTACATAATCCGATCACGACCCATCTGCTCTTTTTCCATCCTATTTGCTTCCCCCTTTGAGGTTTTTGTTTCAGATTCCACTCACTTAGATCCATGTGTATATCTAGTTTAGACTAGAATCGGGAACAAACTAATTAAAAAAACATACCCCTTTTTTTTTGTTTCTTGGCAGAAATGGAAATGGAATCATGTAAGCTCTTCATCGGTGGGATATCCTGGGAAACCAGCGAAGATCGTCTTCGTGAGTATTTTCAGAGTTTTGGTGAGGTTTTAGAGGCTGTGATTATGAAGGATCGAGCCACTGGTCGTGCTCGTGGCTTTGGTTTCATTGTCTTTGTTGATCCTAATATTGCTGAGAGAGTCGTTTTGCTTAAACATATTATTGATGGCAAGATTGTAAGTTTTTTCATCTTCCACCAAACTACACACTACATAGTACATTGCTTCCAATTTCAGTCTTGCTCATTATACTTGCTTCATTTGGAGTTTGCTGCTTCTCCAAGCAAAAAAAAAGCTATTCTCTTTTACTCATTCCTGTTTTAGTCTTACTTGACTCTTTAGTTTACACTCAGCGTCAAAGAGAAAGAGCTTTGTCTCTACGATAAATGCAGATCGATCACTAATGAAAATATTAAAACTTAGATTGTTTCCGAGTGCTTACTCTTACTTGACTGTTCTCCCTGATTTGCCATGTTCATAGTAAAACTGTTTTCTTTTAGTTACGCGGTGTGTTGATTTTCTCCATGATCACAGGTTGAGGCTAAGAAGGCAGTTCCAAGAGATGATCACGCAGTAATGAACAAAAGTAACAACAGCCTCCAGGGATCACCTGGCCCATCTAGCTCCAAGAAGATCTTTGTGGGGGGTTTGGCATCCTCGGTTACAGAGGCTGAGTTCAAAAAGTATTTTGCTCAGTTTGGTATGATCACCGATGTTGTCGTGATGTATGACCACAGAACGCAGCGGCCTAGAGGCTTTGGGTTCATCTCTTATGACTCTGAGGAAGCTGTCGACAAAGTGCTGCAGAAGACATTCCACGAACTCAATGGTAAGATGGTGGAGGTCAAACTCGCTGTTCCTAAGGAAATGGCTCTCAACACAATGTGGAACCAAATGAATGTAAATAGCTTTGGCAATAGTAGAATCAGCTCGTTACTGAATGATTACACCCAGGGATTCAGCCCGAGTCCAATCTCTGGTTATGGAGTAAAACCTCACGTTAGGTACAGTCCAGCAGTAGGTAATAGGGGAGGATTCTCACCGTTTGGACATGGGTATGGAATCGAGCTGAATTTTGAGCCAAACCAGACTCAGAACTATGGATCTGGTTCAGGCTTTGGTCGACCCTTTAGCCCTGGATATGCTGCGAGTCTCAATAGGTACGGTAGCCAGATGGAGTCTGGAGGAGCTAGTGTCGGGAATGGTTATGTGCTTAATGCAGCAACAAAAAACCATTTATGGGGAAATGGTGGTCTAGGTTACATGTCTAACTCTCCGATATCAAGAAGCAGCTTTAATGGAAACCCTGGAATGCCTTCATTAGGCAGCATCGGAGACAACTGGGGAGCAGCTGCACGTGCACGCAGTAGCTACCACGGTGAGAGAGGAGGCTTAGGATTAGAGGCAATGAGAGGAGTTCATGTTGGTGGTTACAGCAGTGGCTCAAGCAGGTTGGAGGCAGACTCTCTGTACAGTGACTCAATGTGGCTTTCGCTGCCCGCAAAGGCAGAGGAAGGATTGGGAATGGGAGCATTGGACTTCATGTCTAGAGGACCAGCTGGATACATCGACAGGCAACCAAACGGAGGTATGAATTATGAATTCCTTTTTGGATTTGAGAACTTGAGCTTTTGATAGAAAATCTGATGAAGTCCTATGAAAAAATGGTGGTGTTGCAGGAATTGCAGCTTAGAGAGGTGAGAATTCTATACCATTGGAGATCAGGTGATTGCAGAAGAGACTTTTTAGAAGAGGAAAAAAATTATTAAAAAAAAAAAATTATTATTGGTTCCAAAAAGCTTAAAGCTTTTCTTTACTGTTTTACTATTTTGATTGTTGTTATAGCTTTTGTTTTCACCCTTTTTTGGCTAATTTGGGGGGTTTTGTTTCTTTTTTATCTTTAAAAGAAAAGATGTAAACTTGAGTGAGTGAGTGAGTGATGATATATATAAAGGAGACAAAGAAACAATGAAATGTATTTTGTTCTTGTCTTTCTCCCTTTAATCTAAAATCCATATATTGACAAATTCAAACATGAAAAAACGAATTAAAAAAAGAGCAATTTGCCTAGAATGTAGGCAACGTAGTGTGAGGCCGACGTGTGGCAAACATGTGGATGATGATAAGCCACAGGACAAAGAAAGCAATCCATCATCCATCACAGTAATATCCATTTATGTGAAGTGGACCAAAAGAGAGAGAAGCAGAGTGTTGCAGTCCTCAAATATAGAGACGAAACATCCAAATCCTTCAAACTCTCTTTCTCTCTCACAGCTTCAAGACTTCACTGGAATCGCCACCATTGTCCCTACGCTCCTCCCCTATAAGGGTCTTGTCTCACGAGGCTCTCTCTCAAAAACCAATAAAGATGCGGTTGCTAGTTGAAGAAGTAACTTCACCATTGTCCCCTGCTTCAACTCCAGCATGTAACTCCCATAGTTGCAGATGGAAGCCTTACTCCAACTCTAGTGACTTCACAGCCAACGCATCAGTTCTTCTCATCCTTGTCTTCTCAGCTCTCATCTGTGCTCTCTCCCTCTACACTGCAATCCGTTGCTTTCTCCGGCCAGCCCTCGAGACTAACGACGACCACAAGCCTGAACCTGAGACAGTTGCTTCATCCGCTGCACCAACTCCTACGCTTGTCTACTCCTCCGACCTTGAGCTTGCAGGAGCTGAAGCAGAGTGTGCCATATGCTTGTCGGAATTCGAACAAGGAGAGAGCATCCAAGTGCTAGAGAAATGTCAGCATGGTTTCCATGTCAAGTGTATCCACAAATGGCTCTCTTCCCGCTCTTCCTGTCCCACTTGCCGAACTTCTATCTTCTCACAACCCTTGGAAACTCCTCCAAACCAGATCAATGCTTAGAGCTTTTTTTTTTCTTTTTACAAAGCTTAGAGTTGTATCATGTTTCGCTTGAGAATACCCTGTTTATGTTCTGTATTATTAGGTAACACAGACCAACAAAAGTATTTACTAGTACTTGTATTAAATCTAACTCTACATCGCCACGCAATGAAACAAGCTCCCACGAGTTTTTAATTATCCATTGTACAAGAAGTGTCTGGACCAGAACCAGATGAATCAATGGTTTTTAAGTGAAAGAATCTAAGAAAAAAACTAGAGCAACTTTAATGACAATGCGTACAGGATAAATGAATCATGTAACCACCTACAATAAATAACTACATAGTGTGTAGTACTTGCTTAATTTCACCATATCAACGAAGCTTCGAATTACATACTAGGCCAACATTCAATTAATGGGCCTAAGGATAGTTCACTTCGGGCCTTTTCCAAACCTGTATAGTCCTCTCTCGCCTATAAATAGCAAGTAGAGTGGGTCTAGACTCTAGAGAGACTAGAGAGAGAGAGAGAGTCTCACACACAGTCACACAACTTTCTTTGACTTGCAAAAAAGAAACAGCGTCGTTTTGAGAAACGAGCTGCAAAATGGAAGCCAACGCAAGCAGCTCCGGCGAGAAGAGCTCTCCGACTCCATGTAAAGTTTTCATCTTTCACTGCTATTTCTTTAATAAAAATCGAGTCTTTTTATACAAATCTCTCATTAATTGTACGTATTACGTGAAAGTCACGTAGTAACAAGATTAGGAATTTGTGTATATGTAGTGATGAGGAGCCCGTTTCTGAAAAGTGGGAGTGGGGCGGTGTACGAGGTGAGTGAGACGAAGAAGGCGTGCGTGATGAGAGTCGACATGCCTGGGTGTCCCGAGTCAGATCTCACCTACTGGGTCGACCCCGTGGCCAACAACGTCCACTTCTTTGCCGACGAACCAGCCATGCCGGAGTACGAAAACACCGGACGCAAATACGGAGGATCCATGGTGTTCAACCCAAAGGCGTTCGACGTCAAGAAAGCTAAGGTGAAGCTTATCAACGGAGTGCTCTGGGTCACCGTCCCTAAGATCCCCGGCAAAAACGCCTCCATTGAAGTCATTGAGAAGATGATCCATTACCCGATTGAGAAACATCATCGCACCTGATCTCTTCGTTTTCTATCTATTGCTAGCTAGCGTATGGCTTTTGATCATGCACCTGGTTTTATATATTTATGTTTTATCCATCTTTTATGGTTTAAGACTTTTTTAAGTAGGCTATATATCGATCTTGCTTCTTCTATATGCATTTCAGTGTTGTCAGCTTTCTCTTTGTTTTGCTTTAATCTTTCATTAATTTAGCTATAATCGATCAGACTTTATATATATTTGCCATAATCAAACTGGATATATATAGCACATATATATACATATATAACCTTGGAGAAATTTGGAGCAATATCAATGGAAGCAAGCGTCTAGATAGATAGATAGAGACTGGATAAACACTCTAATAAACAATGGTTGAAAACTTGTACATGATCACAATTTTAACCCCTTGAGGATTGCTTACGTCAGCGTCTTCTTCCATATCACTGTGAAGAGATTGGCATGGCATGGAACAGCTTTACTTTTGCAGTAGTTTAATTTTTGTCGTATGTGGAAAACCAAAATGAGGAAAATCATGGGACAGCTCATAGAACTGGTGGCGTCAGCTATTTCTCGACGGTAAAAACATCAAAAGAGAAAACGACGGTAAAAAAATAGAATCAAAAAGAGAAAAAGCAAGTTTCTTTTGAATTTTATTTACCGAGAGATAGTTACTATGTATTTTATATTTTACTAGTGGGTTGAAAAACTTAAAAGATGAAGAGAGTGACGTAGGCAAGACCAGTCAAACTTCGCTATTGAAGGCGAAAAAAAGCCAGCTGGAGTGACCGCATAGTCATCATGGTGCTTCGTCTATATTTTGTATTTTAGAGTGAATATATAACACTAAAAACGCCATTGTTACGCAGCCTAAAGCTAGAACTAGAAGAGAGAAAAAGAAAGAAAGAAAGAAAGAAAGAAGAGAGAGATGGGTGAGCCGAAGGTACAATTGCTGGACATGTCAAGAGTTCCTAAAGTTCGAGGTGTCGTCTATCTCTTTCTTCTGTCGTTATCTCTCTATATCTCTTTGTTAATCTTCCCTAGAACAATATTGTTTTTTTTTTCTAGAAAGTTGTCTCCTTTTTCCGGTTTAAGTGTTAACATGAACTTGGTACAAATATTTACAATTTTCGTGTGCATGAAAATGAAGCTGATTAAGCTAGTACTTCTTTACTGATTAAGTTGTAGCTTTGTTGACTTCGATAATTAAGTTTCGTTCCATGGTTCTCTGTAAATATACATATCTTTGCCATGAAAAAGTAAGGTCTTTTAATTTTGTTTATCATGAATGCAGATCGATCGAGTTATTGTAGTTCCATATTTGATAAGGGTCGTCTTCCTTTGTTACTTTCTTAATGAAGTTTTTGACGTTTTACATTATATCTTTTCAATCTTTCTACTGATGGCAGAGGGGTTCTACGCGACGAACAACCAGTTCCAGAAAGAGGGTCCAAAGGGTTTCGTCCAAGTGAAGGTTCTGGAGGACGACAAGCTCTATGTGCGTGTGGACTTGCCCGGTGTTCCAGACGACGCCGTTCACGTCAGAGTTGACGCCGTCAGACAAAAGGTTGTGTTTTTCTCCGGCGAGACTGTCGTCAACCAGAAGGAAGGCGTGCGTGAGTACTCCGGAACAGCCGGTCTGGGCTGTGACTGCTGCGAGATCACAGGCGTGGCCGATGTCAAAATGAAAGACGGGGTTTTAAGGATGATTCTCTCGAGGGTGAGGGTGAACAAGGATCAACAGGACAACACGTGTACTCTCACTGTGCCTCCTTTCACAGGTTCGATATCCCATTTCCTCTCTAAAGTCACCATCTTTTCTACAATCATATATCAACACACAATCTAATTTTCAAACGACAGGCAAATCCGGGATACGTTTGGAGGATCATCCGTATGTGGTGAAAGGTCGCAAGGAAGCACTTTTTTGGGATCCAACAGTAGTGCAAGGAGGGTTTTACTTTGCAGTAGACGTGCCAGGTGCTTGTGGGGATGATGTAGAAGTTTCTGCTAATGAGAACGTAATCAGATTCAAAGCTGAGATCAAAGACGTTGGTCATGAGCATGATGAGAGCGGTCGAACCTACCTGGGAAGCATGAAAAGTCCTTTTTGTTCCCCTGAGCTACCTTTGAATACCACCCACACCATCGGTTGGGATGTTGAATTTGGTGTTCTCAAGGTTGTTGTTCTACCTCCTGGAATCACAACACCATCAACGCCTAAGGGAACCCCTATCGAATAATCCAATCTCTTTCTCTCCTTCTCTTTTAGTACTCTCTACTGTTTTTTACATTTTGGGACAAGTTACAGTGACTAGTTTTTCTCTGTTTACGCTGAGACAATGGTGTGTGAAAAGAGAGAGAGAGAGACTCGCTATGCTTTTGCGTTTGCTATGGAATCAAGTAATTCATGTCATTACTTTTCACAAGAATCTTTAACCCTTTTTTCCCTATGCTGGATCCATCTAATAACCTGATTGGTGATGATTGATTGTTTAAAACCACTAAAGCTGATCATATTGACAATTCTTTTTACTCTATGGGATGTCTAATGTTTATAGATCATGGGACATTTTATATGATATGTCACTCAACCAGGGCACTCAACAGTGCTAGCTAAATCCCCCAATTGAATCGAAATGGTCATAAAGGTGTCGAGTGTTGGTTGTGTAAACTATAGAAATGATGCTAAAGTTTATAGTCCCAACTCTGATGGCGTCTGTTGTAGTTGTATCATAGTATTAAGATAAGGAAATTACAATATTGACCTAATTGGAAACGACGCCGTTGAAGGGATTGTTTCGGTAGTGCGTGCTTTCTCGTCTTCTCGATTGAGATTTTTGTTGGATCCCCAAAGAAGAAACCTGAATAGAGAGCGAAAATGGCTGGAAGATTGAGTGGTGTGGCCTCACGAATCATGGGCGGAAACGGCGTCGTTGCCAGATCCGTCGGCTCTTCTCTCCGTCAACGCGCCGGAATGGGTCTCCCCGTCGGCAAACACATCGTCCCCAATAAGCCGGTGAGAGTCAAATCCCTTCTTCTTCTCAATTTCTTTCGATTTTGGAAACTGTATTTGATTTTCAAAACCCCTAATTGCGACTCAGCTTTCGGTTAACGACGAGCTGATGTGGGACAACGGGACTGCGTTCCCAGAACCTTGCATAGATCGGATTGCTGATACCGTCGGAAAGGTATTGGTTTCCATTTCTATATATCTGTCCTTGATTGTATTTTGTTTACCTGATTGAGATTCTTTGGGGATGACTATGAGCAGTATGAAGCATTGGCATGGTTGAGTGGCGGTCTAGGGTTCTTCGCGACTCTTGGTCTGCTCGCTGTTTTGAACGACAAAGCTTCCAAAGTTCCATTCGTACGTCAAAAAAGCTTTCAACTTGGCTCTTAATTCTAACGCACAAGCTTTGTCCTGAGTGTCATTTAGTCGTTGCTTGTGCTGCAATATCTATATCTCTATGCAAGTTTTTCTACTCAAAGCTCGTTATCGTTTTCACTACACCTAAATATGAGATACATACTTGTCATAGTGCTTAGACAATGTGTTTGCCGCATAACTGAATGATCGCACATCTCAATCTTTGTTTCTTCATTTGTTGAATGCCCACAATATTTCGCTTTCATTTTTAGCATTTTGCCTGTTTATGAACATATAAACCATTCTTGCTGTTTGCTTTTGCATCTCACCAGTTTACAGGAAGAGACCTTATAACCCACATTGTTTTCATCATCCTGTCTTAATTGATTGATTGAGAGTTGAGACCATACATACTAGTTAGGAAAACTTGAAAGAAACATCCACCATGTTTTTTTGGAACTCAGTAAATGTTAAGGTCATAAGCATGTAAGAGAAACATGAAGCCTCATAGAGGTGGTTGTATCAGACTATCTATCAGCAGATTAAATGTATAGGCTTGTTCTTTTTGTGTCCACTGGCCTAGAATCATAGACTTTGTACCAAAAGGCTATATTATGATGAGTGTTGTTTTCAAGGATTTTGAGTAAAAGGTTTAGGGCTAAGAAGTTGCTCTATGTCTTCTTGTCTATACGTGAGATGAACTGGTGCCCTTCTTTTAATCTTGAAGTTCTTCTGTGGCATTTCATATCTCTGCTTTTGTGTATCTTTCTGACCTTAGTGTAACTTGTTTTCCCATTTCATGATCATCTCTTATTGTGTTGCTGCAGACACCGAGAGTGTATCCTTATGACAACCTGAGAGTTGAGCTTGGAGGAGAGCCATAGAGACCTATCAAGTGATCGACTTATCAAACTAGTGGAGCGTGTTTTTCTTCACTGCCTTGTTCTTACAAAATGTTTGTTATTTCCTGCTTACAACGTGAAGTCAAAATAATAAAAGAACTTTGTTTTCATTATATGCGTTGTCTCTGTAATTAACAGTGACCAATGAGAGATTCATAAGAGAAGACTTCTGGTTCAGCAGATCTTGAATTGTGTTTTGTAATCTTTTGAAAGAAAAAAAAGAATCTCCCCGCAATTGATATTTGATAGTTAGCGCCATGTGTCGAACTAAATTTGAGCCTCGTTAAAGGCTACTAGAAAAAGAAAGAAAGAAAAAAAAACGAGTTAGCCTAATGTGGCATGTGAATGGGACATTGAGAGAGAGAGAGAAGCTTGAACTTGTTTGTTTCCGTCTTTGGGTTTTGCCTAAGTTTAGAAATCAAAAGCTTTGGTTCTTCACCATTACGTATTCGGTATTCTTTTCCTATTTTTGTATAGTTTCATATCTTATACGCATTTATTTATGCATCCTCTTCGTTTTCTCTCATTATTTATCTTATCAAAATTTATCTCTCACCACAAGTAGGAGGGTTAGGAAAGAAATTTGTTGAAAAGATATGGTGTGACGACGGTCTTAAACATTTCTTGTACCAAAGTAAAAGTTAAACACTTCAAGAAACTAATTAAAAACAAAATCGAAATTTGATTAGTGTGGGATATGATGAATCGGATTTGACTTGTAGAAAATATATACATCCAACTAAAGTTTGGAGACCACACACACATATATATAGACCTCAAAACAATTGAAATGGTCGAATAAAGACAGCCACATCACATGAGTCATGATGAATGAGATGTATATGATGATATTATTTCAATCTGATTCATGATCAAATCATCAATGTGATCTGCCAACGTGTCAACCCTACTGGCTCTTATTCAACCTGATTGTTTTGGTTGGACCCCTTCCTTCTTCAAAACAAGAGATTATTATCCCATTGGTACCACACCTCTCTCTTTCTCTCATTGTGTTGTTGTTATATGTAATATATCATCTTTAGTTTCAAACTATATTTTAAGGGAATATATAGCACTTCATAGTCTTCATTTTTGTTTGCAAACTGGATATAGCAAAACTCATCGTACGTACATATTATACATGCATGTGTGTGTACGAGGCTGTGAGCTTATCGATTCATAGACCAAATTTAGTGCATATTATATGTATGAAAAGATTTGACCACCATACAATAACATATATGTTCAATTCTTGAAAATTTCTTTCTTCATAGGTCTTTTCAAGATATATAAATGATAAAGTACGATAATATATATATAAGAGTTGTTCCAAAATTACATATTATTGGAGAGAAAGGACAAAAAAGAAGAGGAAGGTGTGAACCAGGGAAGTTGGGCTCTGGAGGAGTACCAAAGGCTGCACAACGAACGTGTCTCACTCTCTCTCTCTCTATACTCTTTGCCAACTGTTTGGCTTCTATTTTTTTTTTCATTTTCTCCTCATTCATTTCTATCTTTTTCAACATTTTTATTTTATTTTGAATATATATTCAACATTTTCTTAGCCTCTTACTTATTCTTAACCACAAAAAAAAAAAACATTTACGAATAATAATATAAATGGTATGCACTTCTATAAATTTAAGGTATGTAGCTTGCTAGTATACCATTTTTCAAGTTTTCAAATTGTTAATCAGTTACTTTTTATGTTTCGAAACCACACCATTTAACGATTTTGAAAATTGATTCCATTTCAATTTTATCAAAAACATAAGCACATCTATAAATTTCAGGTATGTAGCTTGCTAGTATCTTTTTCAAGTTTTCAAATTGTTAATCTGTTATTTTTTTTTTAATATTTCAAAATTATACCATTTTACGATTTTTGAGAAATGATTCCGTTACAATCATATAAGAATTATAATTAGAAAAAAAGCAAAATATTACTATAAAGAAACATATTTTATATAATAATAGTATTATATATATAAATAAGAACAAAATACCATCATTTTGGTTTTTTCCCCAAAAATACCATTAATATCAAATTATTAAGCTTCAAAAGAAAAGATATTATTAAAATAATTAGATTATTCTACTATTCATATAACATATTACATATTAATCAAAGCTATAGATCGTAGATAAAACGAAACTAGTGAACTCAAATCATAAATGGAGAAGCCAAGTTTATCCATAACTCTTGAAAGTACATACCTATATATTTAATCCCATATAGTACTTGGTTTATAGGACTGTATTAAATTAGTTTAGCAGATAGACTGTTATGACTTATGATTACTTGTCATCTTAATCTCTAGTGACTTTGGGGTCATTCACATTTCCAAGAGTATAACTTGTCATCTTGATCTCTAGCCATCACAGCTTCGCCACTTGTAACTTGTAATTTGTCACACCCCATCATTTTCATGGGTCATTTTTAAAATTTATATATTCAAACATTAAAATAAAATAAAAAAACAATATCTTTCTTAGACAAACTGAAAAGTCATCAATCATATTCACTATAGAATCAATGACCTTTTTTTATGTTTACCCATTATCCAATAATTCCATTTTGTCTTCAATAATACATTTGTAGTTGTCTCTTAAACTAATTTGACCCCAATGGAATAAAATTGTGAACCAGCAAATATATGTGATTCACGTTGGATAACATTTTAGTTGGTTGAAAGAAAACACAATTAAAATTTTCAAACTGACAAAAAAAAAAATCATTTTAAAGGGGAATAAATAGAATTCAACTAATTAAGAATGTCTTTACATACTAATCATGTGTCACTCACTCTCATAAACCGAATATTTTGTTATATGACCACACAAATTACATCTATATTATACTTAAATATTTGCCAAACACATAATAATAATAAAATAAATACAGTTATAAAAAGGCTCCTCTAGCACCTTTCAATGAAGTTGTAGTTTACATTTCTCAAACTCTTTTTGTTTTTTTTGGTCCTTCCATTAGAAAACGGAATAAAACAGAATGAACGGTGGCGATGTCGCCGTCGCCGGATCCGACGATCTGAAATCCCCGCTCTTACCTGTCGTCCGACATGAGGAGGAACCATTCCAACGTCAAACGGTGGGGCAACAGCTTCGGACAATATTCACACCTAAAAACTGTTACATAGCTCTCGGTCCTCTTCTTTGCGCCGTCGTGTGTCTATGCGTACGCCTCGGGGGAGATGACACGACGACGGCTAAGAACATGCTCGGCGTTCTTGCTTGGATGTTCGCGTGGTGGCTGACGGAGGCCGTTCCCATGCCTATCACCTCCATGACGCCGCTCTTCCTCTTCCCTCTCTTTGGAATCTCGTCGGCCGATGTGGTGGCGGACTCTTACATGGATGACGTCATCTCCCTTGTCCTCGGCAGCTTCATCCTCGCTCTCGCCGTCGAACACTACAACATCCATCGCCGACTCGCCCTTAACGTTAGTCTTCTTCTTCTTCTTTTTTTCACATAACTCAATTCATTTAATTATTATTATTAATCATTCATTACAAAACTATGATAAGCTAAAACTAGGTAGAGTGTTTCAATTGAATCGTATCCCCACTTCCTCTTAAATTATTCATTTAGTGGTCCATGCATATACGTGGGGATGCCATATTATGTTTTCCCTTTGTCTTTTTTTTTTTTTAGTTCTTCACACAATTTTTTTCTTTCAATCATCATTTGCATCTACATAAACTATTGTTGTTACATAAAGTTCAAAGTCTAATAAATTGATCATATAAATATATTAAGAGTCCTCTCTTTTCAATGTTGAAAATTACCTAAGCCAGTTTCTTTATTTGATTGATCATAAACATACTTTGTGTTATATAGATGAGGCGTCATATCATGTGGGTTGTGGCCCTTAGGCCAATCCATTGTATCATTTATAAGACACGTAAACACTCTATGATTTAAGTTGTTCGGTCTCCAATCATTAAGCTGATCACAAGTCACAACTATAATTATTATTTATTTAACATTATTTGAAACTATGATCTTTTAACAGTAGGAGATATAGTAATTATGTGGAGCTCCCAACGTATCTAATTATGATAAGGTACTAACATATTTCTTATGGATAATCTAATTTTTGAACTAGATAACGTTGGTGTTCTGCGTGGAGCCGCTAAACGCGCCGCTGCTTCTGCTTGGCATATGCGCTACAACAGCGTTCGTGAGTATGTGGATGCACAACGTAGCGGCTGCAGTCATGATGATGCCAGTCGCTACGGGGATACTTCAGAGGTTGCCCTCTTCGTCGTCTTCGTCGGAAGTTGTGCCTCCTGCAGTGGGGAAGTTTTGTAGGGCGGTGGTGCTTGGTGTGATATACTCAGCACCAATAGGTGGAATGAGCACACTCACTGGAACAGGTGTGAATCTGATACTTGTGGGAATGTGGAAAAGTTATTTCCCGGAGGCTGATCCAATCAGTTTCAGCCAGTGGTTCTTTTTTGGTTTCCCATTGGCTTTGTGCTTATTCGTGGTGCTTTGGGGTATTCTATGTGTTCTGTATTGTCCCAGAGGAGCAGGAAAAGCTCTCTCTCCTTATCTCCACAAATCTCATCTCAAGAGAGAGCTTGAGATGTTAGGACCAATGAATTTCGCTGAGAAGATGGTCTTAACCGTGTTTGGTGGGTTGGTTGTGTTGTGGATGACAAGAAATATAACAGATGACATCCCCGGCTGGGGTGTGATCTTCGACGGCCGGGCAGGGGATGGAACGGTGAGTGTGATGATGGCGACATTGCTGTTTATAATCCCAAGCAAGATTAAGAAAGGAGAGAAGCTGATGGACTGGGGCAAATGCAAGAAACTTCCATGGAACATAGTCTTGCTATTGGGAGCTGGATTCGCTATAGCCGATGGAGTGCGCACAAGTGGCTTAGCCGAAGTCTTATCAAAAGGACTGGTCTTTCTCGAAACAGCTCCTTATTGGGCAATTGCTCCAACCGTTTGCCTCATAGCTGCTAGCATCACAGAGTTCACCTCAAACAACGCAACAACTACATTGTTGGTCCCGTTGCTGATAGAGATAGCAAAGACAATGGGAATACACCCTCTGCTACTGATGGTTCCAGGTGCCATAGGGGCTCAGTTCGCTTTCTTGCTCCCAACGGGAACACCCTCAAACGTCGTTGGGTTCACAACGGGGCATATCGAGATCAAAGACATGATCAAAACAGGATTTCCTCTCAAGATCGCCGGAACAATCTTTCTCTCCATCTTGATGCCCACTCTTGGTATAGCTATTAATCTGACTCAATAACTAAAACATTACTCTAATTATAATTTATTTAGAATCAAGTTTGTTAATATATACTATTATTACATGACGACATGCAGGGGCATACGTTTTTGCATCAAAGGGAGGAGTTTAGTTTGACGAGGGAAACACAGCACACTATTGGATTATCATACCGCGCATAAGTTTTTGAATTGCCTTGTAAGCTATATATATGTGTAGATAATTATTATTATTATGGTCAATACATGTATGATGGAACTGGGAAATATATATATGTGGTCAAAAATTCACAAAAAAATGGGACCGTTTTTGTAACCCACTCGATGATAGTTTTCGGCAAACATTGCTTTCTTTTGTGCTTTCAATGTACCCTCGATGATAGTTTTCGGCAAAGATTGCTTTCTTTTGTCAAAGGTTACATTTTCGCCACATCGGCAGAGATAAAGAATGTCCCCGTTGTGGGGCAGAGGAAGAAACGATCAACCATTTATTTTTTGAATGCCCCCCGGCTCGACAAGTGTGGGCCCTTTCACCTATTCCAACAGACCCGTCGGTGTTCCCCCTTTCTTCTTTGTATGGTAATCTTGATTTCCTATTCTGGAGAGGAAAAGAAGGTGGTGTCATCGAGGAGGATTTAAGCGTTTTTCCATGGTATATATGGTATATTTGGAAAGCGCGGAATAAACTGATCTTCGAGAATGTTTCGGAGCTACCCCAAGATACGAAGGATAAAGCAATTCAAGAGGAAACACTTTGGAGAAAAGCTAATACATTGGTAGCCTTACCTAGTGTTCGGACACTTAGGGATGACGAATGGATTCCACCAACGAACGTGTTGGTGTGTTATATTGATGGATCTTGGCACGAGAAGGATAGGAGGAGTGGTCATGGTTGGATAGCTTCCATTGGTAATAGGACTTTCCAACTAGGTTTGCGTTACTCCCCACGAAGTCTTTCGCCCATCCATGCAGAATTAGATACTCTCCTTTGGGCAATGAAATGTCTGAGCAATCTATTGGTGGTTCAAGTTACAATTGCAACGGATTACTTGGATTTGGTTAGAATGATGGCAAACGATGAGGATTGGCCGGCCTTTGCTTCAGAGATTCGAGACTACAAGGAACTTAGAGACTCCTTTTTGGAGTTCAATTTAAAGCATATTTCTAGACTTAAAAATATCAGTGCCGATAAACTTGCGAAATGTGCAAGAATACGCGGTTACTGCTTTTCTCATGTAGGTTTGTCGGTACATGTTTGGCTCTCTCACAAAGAGAATCAATTCCGATAAACTAGTGTATGGGGTTCGTCGGCAAAAAAAAAAAAAAAAAAATGTACCGTCGGTAAGTTTGGTCATTTTTTTTTTGTTTTGTTTCTGTGTAGTACATATAATAAAACGAAAAGGGTTAAATTAGTATAAAACGATGAGTATTAATGTGTTTGTGTATAAGTGTAACGTTCTCTTCTTCTTCTTGGCTGATTCTTAAAAATACTACACAAGTGGCACAAACCAGCGGTCCTACGTGTCCATACCATACCACTGTTTTTACAAACACAACAAACCAAAGGAAAAAAAAAATCATTATTATTTATAATGTTTTCCTTTTATTGTTTGTCCTCTACACTCATTTATCTTCTTTATTTGTCCTTTGCTATATAGTTGTCTATAAAATAATTAATGTGTTAGAAAACTATAAATAGTCAAATGAGGAAAATATAAAAAACTATAAATAGTTAAAATCCTTTTGTGTATTTAGTTTTCGTAGGTAGATGTTGGCCAGTGCAAATTGCAAAATTCATAAATGAAATCCAATTCCTTATTAAGAGGATAGACCTCAATTAATTTGTCTATATTAGGCTTAAACTAAAATATATATATATATATGTTTTATACTATAATAGTACAGTTTCTTCAAAAAAAAATTAATGAGTTTTTGATTATTTTACCAATAAATTATAATATTTTAAGAGGATAGACCTCAATTAATTTGTCTATATTAGGCTTAAATTTAAAAAGAAAAAATATATATTTTATACTATAACAGTACAGTTTCTTCAAAAATAATAATGAGTTTTTGATTATTTTACCAATAAATCATAATATATTAAATACAAAAGTTTCATAAAATAATTTTGTTTGACTTCTTATATATAGCCATTTGTAATTAACATCATAAATAAACTATCTACCAAAAAAAGCTAGAAATCCAGGACACGTCATGGCACGTGGCGGACCTCTCAAGTATATATATTGAAGTGCCCTGCCAATACCATAGAATCAAGTTTAGAGGAAAACAAAATCAATAACAACGACACGGTTACAGAGCCCAAAGAAACAAAGATGATGAATAATAACTCTTCTAAGATCATCTTCCTTCTTCTCCTCTCTCTCGTCGTCGTCTACGCTTCTGCGGCAGCGCGTGTCGGTGGTTGGAGTCCCATCAGCGACGTCAAAGACCCCCACGTCGTAGAGATCGGCGAGTTCGCGGTCACAGAGTACGACAAACAGAGCAAGTCAGGGCTCAAGTTCGAGACGGTTGTTAGCGGCGAGAGTCAGGTGGTTTCTGGCACGAACTATCGCCTTATCGTTGCGGTTAATGAAGGTGGAGCGAGCAAGAACTACGAGGCCCTCGTTTGGGACAAGCCCTGGTTAAAATTCAGGATTCTCAATTCCTTCAAGCCTGCCAACTGAGTTTTCTTTTAAAACTTATGTAACCGCTCTCTCTTTCTTTCTATAAAACTTCAGAAAATGTGAAAGTTAAAAATAATCAAAAAAAAGGCAATGAAGTAATGTCATAATATTATTTTTAAATGTAATAATAAATAATCTTTTGGTGTGACATGTTGAGACAAAAATCTGAAGAATGGAACAAGTTTTGACAAATCCGCTAATCATGGCGGATAATATGGCTAACAGAGGAGATTATGGGATCAGTCACGAGACCGTTGAGAGATGTTTTGTATAATGCTAAATTACAAAGGGAAGGGGGAGGGGGGAACATGTGAAGGGAAGAGAAGTGAAGGTGTAAAGTGAACATGTCCTTTTGTCTTTTGGTCCAATCCATTACTACATAGCTCATTCATTTACATGTGACCCTTTTCTTTTGTTTATCCAACTACCCTTTTCCTTTTTTTGCTTCACAATTTTTTCATTCAAGGTGATTTCTTATGATATAATTGTACCAACTATCTCATTTACTAAAATATATATATTTTTTTCATTCATATTTGCTAACAAATTCCATTGGTAAATGAAATAATAAAAAATTATAAAAAAAACTAATCAAAAATCTATTTGTAATATTAGATATTGTATATATTACCAATAATTAGTCAAAGATTCGATTTGCTAATGACCGGTCTGAAGAACAGTTTGATTTAGCTTAAGAATTATTTATAATCAAAAAAAAAAATGACCCCAAAGAACAAAATATAAATTAGTTTTAAAATCCGAGGGAAGCAAGAGAGAGAGAGAGAGAGATTGGTGAAAATAGCTTAGCTTTCTCTCTCTCTGTTTCATGAGCTAAAAAAATGGTGAAAGGCGAGGAGATATAGGAGACAAATCCATATCCAGAGACAAGAAAAAGCTTCAATTTTTCGGAATAGTTCAGTTTTGTCTTTTTTTGTTTGTTTGTTTGTTTGAATTTGAGAAAAAAAAGGGAGAAGAAGAAGAAGAAGGAAAGGTGTAAGGATAGGGTCGTGCGTGTCAACGAGAGGTGCTGGACGTGAAGCCTCCTCCGCATCGGCGAGGAGGCTTCCGTCTCAGCACCACCTCAGCGGCAGCCTTAGCTCTTCTGGCTACGGCGGCGAACCGTCCGATCAGTCCGATATCGGCGGTGCTAAGATGAAAGGGCTTTTCAAGTCCAAGCCACGCACTCCGGCTGACCTTGTTCGACAAACTCGCGATCTCCTTCTCTACGCCGATCGATCTAACTCCTTGCCTGACCTCCGAGAATCCAAACGCGACGAAAAGGTTTCCTTTTTCATTTTTTTGGATATATTCTTTTCAAAAGTTTGATTCTTTCAATGTTAATTTTGTTGCATTTGTGCTCCAATTGATCTCAATCATCTGTCTTGGTTTTTGTGTCATTCATTTCAATAATGTCTCAATGGGGTGCGTTTGTGCTCCAATTTGACAATGAATTGTCTTGTTAAAGAGGTCTGGTTGATGTATGTATGGTTGCAGATGGCGGAATTAAGCCGGAATATCCGTGACATGAAATCGATTCTCTATGGAAACAGCGAAGCAGAGCCTGTTGCTGAAGCTTGTGCACAATTGACTCAAGAATTCTTTAAAGAGGATACTCTACGCCTCTTGATTACATGTCTCCCTAATCTCAACTTGGAGGTAACAATTCAGGCTCCCCAATCGGAGAGACTGCTTTTTTCGAGATATAGTTCGATGATTTGAATTGCGATCTTTTTTTCTCTTACCAGGCCAGGAAAGATGCTACACAAGTTGTTGCAAATCTACAGAGGCAACAAGTCAACTCACGGTTGATTGCATCTGATTATCTTGAAGCCAACATCGACCTCATGGATGTTCTCATTGAAGGGTGAGTGAGTGTTACTGTTAGTGGTCAATATCATATCATTTGAAGTAGTAATTAGTTGCTAGTTTTTCCAAATTAAGAGATTCCTTATTTTATTAGCTTCCCATGTTATATGTCAGCTTCGAGAACACAGACATGGCTTTACACTATGGTGCTATGTTTAGGGAATGCATCCGTCATCAGATTGTTGCCAAGTGAGCAGATCTTTCCTTTTACTTCAGTTAACAACCTGTCCTGTGAAGTAATTAGCGGTTCAGAGAATAACAATTTCCTTGATTCAGATATGTTTTGGAGTCTGACCATGTGAAGAAGTTCTTCGATTATATACAGCTTCCTAATTTCGACATTGCTGCGGATGCTGCTGCAACTTTTAAGGTTCCAAAACGCTGCAACAAACTTGCATCTTTTCCTGTCTAGAACTCTCAAAACGCAATGATAACTCCAACACTGTATTTGCTTTGACAGGAATTGCTGACAAGGCATAAATCTACTGTTGCCGAGTTTCTTACCAAGAATGAAGACTGGGTAAGTACTTTTAATAACATTACATACGGATTCATATATCTGTGCGTGAGGGAAGAACATTGTGATTTTACGCTCTCAAGATCCTATGCCAGACTCACATAATCTCAATTTGTTTTTGGTTTGCAGTTTTTCGCAGACTACAATTCAAAGCTTCTTGAATCAAGTAATTACATAACCAGACGGCAAGCCATTAAGGTAGGGTTACTACTTATACGAGATTCTTGAAAATGAAAATGATCAGTCTGATGTATTGTATTGTGTAAATGTTAAACAGTTATTGGGTGATATATTACTGGATCGATCAAATTCAGCTGTGATGACGAAATATGTTAGCTCAAGGGATAACTTGAGGATTCTCATGAATCTTCTGAGAGTATGATGCTTGAACACAAATACCCTCCTCGATATTTATTTTGTTGATCATACTATTATATGGGAAGTAAATTAAAATGTCTTTGGTTTACAGGAGTCAAGCAAGAGCATCCAAATAGAAGCATTCCATGTCTTTAAGGTATAGTTTTTTTTACTGATTGTCACTTGTCAGTCTCCAATGTGATTGTAATGAAAGCATCGTCACTTTTGTACAGCTGTTTGCGGCAAACCAAAACAAGCCTGCAGATATAGTCAACATTCTGGTGGCAAACAGGAGCAAGCTTCTGAGATTGTTGGCTGATTTGAAACCTGACAAAGGTTTGAAAGTCCTGTCAAGTGACGAGTTTGTATCTGTTCCTTCTCTTCCTTAACCTTAATAATGCTGCTTTGTTTGGTTCTTTTTGTTGGCAGAGGATGAGAGGTTTGAAGCAGATAAAAGTCAGGTTTTGAGAGAAATCGCAGCCCTTGAGCCGCAAGATCTTGCTTGAATCAACCAACGCAGATCATCACCTTCCTTCCCTTTAAAAACACTCGAAAAGACATTTTTGAAGCATCTTGTTGTTTTTGTTTATTAGGTAACCAATCTCTCTCTCTCTCACGCTCTCACACACACAAACACACACACACAGAGACAAAAAAGTTATTCGATTTATGTATGTACACTCCCTCACTGTTGATGAATAAAAGGCTTTGATTAACTCGGTTGAGTTCACATCGTGAATGTTGTAAAAAGGCACAACTGTCAAGACTTCAACAACTATTATACATCAAAATGTATTAATTTAATCTAGCCATACACTGGCACGTAGAAACCCAAAAGCAAACCAAATAAACAAGAATTTTTTTTTTCACTCGCTATTTCCTTTACACAAAAGCTACGATTATAGAGACCGACCATCGCTGTCTACTCGCTGACCCATTTTGGCAGATTCCTCTGTTTTTCCTCTCTTTATGACTAGATACCAAGTAAAAGCTTCCAGCACGGCCGCGGCTATGCCCAGTACTACAATTATAGCGGTGTAAGCGTTTCTCCACTGCTTCTCAGGGCTCAAGATGTCTAGTCCTTTGAAAACATTCACTACTACAAGTAAAATCACGGTATAGCCTATGGTGTGATGGTAAATGTTCCAGTAAACTCTGTACTTGTGCTCTGGTTTGGGTCTTACAAACATAGCAAACACCTAACGTGTGCCACAAAAAATAATGATTAAGAGATACAACAAGGTTACAACACTTAAAAAATAAATAGTTCAAAGATAGCTAAACACCTAACGAACCGCTCCAATAAATAACTTTAGAAATCCGGAGCGGGTCGCGTTACACAAAGACCCTTGAAAGAGCCTCAAAGATCTTCAATGAGAAAATATCAGTGGAGCCTGACAATAATCAAAGATAGATATTAAGGGAACTAGCCTCTGAGAGTAACGGGCAGAGGGAAGAGCCTTTGAGAGTCGCGAGGGAAGAGCGATGATATTAGGGAGCGAGCCTTTGGGAGTCGCGAGGGAATAGAGAAGTTTTGCGGATGTTATTGAGGGCACATAAGAGCATTACCACACGCTCCAGCCCCACTCCGAATCCACCGTACCTGTAAACATGCAGCCACTCGTCAACTCAACTCATAGTAGGAACCCAACTCGATTGATCAGTTTGTGGTTACCTGAATGCATCGATGTACGTGGATATTGTCTTGACATCAATGCCACATTCTCTTGCTCGCTTCTCCAAGAGTTCTGGATCATGGATACGTTGAGCTCCTGACATGATCTCCTCTCCTATAAGACATAAAGCTCAAAATAAAATATGGGCCGTGAATCCCACATCCAAGAGAGAAAGAAGTTGGGCCTAAAATAAAATAGGGAAAGGGGGTCCATAAGGGCCCAATATGAGCCCATTATTACCAATCCGAAACCAAAATGGAAATTTTCCGGTTCTCTTTCTTTCTTTCTCTCTTTCTCTCTGACTCTGTGCCAGAGGAGTTACTGCGTGTCTTTGATTTCCCAGAAGAAGCGTTGAATCTTTTTTTTCGTTTTTTCCGATTCCATTTTTGGGATCCTTTTTCGTCTTCTTCTCTTTTGGATCCATTCCTTCTCTCTACCCATTTTTTCTTTTACTCGTTGTTGTTCCTTCTTCAAGGTAACCTTTTTTTCTCAGCAAAATTCCCGAGAATAAAAACAAGGTTTTTTCCCCCTCATTTTCAACACCTTATGATTATCCCTGTAAAATGTGAGGTTTTTGCTCTATTTTTGCAATATGGGTCTGTGAGAATTGTGAATTTTGTTTTATCATCATCGTTTTGTGTTTGTGTTTGTGTTTTGTGTGTGATCTTACATTTGATGATGTGATCTCTCCATGTAACTTTGGAATTCTGTTTTTTTAGTTGGTTTCTATTACAATGCTCTGTTTGCTTTAAAGATATATCACAATCTCTCTTCTTTCTCTCTAGCGATATGGTGTGGGGGGGTTCTTCTTCACTTGGGTTTAGTTTTTGAGGTGAAATTTTGGTGTCTATGATTCTCTCTGTTACAAAGATGTTTAATTATCTCTTTAGAAAAATCCCTGTATGGCCTACCTTCATCTGAAAAGATTACATATTTCACGCAGATATTGTATTACCTGCAGAGGTCATTTACTCAATTCATCTTTTAATGTGAGCCCTAAGGACAAGACTGAGGATTTCTATCAGTGTTTTAAGTTTGCACTTTGTGTGATCAAAGTGATGAGTATTTTGTTGGTTGAATTGGGCCCGCCGCTTGTCTTTTCTGTCTCAATTCTGTTTCTCCTTATGATAAAACCACAATATTTCTCTGCTTTCTTATTGGAGGCTTTCCATGCCTTTGTGATTTCTCAATAGTTTGTATCTACCGACTTTAAAGTTAGATTCTCATGATGAGCTTGTATAAACTAAAGTCGCCTTTACTTGTTCTATATAGGCCTATGTGAGCTTGTGTAACCAGATTCTGTAGGAGGTGTCAAAAGGGCCAGATCCAGCTTTCACAAGAGGTAACTTGTCTTACTTTTGGATCCAGAATGCGTTTATGTGCTGATACCTTTGCTTGTGTTAGATTTTCTTACGGTGGTTGAGAGCTTAAAGTTTTGAAATTTAGTCAACTTTGCTGCACAGAACCTTCTAGGAAGCTACCTCAAGGACACAGGTGATCTTAAAGATTCTCTTATTTCACCTATTCTTAACTCTTAGATCTCAACCTTTCCTGTTTCTCAAGTGTCCTTTGCCAACTCTACTTATTCTTGTATTCCTTCTTCCTTGCTTTGACACTTTGTTTTGTTCTTAACCTTGTAGACAGGCTTACAAGCCAGTGGTAAAGACATGTTTCTGTAGAAGGGGTATTCTCGAGCATAAAAAGGAGATGGCTTTCTACTCTGAAGATGACAAGAGCGAAGACTACCTCTTTAAGATCGTTCTAATCGGTGATTCTGCAGTCGGGAAATCAAATTTGCTTGCCAGATTTGCGAGAGATGAGTTCTATCCCAATTCAAAGTCGACAATTGGAGTGGAGTTTCAGACACAGAAGATGGATATCAACGGAAAGGAGATCAAAGCACAGATATGGGACACAGCAGGTCAAGAACGTTTCAGAGCCGTCACTTCTGCATATTACCGAGGTGCAGTTGGAGCTCTTCTGGTCTACGACATCAGCAGACGGCAGACTTTCCACAGCATTGGTAGATGGCTCAACGAGCTACACAGTAAGAATCCACACCAAATAAAGCTCTTTCTTTCTTATCTCATGTCCTGCCAAACAATTCTCTCAATACGAAATGGTTATAATGAAATGTTTCAGCGCACTCTGATATGAACGTTGTGACGATCCTGGTGGGCAACAAGTCGGATCTGAAGGACTTGAGAGAGGTCTCCACAGCGGAAGGGAAGGCATTGGCTGAGGCACAAGGGCTTTTCTTCATGGAAACATCGGCTTTGGACTCATCAAACGTGGCAGCTGCATTTGAAACGGTTGTGAAGGAGATATACAACATACTGAGCAGGAAAGTGATGAGCTCACAGGAGCTAAACAAGCAAGATCCTGCTTCACTCAGCAATGGCAAGAAAGTTGTGATTCCGTCAGATGGGCAGGGGGAGTCCAAGAAAGGTGGATGCTGTTCTTCTTGATGGTAACTGAAAATGTAGAGAGCTTAAAAAGGAAGATTATTTATAATCTTGTTTGATTGTTTATTTTGTCCACGCTGCCATGAATGTTGAAATTTGAGATGGGCGGTGTCGTGGTTTGGTGTGGAAGTGTTTAGGTGTAGCAATCTGTAAATTTTCTATTGCAGAAGCTTTTATGAAACTCGCACACTACTTACTACTCTCTATAAAGTTTGCTCATGATAATGATGGTCAGTCTTCTGTTAACTTGTTATACATCACATCCAAATCTTGATACATACATAACACATCTTGCTATTAGAAATGATTTAATCTCTAAATAATAATGCTATTCCAGTGAAGCAATTGTCATCGGGAAGAGGATCAAATCTGTGGAATTAGATTTTAATAAAAGATAGAGAAATAAATGTGTGTGAGCAAATGAAGTTGAAGTGCAAAGATCCACACGTGCAGTGCAGTTGTTTGTGGAAGTAAAATTAGAGGGCATCCATGTGAGCAGATTGGCTCCACACATGATTGCATTTATCGCCGTAGTACGGATTCCACACACTCTCAAGCAGGACATTTTCTTAACTATTTTATTTTTGTCTTGTGCTCTAAACCAGTTTGTATTTTGGCTATAGGTTTGCTTCGGTTTCATCCGGTCTAATGATCTCGGCGAGTCCATTCAAGACCTGCAAATAGGAGAAAGGCCATTTTGACTCTTAAGCGTATATAAAACAAGTGATGTGTTGCCATTTAGCTTCTGTCGTTTGTCTCTCTTTACCTTTTTTGTCTTATTGAGGGATACCTCCAGCATTTCAATTTTCTGCAGGAACCAACCCACACAAATCAGACTACAGATACTTTTAGAGATTCTTGAAAGCAAATATTATAGTTCTTGTGAAATGCGCGCGATTTCACCTTCTGAGAATCCAGAATAGCGGTTATCAAGGCAGTATACTTCTCCATTGTCATCATGATCTTGCCTGAATTATCCTGCATTTCCATTTACATCTCAATTAGCTTCAAATATTAAATTCATAATATCGAGTTTCATTTACACAACTCTTTTGTACCATTTGAATAGCTGAAGCAGTTTCTGAGACGTTATCCATAGTTTGCCACTCTGAATCTGCATCTCCGGTTGTGGAAGGCTCCTACAGGTATAGAAGAAGTTATCCCAAGTTATACTGGAGAAAACTGTGTAATAGTACTTGATGGAAAGTTCTGGCACCAAACCTGGATCTTTTCTTTGATGTCTGGATCATTCCAAGGTCCTTCATCGCTAAAAAGACAGCCTCCATGATCTGAACAAGTGCAATTTCCTCCAAGAAATGTCGGCAAGTTGCTGTTTTGTTTTTGTCATCAGGCACAAACAATGCTGAGATTCCAAAGCAAACAAATACTTTTACCAGTTTACAGCAAATTGAATGTACAAAAGGTTTAGACCTTGGATCTATTGCTTCAAGTAGCTCTCCAAGGTAGTTAGGTCCTAGTACCTTAAAAACAAACATAAATCTTGTTAAAGAACTTGTGACTAAACCAAAAATAGAAAGAAAGCATTCAATTAGCATATTCTTACCTGAACTTTAGCCAATGTCCGAGCATCAAGAAAGGTCTTGAGTGCGAGCCACAACATCCGGAATCCGGAACTGGCATTGACAACAAACAGGCGATGCAAAGTCTAGAACCGAAACCAATCAGATTTGCAAGCATTGTTGATGAAGCTAGTAATGAATCTGGAAAAAAAAGAAATCCACCTACCTCAGGGTAGTAGTTGCTGTCTATCTTTTGAATTTCCATAAAGAGTGATCTCGCAGTTTTTGAGAAATTTGACATTCCCTTTATCAAAAACAATAGATTAGCCGACACAAACAATAAAAGTCATATAAAAAAGGCGACATCTTACCACTCCAGAGACATCCAAAATGGTAGTGGTAGACGAAACATGCTTCTCTGAAGCAATAGAACAAGCGGGATATCTCGAGGTCAGCGTTTTCTCTTGTTCTTGAATATGGTACTTAACATATCTCTCAAGTGTGGTTGCTTTAAGAAACGCATTAAGGTCAACCATACCGAGTCGCTCAATGTAGATTGGCCTACCACTTTTGTCTACCTTATGAAAGCCGTGAGGGTAATGTTTCTTCACTTCACTGTACTCCTCAAACTTAAACTTCTGTCCAACATTATTATAAGATATAAATCTAGTTAGTTAACAGACCGAACCAAAGAAAACCAAAAAAGAAGTGCTCTCCTTTTGTTGTTTTTTACCTTAGAGATCAAATCAACTTTAGAATCCACTCGCCACTTGATACAATTGAGAAACGCATCTTTGGATTTCTCCAGATCAAACTCCCTCATTTTCAGAAACCTGATTGATTGATGAAATAATATGAGCAAGATTTTGGGTTTTATAGGACGAAATGAAGAAATTTGAAAATAAAAACCTGAGAAGTGTGTAGTGATCTCCATGATTTGCAGGTAAGTGACCATGGAGGAGAAGCAAGTTACGAAACGCTTCAACCATATCGTCATTGGTTGGTAAGTGTTCATCTTTGTTCAAGGAATCGGATTGCATAGAGTCTTCAGAACCAACAGAGATGCGTATATCTCTGTAACCCTCCATCTCTGGTTCTTGCATCGTTCTTGGGGGGCTCTGTTTTCAAAAATTCAAAAGAAACTTATAAGGAAAGGAGAGAACTTTATGAATTGATGAAGTAATGAGCAAGTTAACAAGAAAAAAAGGAGAGAATCGAATAATTGATTTCTCTCCGCGCGGGAAAACCGAAAGAGAGAAGAATAACGGTATTTTTATCTCTTTGCCTTGTCTTTACGGCGTCGTTTCCGGAAACTAGGAAGGCCCACTAACAGATTTTGTAAGATTAAATGGGCCTACCGTAACTAACTTTATGATGATGCTTTTGGGGCGCATCTCTGAATTGCACAGGTTTGGTTTATACATTCTTCTATAAAGTCATTTAATTTTTTTTTCAAGTACAAAACATTTATGTATACATCTCCTTTATGAACGCCAGAATTTGTTGTTTTACTAAAGACAAAGAGGTCGATTGGTAACGACTGTTATTTGTGGCTGTAGAGACTTTAACTTTAAAATTTTGGCTACAGAGAATTTGGCTGTAGATGCTTTTGCTATAAAAACTTTTACTGTTAAAATCTAATTGGCAATGAACCGCTTTTAAAGTTATGTATGTTATTTTTATTATTATTATTTTATATTTCTAATAAATATACATTATATCGTAAATGAATTTATAAAATAAAAGTATTATTGAAATGGATCTTAAAAGAACAAGAAAAAAAAGAGAGTAATTAATTTATAAAAATAAAATATATAAAATATATTATAAACTTGTGAAAAGGTTTTAAATGTAATGGGGATATGAAAAATAAATCTTTTTAATTGATTAAATTTAAAGTCATGTTTTTGACGCTTTAAGAAAAATGAGAAAACAAAGAAGGAAAAAAAAAAGTGACTTTTAATGCTTTAAAAAAAAATAAAAGCAAAAAATGTTGATTGGCAAATTAATTACTGTTAAGGCTTTAAAACCATTTTAAAGCCTTAAAAGTCATCACCAATCGCCCTCAAAGTCATTGTTGTGATTTGTGAACATATAGGATAATGTGAAAACAAGGTTGGCTCCCCATGACCATGAGATGAGTGAGCCACCATCAAAAAGATTCCAAACCTTCCCTTTAGGCACTCAGGGTCAGGGGTAGTTTAGTTAGTAAGTGACATCCATTTCTTTTTTATTTATTCTTTTTGGTAATTTGGTTGTAATTTTTTTTCTTTCTAGATTAGTATTTTTGATTTTACATATTTTCAAAACACTTTTGATGAGTATCTGACTATATGTTACATGACAATTGGTATGTTTATCTTTTTGGGTTTAGTGATTGCATACAATAGTGAACACAAATAGTTTGTGATAAAAAAAGAAAAAAAATCTTACCAAAAAAGAAACAAACAAATTAAGAAAAAGCTCAACTCCTTGATGTAGTTTTTTTTTTTTTTTTTTTTTATAAACCCTATCGGCTGATCCGGTCAGCCCCGGTAGAAACGCAGTGAAGTGCTTCAGAGTGGACTTCTCCCCGAAGGGCCACCACACTGTCTATCCCGAGTTTGGAATGCTTTCCGACTAATGCCAGGGGGTAGTCAGGCCGCCTGCATTTCTGACTACCAGGTAAACCAACTGGGCCTTGGCCCAATTGACAGACTTCCCACACAACCATGATTTTTGTTTCCAGGGTGGATCGAACCTGGGTTAGTTCTTTCCAAGCTTTCCCCAATTCTCCCTTACCACTGGACCACGGCTGTGCGGGCTCCTTGATGTAGTTTTGCCAAATAGTTTTTTTCCCCATGTAAATATTCATCTTATTAGGAACTTTTAGTAGTATGTTTTTTTAGCATTTGAATTGCTTTGTGAAATGTAACGCAAGATCGGATATATCAAAAGAGTCTATATGGTTCCCCTTTGGATTTTACGTACAACAAAAAAAAGGTTACAACAATCTCTAACGTTCAAAATATAAATAGATAGGGTACTAGTAGTAGTAGTAGGATTGACGAATGATGAGTGAGTGAGTGAGTGAGTGCTACTTTTCAAAAGAGGAGGACGTAGGGACCAAACTGAGGTTCACGTGATGCTTATAAGCAGAAGAATTCGAAGCACTATCTCATAAATTACTTACCCACCTTTTGTGTTTCACCCATTTTGCTTTCTCTCTCGTTTCATTTTCGTTTTAATTTCCAATTCTCCTCAACACGACCGTTTTAACTGTCCACATTATAATCCCATTTAACTACATCTCCAAATTATATATATAATGTGTAATGCCAAGATATATAAAAATACGAACGAGACGCAGAGAAAGAGTGTGGGTTCCTCATGCTTGCTTAATTGAGCATGCTTCCAACAATCTTATCGTGATTATGGGCATCCCAATATACATTAATATTTTAGCTATATATATGTATAGACTACCAATAAAAAATAAATATAGATCAGTAGAATTATAAAATCATGGGCTCCTATTTATTATTAACATTAATGCTATATACTAATTTTGACACCAAATAAAAATAAAAATGCTATATTCTTATTGGCTCGAATCTGTAATAAAGACAAACCCTAATTTCAAGACCTGAAATAATTAATCCAAACACGTTACTCCAAACAGAAAAAAAATAACAGCGACCTAACACGATAATAGGCAGTGTGCTACTTTTCTATTAAAAATAAAATAAAAGCTAACTCATATGAAGAAAGTAAAAAACAATTAAGGACTCAATTTCTTGGTGTAAAACAGTAAAAGCTAAGACATATGAAGACAAAAAAACTTATATAGATTGTTGTTGTGTGCATGTGTCTTTGCCTTTTTGTTGCCTTCATCAAACTTCACCACAAAAATATGACCGTTACGACTGAAACGTACTACAAGCTTAATTAGGACCACTACAAGATAAACAAGTACACACATATATATAAAACCATCGATCTTCTCCTTATTTACAATTGCTCCGACCGTTTCCTTCCCCACTCTCCGATGGCGCAACTCACTAATAATTCCTTTAATTGTCTTTTTTCTATTTCTCTCAGCTTGTTATTGTTATTCCACTGCTTATGTTTTCGTTTTTCGTTGGTTGCAGCTTGTTCAAACTCCACCGAAGATCAGCAGATTCAACACCACCACCACCGGAAATGGGTTGGTCCTTCCGGTCACAAAGTCATCACCGTCTCCCTTAACGGCCACGCTCAGTTTCGCTCTGTCCAAGACGCCGTGGATTCCATTCCTAAGAACAATAACATGAGTATTGTTATCAAGATTGCTCCCGGACTGTACCGGTAATTAGTTAATTCTCTTTTTTTTTTTCCTCTCTAGCTAGTTTCATGCACACATGCAAATTAACTTAATACATTTTGTTTCATGTGGTGGTCAGAGAGAAAGTGGTGGTTCCAGCGACAAAACCGTACATAACGTTCAAAGGAGCCGGTCGGGACGTGACGGCTATAGAGTGGCACGACCGTGCGTCGGACCGTGGTCCTGATGGTCAACAGTTACGTACCTATCAAACTGCTTCAGTCACCGTCTACGCTAATTATTTCTCCGCTAGAAACATTAGCTTTACGGTACTCTATTTATTTCTAACGCGATTAATAGAAAAATTAACTTTCATTAAAAATGTGAGTCTTTTTTTATTGGTTGAAAATATCCGAGTCTTTAATTTTGTTTTTTTTTTTTAAATGTGAAGAATACTGCGCCGGCTCCATTGCCGGGGATGCAAGGGTGGCAAGCGGTAGCGTTTAGGATCTCCGGCGACAAAGCTTTCTTTTCCGGCTGTGGGTTTTACGGTGCACAAGACACTTTATGCGACGACGCTGGCCGTCATTATTTCAAGGAGTGTTACATTGAAGGCTCTATTGACTTTATCTTCGGTAACGGCCGCTCCATGTATAAAGTAAGGACTCCTAATAATTACCAAAAACAGACTAATCTTCTTGGGACTTGTAATATAAATATAATGCATGAATGAGAATGTCTTAAATAAAGCAACTAACTAACTAAGATGAGTACTATCAACTATGTCTAAATTAATCTTGTTGGTTGAAGGATTGTGAGTTGCATTCGATAGCGTCAAGATTCGGGTCGATAGCAGCGCACGGGAGGACATGCCCGGAGGAGAAGACGGGTTTTGCGTTCGTGGGTTGTCGGGTAACGGGTACGGGTCCGTTGTACGTGGGGCGTGCCATGGGACAATACTCACGTATCGTCTACGCATACACCTACTTCGATGCTCTCGTCGCTCATGGAGGCTGGGACGATTGGGACCACAAATCCAACAAAAGCAAGTACGTCATTATTATTATTATAGTCATACTCATTAAATAAATAAATGAGATATGATTTAGAGTTGTTAATCCGAAGAAATGAAATAAAAATGTTGGGAAATTAGGACGGCGTTTTTCGGAGTGTACAATTGCTACGGGCCAGGAGCAGCCGCGACGAGAGGCGTGTCGTGGGCGAGAGCGTTGGACTATGACTCCGCTCATCCGTTTATTGCTAAGAGCTTTGTTAATGGGAGACATTGGATCGCTCCTCGAGATGCCTAACCAAACACCAAAACTTCTTCAAAAGAAGTTGGTTTTCCTTCTTTAATTATTATTATTTATTTGATTGTTTTCTTCTTTTAGCGATTTGTTTATTCCTTGATATATATATATATATATATATAGTAGAATTGCATCTTCTTCAATAAATAAAAAAGCAATACGTGAAAAATTGGTCAAATTTCGACCTTATTATTATATATTGAGCAAAAAGTACAGTTTTGCAACGTAACTCTCCCGAAGACAACTTTTGGTTCCATTCTCAAAACCCAAATGAAGCAAAGAATCATCTATACAAACTACCATTATATATTGCCTCCCCCTGAAGAAGACGAAGGAGGCGTGAATTCCAAGCTCCATGTTTCCCTCGTGGCTTAGTTTCTGTGTGTGACAACTTTCCTACCTGTGACAGTAACCAAAAAATTTGGGAAATTTCCAGTTCCCCATGAGTCGGTGACTTAGAGTTCCACTTCCTGAAGCTCCTCTCCTAAGCTGCTGCTGCTACTGTTGAGTAGGATTGGCTTGAAGGTTGATGGACTAGTCGGAGGCGTAAACGAAGTGTTGAAGTTTCCACTCCATGAGGCTGTTCTTCTGGAAGCAGGAGCCGGATGATCCCCGTTGACACTTATTCCAAATCCATTTCTGTTGATGTTATCCATACTTGGATATCTCTGCATAATCATTGGTGGTGGAGCCCCTGAAGAGGCTACTACTTCATCTGCTGAGTTCTCCTCCTGTCTGGCGTCAGCAGCAGCTGCGTCCATTACCTGGTCGTTTGTACACGATGCAGGTGCTGGAACAAAGAATTTTGTTTTTGCTGGGATTGGTGGTTTTGCAGTTTGTAAGGAAGGTGACTGATACATGGTCTGAGAGTTTCCACGGCCTGGATTATAGGTGTCAACATATCTGCACAAAAAGAGAGTAAAGTGATTAGCTCTAAGCCTGCATGTTATCTTCTGTAAAACACTAACTAGACTGCAAACAATTATTCTCAAAACTTTACAACTCACAGCTATAAAACGGTAATCATGCTTATCTCATACTAAATGTTGTCATTTTTTATACCTTTCCTAGTAGTAAACCAAGTATGGCTTATATTTCCTCCTTAATGCAATTCTAATGTGACAGTACAGTTGCGTTCATGATTTAGAATCCAGGATAGTCTTCACAGATTATTATTCTATAGTGCCTCTAGTTATTTGTTTACCTTGATCGCACACCCGTACGCCCACGGGCTGAGAATTGATTCGAGCCGTGTGAGATTGGTGGGATTCCTGAAGAATTCTCTGACGGGGTTGGAGCGCCAGAACTCCAGTTCCCATTAGATGGATTCATGACAGATTTGTTTTCATAACCCAGTGAGTTGTTTTGGAATGTGCCTATTGTTGGAGGAGGAGGTAGTGCAGCTTCCTCAGCTGGGGGTTCAACACCCCTTTCCACCCATCTCTTTAGTTTATCGTCATAGTAGAATTGATTTTCTGCGCCCAATTTTGCCTTAACCCAAAGCATTAACCAAAACAATTAGAATAAGTTCAAGAGATATCATCACGACCAAAACATTTAGCAGTTACCTCTTTGGATGGCCGAGCTAGGACCCTCCCTACAGTGTTCAGCATCCGCATGCCAAAACCAAAGCGACTAAACCGCGAACCTGCCACAGTCCCAGATGATTTCAACTTTGTCACCCCGTCAACAGCCTTTTCTTTCGAGGAATCAGCCATATCCTAGAAAAAGGGCAAACTTTTCTAAATTCCGTATTTTAAAATATCCTTAGTTGTGATTATGGGTTTCTGGTATAGACCTGTATTGGCGTCCTACCAAAATCTGGCTCTGATACACTCCTAGTGTGTACTGCCATTCTCCTCCCATTCCCACCCGACTCATGTACGGGTTCCATTGAGGCAGGTGGCATCAATGATGACATTGTATTAACCGATTGACTATATGGTAACTTAGTGGCTTCCTGTTGTTGATAATACTCACTTCCCTGTACGTTTCCCTTGGTTGAATGTGGTGCAGGTGGTGGCACCCCAACAGCACGTTTCCCTTGGTCAAAAAAGTTCAGCAGTTTTCCAACAAGTTTTGCCGGGGCCAAATTCACTGGATACTCACCCTGAAATGGTGATGTACGGTTAAGTTACATCAATAAAGAAAAGAACACGCTTTCGATTATTCCAAGTCTTATGGATGTCCATTTGGCTGAGTTTCTTCTTTCTTTTTCTTTTTTTCTTTTTTTCACATTTTAAATCAATGGAAAGGAAAACTCACAGATGTAAGTCTTATTTTTACATTTCCATTTACAGGAATAGACAACTAACTGTAAACCAACCAGAAAGAATCAACAGTTCTATGAAGTTCTATTGGAACCAGAAGTTGAGTAGGTTGTACCTGTTGGTGGATTCGGATTCTCTCTTCAAGAGATGAAACAATCTGCTTCCACATTTCCACTTCAGGTGATCGGCCAGTCTTGAGGCATTTTATTACTGCTTGACAGTACCTGAATCAGCCACAGCACAAAGGACATCAGAAAGCCATTATACAGTACAGTCTAACAAAGGAGTAGATGATGGAAAGTGAATCTCCTAACTTCAGTGCAGTCGAGAGTTTTCCGACTTCAGCCAGCATATGGGCATAGATGACTTTATATGGTTGAAATGGTAACAGGGTATACTGAGAGTTTCCCAACGTCTTAGAGTATTCATATAACTCTGTTCTCTGCCCATCGAAAGATCAATCGACATGTCAATAAATATTTCAACAATTAACAAAAAATGGTGTTCTCCATTAAATTCGTTGGGATCCTCTTCAACACATTCGAGGAATATGGAAGGTATATAGGATATGCACATAATATTTATTGACACCACACTGGCTAGTATCAATACATAACATGACTAGTATGGTAATAACTACAAACCACACTGATCGAAACAAGCACCTGTATAGCCTCGGGACTTGCATATGTTCGAGGATATTTCCAGTGATCCGCTCCGACAAGGCAGAGTCTGGCGCTTTCTGAGTATGGATCAAAGTTCTTATCCGCAATTAAATAGCAAATATGCGCCGCAATTATCTGATTCATAAGAGTAGTTCAGATTTCATGATAAAGTTTCCCTGAAGTAAAACAACACAACAAGGGAGAGAACCACCTCGCCCCTTTCTTTCCACATGCAATCTCCAAGATGAGTAATCACAAGCTCATCATCTGTGGTTCTGTTAGCAGTTATTATACCCAAGTTCTCTTCCCAACTGTCAAGCATGCTACTACATCCAAACTGCAATACAAGGAAACAAAGAGACATTATTCATAAGCTTCCCCTGGCAGAGCTTCAAAAGCAAATAAGTAATTTGAAATGGAAGAGTGACCTAGTTCCCTATGGTAGAGAAATATTTCTTGTCTTACAGTGTCTTCTCACTGTCTATACAGTTCCCGACTTTATCATAATACTTATCTTTAGCAATGATTTGGTGGACATTGATTGATTAGCATCTTAATAGTGAGATGATTGTATTTATCTTATTTTGGATCTTGGGGTTGACCTATTAACTATTTAATAAGATCTTAAAAGCAGTAGGGGTATCAGGCATGTGTTTGTTGCATTCTTTGATGGAACAAGAGAGTTCACCTATTTGTACTCCTCAGTACAACTTTCATTGTAATCTCTACATCTTGTGTCAACACAATTCTATCTTTTTTCTTTAACTCTTTAACCTACTAACACTATCTTTAATCTACTATGCGAAATAGATAGTTTATGTATTACCTGAGGTTGCTGTGGAGACACATTTATGGAACCAGGAAATGAGAGATCGCTTGTACTTCCAGTGGAGAACACTTCAGCTGGTTGTCCTGCTACCAGCAGGCACAATGTCCGTAAGGGTGACCCGGGAACCAGCTGACGAAGGGCCATTTGTTTTACAGTTTCAACATAGAACTGCATTAATCAAGATTTGACCAAGTCAGTCAACCAAGCACTACAGTTGAATGTTTAGTTCTATAGCGATCAAAGGAAAAAAACCTGTTGCCCAATTTGTGCCGCAATAACAAGCGCTGGTCCCCATAAATGACCTTCTTGTGCACATTGGAGAGCCTCCATCTTCCTGCCAGAAGCCAGAAGAGTCTGCACCTCTGAAGCAGTTACCTGGGGAATTCTTCCAAATGAGTTAATAAGCAAAAACCCTAACCATGTTAATGTTTTAAAACCATTTTCCTCTAAAGATAAAATATCAGATATGATGTCCAATACTCACTTGCATTTGTGATTCAGGTGGTAAATGCTGTAAGCATTGGGTAATAGGAGCATAACCATTTTGTACGCCGTCTTTCTTGGCAAATGCAAAAAGTTTAGCGACTGCTGCTTCAGCAGAGTCCATTTCCTGTGTGCAGTGTATATACAAGGATGAGAAATTGTAATAGATATGGGAAGTTTTCTTGAACTTACAAGACATCTTATGAATTGTTCACCTTTTGTGATGTATCAGTACCAAAAGGAGACCGTAGTTTCCCATAATACTGACAAGATATTCTGAGCAAAGAAAGAAGCATCTTTAAAAGTTTTCCTCTTGAAAAGTCCATACAGGAAGATTCACAATTCAAAATTCTCTCATCAAGCCACTTATGTAATTCTTTACTTCCAATATTTCCTCCAACCAAGGGACCTGGAAGAGATTGTTGATCCAGACAACTGAAGTAACTCAAAGAGTTTTCCTCGAGACTTGAATAAGAGGCACTCCCAGAAATAGTTTCGGCCAGGCTCAGGACAGAGATAGAGCTTCCTCCAGTTCCCTTATGAGTCAGATAGAAAAAGGTCAGCAGTGAAAACATGTTCACAATACATTTTATCTTTCATACATGTTCTATGATAAGTATATATATAAGGAAAAAAAGTGAATTTCCATAAACTTCCCAGAGTGTAAATATAGCCTAATGAAAAATAACACTTCGGTTCTAACCTGACTTCCAAATGATGAATTCTGGAGAGAACCATGGTCATCCTTCATAACAATGAGCTTTCCTCCAAATCCAAAATTAACAAGTGCATGTGGTGGACGCCCATCAGATGATCTTCCTGCACTTGGGGAGAAAAGCTGACTGTTCTGAAATGACTGTGGAGCGTCATCTACATACTTCTGGCTACTATAGAAATCATTCGAGAAACTCATAGGCCCATTCTGCGTGACACTAGCCGCATTCATATGCTGAGGGTTGAAGCTCTGAATACCAATCTCATTTGGCGTAAACTGTTCAGCCACAGGTCCTGTACTGTACAAATGATTTACTTGGTGGTTACTTTGAAAGTTTGATGATGAGGCAGAAGTAACAGCCGCTTCCGCATTACCTGCATTTTCTGATTGCCAAGTATTTGTAGCCTGCTGATTGTTGGCATAGTAAGATTGGTCCCAATTTCCATGTTGGCTCTGAATAGCAAAGTCTTGCGCTTGAAATGTCTGATTTTTATCGTTAACATCATACATACTACTCTTGCTATTACTGTGATACATAGCTGTAAGAGCATGACCATTCTGAACATGCTGATCATGAGCTTGACTAGTTACAGATGTTTGAGAAGCCTGGTTGTAGCTGTCCAGAGACCGCCATTCTTGAGCAATTGTGTCATAGTACCATCCCGGATATTGGGAGTCAAAGATCATGTGTTCTGGATACCCATTGTTCACTTGTGAAACCTGGTTCCAAGTAGACACATTTTCAACTGTGCCAGCCACTGCAGATGTTGTACTCTGTCTCTGATAAGCAACATCCGAGTTATTAGCAGCAATATTTTCCCAGTTACTCGTTGAGTTTTCATAGCCCTCCTGTGAATTCGTGCTTGCATCATGACCATCAACTTGATACCATTGGCCAGTACTTGCATCATATTTCCATCCAGGATAGAGATTTTCCCAAGATTGACTATTATCCACGTACTGCCCACTTGCAGAATCCTGATGCACCTGACCCTGATGTTGCTCTGAACCTAAACTATCTCTTGTGTTCTTTGTATCATTAGATTCTAAGTTTGCCGTGGTGGCTACAGCTACTTCTGGCTTTCCCAGTAAATTTCCTGCAGTCCCATCCAGCTCAGTGAAGAAATCAGAGTATGAACCAAACCCACGACCGTCATTTACAGATAAATCCGCATCAAACGAACCCCAATCGAGCTCCTTAACCCCAGGAATCCCGGGCTCATCAACTACCTTGCTTTCTTTAGCTGTTTCAGATAGTGGTATATCAGCTATCTCTGATCTCATTCCACAATCTCTCAGTTCAGTTGCATCATCACTGTTGACAAATTGAACAGCTTCTGTAGGAGCGTCTTTTCCCGGCGGACTACCTGCACCGTCATTTGCAACATTGTTTCCCGGGTCTGCTTCAATCAATGTGTCATCTCCATCACCCACAGGATCTTTAGCAATGGAGAGATTGGAAAAAGCTCTGGCGTCATCGGAGTCACTTCCGTAGTCGAATTTCTGATCTGTGGCAGAGGATGAAGAAGCCTGAGCTTCGCTGGGAGAATAGGCATCATCAACAAGCTTGTCGAAGAAATCCTCATCCGTTTGATCCTCCAGCAGCAATTGAGAAGCCGAAGCCATCAAGCAAGCAGAAAAGATATCAAAATCGGAATTAAAGAAATTGCCCTAGCCTCACCGATCAAATGCCAAAGGTAGTAGTAGTAGTGCTGTAGAACACAAGGATCAAGTGGAACATGATACCATAGACTCCGATCCAAAAAAACTAGAAGAAGAATTCGTCGACGAAATCTCCGATCCACCAAATAACAGTTAACGTCTAATGTAAGCCTTTTGTCACCTCACAGCCTTCAACATTATTCCCACACAACTGTTTCCCCAAAAATTGTCTCCCGATATGATTCGAATTATGACTTTCCTATTAACATTTCTATATATGCATCCAACATGGTGGACCGATCTGTCGGGAGGGATCATCAAATGCAAAGATCTGTGTCTAAGAAACTTACAGATTTTTCCGAAATCTCGTATCTAGGAAACAGACGACAATGGCAACGTTTCTTTGTGACGACAGGCAGCTTCATTGCTACGTCATAAAACACACACACACAGGTTTGTCTCAGCTACGCTTTAATTTCTAATTTCCTTCGTTTCGATTCGACGAAAGAATCGGCTAGTTGGAAGATGCTCACAACGTGTTTGTCGAAATTCCTGATCCAGATGTGATATCTCGTCGGAAGGAAGAAGACATATAATTTGATTTTGTTGTTTTTTTTGTTTTTTTTACGTTGGAGGAAGAAGAACGAGACTTCTCTCTCTGTGTCTGTCTCCACACAGATCTGATGAATCCAACGGTAGCCATTGGATCGCTCCTTAACCGACCGGTTCATCCGTTAATTTAACTATAGCTGAGATCGGACAATATGATTATACAGGATATAAAATTATCGGCCCAATAATTAAATACCACCAGCCAACATAAAACAAAGATCAAATGTGTATAATTAGCAGGCACGTGCGTGGCCAAGATGCTCGTGTCGACACCAGCGGTTTTTTCTTTCAAAGTCCGCGTTTCTGGTCCAAAGCTCGCGTTGAACCACTGTATTTCGGACACTGACGTTTTTTCTTTTTCTTTTTTTTTTTTAATAAATTTTGGGAATAGATCAAAATCAAATTTAACTGTATTTTTTATCGAAGTATAATTATTTAAAACCGAACTGTAACAGAAGGAAGAAATTATGCTGAATCCAAAACTTGGTTCAGCCGTTTCAAATAATATAATGTAAAGTATAAACCAAACCCATATTCATGAACGAATATTATTGTGCAACTCCTGAAGTCTGTTAACAAAGAAAAATTAATGAATTTTATATTTAGAAAAAAAAAAAAAATAATAATACAAACTGCATAATACATATTGCCTCCTATCATTGATTGACAGAAGCAGAGTAAGTGTTTCATATATTTTGGGTAACTCATGGATTAACATTTGATTGATTGATCGATCGATCATCTACCTGTGACAGTGTCAGTGAGCAAAACTTTTTTCTGTGATATTACATATTTTTCAACTTACAGTTCCACTTCCTGAAGCTCTTCTCCTAAGCTGCTACTGCTACTATTGAGTGGGCTTGGTTTGAATGTTGATGCACTCGTTGGAGACATAAACGAGCTGTTGACGCTTCCGCTCCATGAAGCTGTTCTTCTTGAACCTGCAGCAGGAAGATCGCCGTTGAGGCTTATTCCTGATCCACTTCTTTTTATGTTGTCTAGACTTGGAAATCTCTGCATTGTCATTGGAGATGGTGTCGGGGACTGGAATGACGACTGGCTTGTTGGGGGAGCGCCTTCAGAGCCTACTACTGCTTCATCTCCTGAGTTCTCCTGCCTGCTTTCAGCACTAACCGATTCCATTACCTGGTCGTTGTTTGCAAACGACGCAGGTGCTGCTGGGACAAAGAATTTTCCTTTTGCAGGAATTGGCGGTTTAGCAGATTGTACAGGAGGTGACTGATACATGCTCGACGAGTTTCCACGGCCCTGGTTGTAGGTGTCAACGTATCTGCTCCCCAAAAGAGTAAAATGATTAGTCCTAAGCATGCAGATTATCTTACGAGTAAACACTAACAAGGGAACATTTGATTTCAGCGGCTTTTCTTAATAATCTATCAGACAAATCATAACTAATTAATAGCTGCACAACTAGTAACTGCAATCAAGAAAAATATGCCTATCTCACACGCAGAGGTCTAATAAATCAATGGTCACTCTTATTATCTCCTTAATGCTATTCTAATGTGACACTACATTTACGCTCATGATTTAGGATGTAGGATTCAGGAGTCGTCACAGATTAATATCTGAAGAATCAAAAACGGTCTGCTTACCTTGCACGCACACCCATACGCCCACGAGCTGAAAATTGGTTTGAGCTCTGTGAGACTGGTGGGATTCCTGGAGAATTTTCTGACGGAGTTGGGCTGCCACTACTCCAGCTCCCACTAGACGGAGACATCTCGTTTTCCATGTCAGATTTGTTTTCATTACCCAATGAGTTGCTTCGGAATGCGCCTAACGTTGGAGGAGGAGGTAATGCAGCTTCCTCAGCTGGAGGTTCCACACCTCTTTCCACCCATCTCTTTAGATTATCATCATAGTAGAATTGATTCTCTTCACCCAGTTTGGCCTTCACCAAAGCATGATTCAAAACAATTAGAATAAGTTCAGGAAGACTCATCACGATCTTAATATTTAGCAAGGTGCACCTCATTAGATGACCGAGATGGTAAGACCCTCCCTACAGTGTTCTTCAGTATGCCAATACCAAAGCGGCTAAACCGAGAACTTGAGACACTTCGAGTTGATTTCACCTGTGTCACCCCATCAGCAGCTTTTTTTTTTGCGGAGTCAGCCTGATCCTATCAGAAAAAGGTAAATACTTAAGCTATAAGCAACGTTTTCTAAACCCATTTAGGTTGGTATAGTTGGAAAGCATCCTTAGAACTACTCGATCCAGAGAATCATCTGAGGGTGGGGAGGCGGGGATATGGGGTAATTGCATTATGAGGATATCTGTTGCCAATAAAAAAGAAGAAAAAGAAATGGTTTTCTAGTGATATAGACCTGTACTGGCGTCCTACCAAAATCTGGCTCTGATACACTTCTAGAATGTGCAGCCATTGTCCTCCCGTTCCCACCCCACTCATGTACGGGTTCAATTGAAGCAGGTGGTATCAATGATGACATTGTATTAGCCGATTGACTATATGGTAACTTAGCCGCTTCCTGCGGTTGATGTTGATACTCATTTATCTGTAGGTTTCCAGTTGTTGAATGTGGTGCAGGTGGTGGCATGCCCCCAACAACACGATGTGTCGCACTATCAATAAAGTTGAGAAATTTTCCAACAAGTTTTGCTGGGGCCAAATTCGCAGTAAACCCGCCCTGAAATAGAAATGTCCAATTAGGTCAGATCATCAGTTTTAAAAAAAAAGCTTTACATTGTTCCCAGTTTTATGGATATCCACAAGGTTTGAGTTTCTTTCTTTCATATATTTAATCAAAGTACACCTCACAGATGTAATCTTATTCTCAGTTGCAACTTTTTATCTGGCAACTTGCACATTTCCATTTAAAGGAAAACGCAGCTAACAGATGCAAAACACACCGGAATAATCAATTATTCCATGAAATTCTGTTGGATCCAGAAGTTGTGTATGTTCTACCTGTTGATGGATACGGATTCTCTCTTCAAGTGATGAAACAAACTGTTTCAACATTTCTACTTCAGATGATCGACCAGTCTTGAGGCATTTTAAAACAGCTTGACAGTACCTGATTCAGCCACAAAAGAACGACATCATGGAACCGTATACAGTCTAACCAAAGAGTAGATGATGGAAACTGAATCTTCTTACTTTTGTGCAGCTGTAAGTTTACCAACTTCAGCCAGCATATGGGCATATATGATTTTATATGGTTGAAACGGCAACAGGGTATACTGAGAGTTTCCCAGCGTCTTAGAGTATTCATATAACTCTGTTCTCTGCCCATGCACAAACCAACCAATGAATCAAGAGAATGTCAAACAAGAAAAAGAATAGTGCCCTCCAGGAATTTCGTCAGAGTTTCTATCCAACATGTAAGGAACATGGAGGGTATTCATGATATGCTCAAAATAGAATCTTCTGTTAACTAAAATCCAGTGATAAAAAATCACCTGTATAGCCTCGGGACTTGCATATGTTCGAGGACATTTCCAATGGTCCGCCCCAACAAGGCAGAGTCTGGCGCTTTCTGAGTAATAATCAAATCCCATATCCGCGATTAAATAGCAAATATGTGCCGCAATTATCTGATTCATAACAGTAATTCAAATGTCATGATAAAGTCTTCCATGAAGTAAACAATACAACAAGGCAGATAACCACCTCTCCCCGTTCTTTCCATATGTTATCTCCAAGGTTAGTAATCACAAGCTCATCATCTACGGTTCTGTTAGCAGTTATTATACCCAAATTCTCTTCCCAATTGTCAAGCATGCACTGCATGCTACTACTTCCAATCTGAATTTCAGGAAAACAAAGAGACATTATTAACAAGCTCCCTTTGGCAAAGCTGCAGAAGAAAATATGTACTTTAAAATCTAAGAGTGAACTAGATCCTTGTAGTAGGAATTGTCTCTAAGCTACATTTTCTGTCAACGCATTTCTAGTTTTTTTTTTCTCTGCACATTGTCCGGCAGAGAAGAAACAGAAGGTTCATGAATTACCTGTGGTTGTTGTTGAGGCACATTTACAGAGCCAGGAAAATGGACATCGCCTGTACTTCCAGTGGAAAACACTTCTTCTGGTCGTCCTGCAAGCAGCAAGCACAATGTTCGTAAAGGTGACCCTGGTATCAGATGGCGAAGAGCCATTTGTTTCACGGTGTCTACATAGAACTGCAATTTAAGACATCAACCATGTCAGTCAAACATCAACGAGAGCGAAATATCTTATCTATAGCAATCAAGGGAAAGGTACCTGATCCCCAAGTTGTGCTGCGATAACAAGTGCTGGTCCCCATAAATGGCCTTCTTGTGCACATTGTAGAGCCTCCATTTTTCTACCAGAAGCTAGAAGATTCTGAACTTCTGAAGCAGTTACCTGGGAAAATCTTCCACATGAGTTAATCAGGAAAAACAAAACTTCTTCGAAAGAGTATATGTGATTTTATGTCAAATACTCACTTGCATTTGTGATTCAGGTGGTAAATGCTGCAAGCATTGGCTATAAGGAGTATAACCACCATTTTGGATGCCATCTTTCTTGGCAAATGCAAAAATTTTGGCGACTGCTGCTTCTGCAGTATCTGTCTCCTGTTTCAGTGTAAATACCAAGATGAGGAAGTTGCAACCTATACAAATGTTTCCTTTTAAGAAAATAACTGACAAGACATCTCATGAATTGCTCACCTTTTGTGATGCATCAGTGCCAAAAGGAGATCGGAGTTTCCCATAATACTGACAAGATATTCTGAGCACAGAAAGAAGCATCTTTAAGAGTTTCCCTCTTGAAAAATTCATGTTGGAAGATTCACAATTTAATAGTCTCTCATCAATCCACTTATGCAACTCTTTACTTCCAACATGTCCTCCTACCAAAGGACCTGGAAGAGATTGTTGATGCAGACTACGGAAGTAGCTCAAAGAATCTTCCCCAGGACTTGAATAAGAGGCACTCCCAGAAATAACTTCTGCCAAGTTTAAGACAGATACGGCGCTTCCCCCAGTTCCCTTTGAATTCAAATAGAAAAAAGATCAGCAGGAAATTTCAATTGAGGTTACAATTGGACAATATATTTCATACATGTTTAATGATAAGCATCCAAAATTAGTGACAGTTCTACGTTAGTTTGCATAAAATTCCTAGGGTGTAAAATAAACTAAGGAAGATCCACACTTAAGGACTAACCTGACTCCCAAATGATGAATTCTGCAGAGGACCATTATTATCCTTCATTACAATGAGCTTCCCACCAAACCCAAAATTAACAATTGCATGTGGTGGACGCCCATCAGATGATCTTCCTGCACTTGGGGAGAAAAGCTGATTGGTCTGAAATGACTGTTGAGCAGCATCTACAGATTGCTGTCTACTATAGGAATGGTTTGAGAAACTCAACGGTCCATTCTGCGTGACACTAGCCACATTCATATGCTGAGGGATGAAGCTCTGAGCTCCAACCGCATTTTGCCTAAGTTCTGCCACAGGTTCTGAACTGTACAAATTATCTACATGCTGGTTTCCTCCTAAGCTTGATAATGAATCAGAAGTTCCAGCCGACTTAGGTTCACCTGCATTTACTGATTGCCAAGTGTTTGTTGCCTGCTGATTGTTGGCATAGTAAGATTGGTCCCAACTTCCGTGTTGGCTCTGAATAGCAAAATCTTGCACTTTGAAAGTCTGGTTTTTATCGTCAACATTATACATATTACTCTCGCTATTACTTTGATACATAGCTGTAAGAGCATGACCATTCTGAACATGCTGATCATGAGCTTGACCTGTTACAGATGTTTGAGAAGCCTGGTTGTAGCTGTCCAGAGACCGCCATTCTTGAGCAATTGTGTCATAGTACCATCCAGGATACTGCGCGTCAAATACCATGTGTTCTGGATATCCATTGTCCACTTGTGAAACCTGATTCCAAGTAGACACACTGTCAGTGGTGCCAGCCACTGTAGATGCTGTACTCTGTTTCAGATAGGCAACATCCGAGTTATCAGTAGCAACGTTTTCCCAGTTACTTGTTGAGTTTATATAACTCTCCTGTGAATTGGCGCTTGCATCATGACCATCAACTTGATACCATTGGCCAGTACTTGCATCATATTTCCATCCAGGATATAGATTTTCCCAAGATTGAGTGTTATCTACATACTGCCCGCTTGCAGAACCGAGGTGCACTTGACCCTGGTGTTGCTCAAACCCTGCCGAATGATCTAAACCAACACTTGTGTTCTTTGTATCATTAGATACTAAATTTCCCCCAGTGGGCACAGCTACCTCCTCCTTTCCCTGTACATTTCCTGCAGCTCCATCCAACTCAGTGAAGAAATCAGAGTATGAACCAAACCCACGACCATCATTGGCAGATGAATCCGCATAAAACGAGCCCCAATCAACCTCCTTAACCCCAGGACTCCCAGATCCATCGACTACCTTGCTTTCTTTTGCTGTATCAGGTAGTGGGAAATCATCAACCTCCGATCTCACCACATGATCCTCCTTTAACTTATTTGCATCACTGTTGACAAATGGAACAGCTTCCGCGGCAATAGATGAAGGCTCGTCTTCTGCCACGGAACCACTCGTACCCTCGTTTGCAACATGGTTCCCCACAACTGCTTCGTTCAATGCGACATCTCCACCAGCCAAAAAATCGTCAGCAACAGAGAGATTGGCAAAAGCTTTGGCATCATCAGAGTCACTAGCGTCGTCGAATTTCAGCTCCTTAGCAGAGGATGAAGCGTGAATGGCGGTGGGAGTATAGGAATCATCAACAAGTTTATCGAAGAAATCCTCGTCCGTTTGATCCTCCAACAAGAAATCAGGAGTCGAAGCCATCAACCAATTGAAAACCGGAACCGAAATTAAAACCCTAACCCTAAAACCCCACAAAAATCACAGAAAGAGATGGATGGATCTGCAAGCTTCTCTCGCGAGAGGATCAACTGCAAAATCCAAGTTAAGATTTAACAGAAGAGGAAGAGGATCAAATAGAGTAGAGTGGACACAGAACGATCCAAAATCTAGAAAGGATTCGTCGGTGATCTCCCGGATCTAATCTCCGATTGAAACTCCGATTAGTCGGTGAAATCTTCGAGATCGACTGAGAAAAGGGATAGAGAGAGAGACTCTTTGATTTTTTATTTTTTTGTTTGGAGATTCTCTTTTCCGAATTTACCCTTATATGTATAATTTGTAAACACAAAATTTAATTATGCCATAGGGACGATTATGATGAGCCCATAATGAATCATATAAAAATGGTATTTTTTATTTTGGTAAACGTAATGACTATTGACTTTTCGCGTAATACTATTGACCGCATCACTTATTCAAAATATTTCCTATGTCCAAAAACAGAAATTAAAAGTTACCTTTTCATAACGTTTTACCAATAATAAAATAAACAGAGAGTAAAAAAAACAATAATATTGATTAAAAAAATGTTACAAACAGACAAATTAATATTGAATAAATAGATCAGAGAAAATGATAGATTGTGTTCCATTAATGATGATGATGATATAACTATTAACTAGAGCATCTCGACTTTATATGTTTCTAACTGTTAAAAGGTTTTTTTGGTTTGAATTAATTTTACATTCGATTCATAAAAAAAAAAATATTCACAGCCAATTTAACTTATGTTGTTAAAATCTAAGTTCACTAACTTTTTACAAAAAAGAATAAAGTATAGGTTTAGTGTATTATACATGTTAATTAACTTTGTAATCTTTGGCGTTAAAAGATGATTAGCTCTAACTCGTGAAGAAAGAATAACATATATACTATGAATGAAACAACAAACTTGTAATTTCGATATGATTTGTGACTTCACCCATCATCTTCTATCAATGCTCTGCGAAAAAACAATATCAAAACGTACTGAACATAAATGTATGTTGTTTATATATATAGCTTTCTATTTTCTCCGTTTTAAAATGTTCACTAGCATTTATATATAAACTAAATCCAACTCTCTACCATTTCCCATAAACTGATAGAAGAGAAGAAGAAGAAGAAGAAGAAGAAGAAGATGAACAACAAACAAACACGATCAAGACAAAAGAGGCTTCTTAGAGTCGTACTCACTCTCAAAACTCTCAATTTCTGAAAACCCTTCTTTGCCTTTAGCCCATAGCACCAGGTATAGCCCTACGAACATCAACACCATCCCTCCCACACTGTAAGACAATCAAAATGTTACCGCTCACTCCGAACCTTTACAAGATATGTTTGAAGTGTTGTGTGAATGTTTTTACCTTCCAAGGCTTACAGACTCTCCTAATGTAAAAACGGAGAAAGCAACCGATATAACGGTAGCGAATGGACTAAACATTGAAACCAGAACCGGTCCACGTTTCTTCATAGCCCATCCATTAAAGCTAACACATGCTCCACTCACTGTCCCTCCCTGCCATTACATGCATGTAGAGAACAATCAACTTATAAACCACTTATGTTACGTGTGTGTATAACCCATGAATGATCCATCTGAAACTTTACCAGGACAGAATAACCAACGAGGTTACTGAAACTAACAAATGAAGTGGCAAGTACTTTTGCTTTCCGGTTTTGCAATAGAAGTACCACCGTTGTTATCAACACTCCTAGTAATGCCGTTATTGCACTTAACGATATTGGTGCCGGAAACTCTGCTAATGTCGACGCCTGCAATAACAGCTTTTGAGAAACTATACCAAACTGGCTATGATGATTGGTGAACCCATGTGTATACTTACCTGAAGGACGACGTTGGTTGATAAAACAAAGACGGCTCCAAGAAGGTATATACATCCGACGACTCTGTCTCGATCAAACACAAATTCTGAAGCATTCTCTTCTTCGTTAAGTCTTATCGAAGTGCTGTGCATTAGGCTCATTGTTAAAGCGCCAAACACGCACAACAATGTCCCTAAGATCTTCAATTTGCTGTACACGCATTTCAGGTTCATCTTCTCTAACCTATCCATAATATTAGAAGACACACTTAATGTTGGAAACAAAACGACGAAAGGTTGCATGTTAAACGCACAAGGGTTTCTTTAGTTATTCACCCAACCATCCAAGCTATGAAAAAAATGAGACCAGGAGCCAGATTAGGCATCGCTGTTGCCATTGCTGGTGATGTCAACCTGATTCCTTCTAGAAACAGAGATTGAAACAGGGTAACCCTGTTTTTGCATATTCACAACAAAGACATTGCGCCAAATTCAAACCCACGTTTCATACTTTTCAAACAAAACAAAAGAGAGTAAATGGGAGGGATGATACTTACCCAGCAAAGGCGATCAAAACTAGCTTACCAAACAGCCTCAAACTAAGCTCATTTGGCCATTGCTTCCTTTAGAACAACAAAAAAAACAAAACAAACCATTGACTATGGTGAAAACACAAGTTTTTGTTTGCCTAGGTTATGTGAAAAGGTCTATAAGGCAAACCTTTCGAAGAGAATGGCGAAAGGCGAGAGTATTACGAAAGTGGCAAATGTAGAGAAGATGACAATGGTGAAAGGGCCGAGACCGAGTGACATCAAATAACTCATGAGCAAAGAATTGCCAGCGTATACGAATTGAACCATAACTAAACCTCCTACTATCACCATCTCTTCTAGCATCTCCTTCTTCATCCTCTCCTCTAGGAGATTGAGCACCGGTCGATACAAATTTAAACACAGAAACTGCATGGCAGGAAATACATCATATGCATAACGAGTTTGGATAAGATTGCAATACATAAAAGATTAGAACAAATGAACTATTCTCTCTATCTCTCCTTTACCTTCATCCAGACAATATCTTTGGAATCACAATCATCTTCCTTTCTCTCTCCCTTTTACTTTCTCATTATATTCCTCAAGTTTTTGCTTCTGTAAGAAAACAAACCCTCCATTGTTATTACACCTATATTTGTTACTTTCCAAATAACTTTCATGTCTATTTTAAGCCATCTTTTATCCCAACCTTCAATCTCTTCTGCAGTCTTCCCCAAATTAAAGATTCATTTTTTTTGAAACAAAATTTACCAAAGATTTGGACTTTTTGATTATATGATACATTCATGGACCAATCTGTCTAAAAGGGTAAATATCAAATGCTAAGATCTGTGTCGAATAAACTTACAGCTTTTCCGACAAGAAGCCATGTTAGTTCCACTGCCTCTTCGAACTCATGGACAACCATAGTCCCTGCTCTGGCTCGGTTTGATTCCATCGGCGTATTACGCGCTGCCGTTGAATTGATCAATGACGGTGAAAAGCCAGATGCTTCTCCACTTGTTCACTTGCTCCGCGTCTCCGGAAACTATGGTTACGTTTCTTTGTGTCAGCAGCTTCATGGTTACGTCATCAAACATGGGTTTGTCTCAGATACGCGTGTTTCCAATTCCCTGATGAGGTCTTACAAGACAAGCGACTCGCTGGAAGATGCTCACAAACTGTTTGATGAAATGCCTGAACCAGATGTCATTTCTTGGAACTCTTTGGTTTCTGGTTATGTTCAATCGGGAAGGTTCCAGGAAGGACTCTGTTTGTTTCTCGAGCTCCACAGATCTGATGTCTTCCCTAACGAATTCTCTTTTACAGCCGCTTTAGCTGCTTGCTCACGGCTGCGTTTCATGAGACTTGGAGCATGCATCCACTCCAAGATTGTGAAGCTTGGCATAGAAAAAGGAAATGTCGTAGTGGGTAATTGTCTAATCGACATGTACGGTAAATGTGGTTGTATGGATGATGCAGTCTTGGTATTCCAACACATGGAAGAAAAGGACACAGTTTCTTGGAATGCCATTGTTGCTTCCTGCTCAAGGAACGATGAGCTCGAGCTGGGACTTTGGTTTTTCCACCAAATGCCAAATCCAGACACTGTAACGTACAACGAGATCATTGATGCTTTCGTCAAGTCCAGAGATTTCAATAATGCCTTTGAGGTTCTATTAGATATGCCAAACCCTAATTCATCGTCATGGAACACAATATTGACCGGTTATGTCAACAGTGAGCAATCAGGAGAAGCTACTGAGTTTTTCACAAAAATGCATTCGTCCGGAGTCAGATTGGATGAGTACAGCTTGTCAGTAGTTCTAGCTTCCATCGCTACTCTCGCTGTGGTTCCATGGGGAAGTCTTATCCATTCTTGTGCCCTCAAGCTTGGCCTAGACTCTCGAGTTGTTGTTGCAAGTGCTCTTGTAGACATGTATTCCAAATGCGGCATGTTGAAGGATGCTGAGGTGATTTTTTGGACTATGCCTAGAAAGAATCTAATTGCATGGAACGCAATGATCTCTGCATATGCTCGTAATGGTGATTCAACCGGGGCAATCAAGCTCTTTAACCGATTGAAACAAGAAAGATTCATGAAACCTGATCGGTTCACATTCTTGAATCTCTTAGCTGTTTGCTCTCATTGCGAAGTTCCAATGGAAGTCACGCTTGGCTACTTTGAGATGATGGTCAACGAGTATGGGATAAAACCAAGCGTAGAGCATTGCTGCTCTCTTATCAGAGCTATGGGGAAGAGAGGAGAGGTTTGGCAGGCAAAAATGGTAATTCAACAATTCGGTTTTGGGTATGATGGTGTGACTTGGAGGGCATTGCTTGGTGCCTGTGGTGTTCGAAAGGATCTGAAAGCTGCAAAAGTAGTCGCCGCAAAGATGATAGAGTTAGGGGATGCTGATGAAGACGAGTATGTATACATAGTGATGTCGAATCTTTATGCTTACCATGAGAGATGGAGAGAAGTTAGTCAAATTAGGAAGATAATGAGAGACAAGGGGATTAAGAAAGAAGTCGGCTCTAGTTGGATTCAAGGACAAAATGTAGCAATACAGCTTTAGAATCCTTTAAGTTTGAGATTTTGGTTATTTAAACATAATGTTAAACTAGCCTTGGAATCAAACATGAGGCCAGAATCTGGGAGATGAATCGAGTAAAAAGTTGAAATTGCATTACATTTTTTTCTTCATTAATCAAAGAACATAAGTTTGGAGTAACAAACAAAGAACTTGTCTTTAAGTTTACGAGAAGAACTTCCCTCCCTCAATAGTAATACTCTTCATGAATGTATCAGGTCACCTTGGGACTGAAAGGCCCATCTCTACAACAGTAAGCAGAAAGAGAAATAAAGATTAGGACAGAAACTGATATTTACAAAGAAGAGAGAAAGATAGATGCTTTTGGCTTATTGATTTGGTGGTAAGAATCTTGGAAAATGTTACAGCAGATCAGACCAACAGTAAACTAGTCAAGCCATATCATCTAGAATAGCTTCCTAAAATCTAAATTATCACCAAAGCATTGTTGACAGAGCCCACCTTTAAAAACAACTGCAAATACGTCTCACGTGCCATCGATTCCATCTGGGACAAAGAGCACTTTTACAAATTACTACAGAATCTTTGCCACTCTTACACACAGATCATGAACTAACTTCCCTAGACTGGCATCCATAGAAAAGAAAAGCAAGAAACAAAATGACAATCTTAAATTCCACGTATTCCAGGATTTATCCTACAGCTTGTATTCCAATATTTCATATGGATTACTAGAACTCAAAAAAGGTTCGTACTTGATAAAGATGCAAGGATCCCACATGGTAACGGTGAAATTATGTGCCTGCATGAATCAAGTACTCATAATTAGACGGACACAATGGCACTAAAGCTCAAAACTCTATCACAACTCTAGGCACTAATTAACTCAATTAATATAGTTTTACTAGGGTCAGTCCTGTTGTTATGAGTCAAACATTAATATCCACACTAAAATAATACAACTGTTTCCCAAAGCAAAAAAGTCATATAACATAAACAAGGAAGAAGCATGCAACAAAAATACACTCATAGAACTTGCAACATATCATGTAAGCAATCATAAAAAAATTACCATATATATATATATATATAATCCTTATTCTCACAGCAGTCTAACGTCCTCACATGTAAAGGACTTGTGAAGGTTTAAGCTTTCTAAGTCTAACCAACAACACTGACTGATAAGACCAAAGGGCCCTGTAATAACTATGGACGATGTGCAATACCATGAAAGGAATGAACTTTAATGTGAGCTCAGTCATTTAAGTAGAGAAATCAAGACTAGTGCAACATAGAATTACAAAATGTAAAGACACAAAGGAAGAATCATCAAATGTAGAGAAGAAAGCAAATAAATAAATAAAAAGCTACTCACAAGAAAGAAAGCAGAAAAGAGAATTAGAGGTCGGGAGAGGTGCAGCAGAGAGTACCCTGAGAGAGAGCTCGGCTGCTTCTGGAAGTTGTGCTAAGGCAAGACGTCAACCGAGCAGCCGCTACTGTGCTGTGAAGTGGTAACAAAGACTGAACACAACCAAGCTCAGATGGGCACCTACATCATCAAACATTAAATTCATCAAATGAAACCCTAAAGCGAAGAATTAGGAACATTACAGATCAATGAAATGACAAAATGGGAGTGACATTTTTGACCGAGTAAAAACGAAATTAGGCGATAGAGTTCATAAAATAGAGACCTCGAGAAAGAGAAGCGTGGAAGAGGAGAAGCAGCGGGTTTAGACGGGATACGAAATCCGGCGGATGAAGCAGCCGGTGAAGATCCTGTGCCAACAGGGGAATTACGAAGCGAAGATCTGATGGCCGATCTGAGAGACGAGACGGAGGATCTGCTCATGATTCTAGAAGCCATTGCACGAAGTATAAGATAGAAGCCGGGAAAAAAAAAAAAACGAAGGGAGATCGAACTTCCTCCACAGAGGTTTTATAGGGTTTTAAGGAAGGACGGAGTAACGAAGAAGACGCCGGAGGATAATAAATAAATATCGCTGTGTTTTTTGTTGGGTTTGGAAAATCTTTCAAAAATTTTATGGGCTTAGGCCCATATATTGATAAACAGGTCCACATAATCTAAATCTTTGAGACTAGTGAGAGAATACTACGTCTACGTACGTGCCAGCCAAACTTCTACATATCTCATTCTCCTAAATACAGAATATGATAAAGAAGTAATATATATATGTGTCATCCGTGCCTAAACCTTTTCACTAAATTAACTATTGATTAATCACTCTTTTGATGACCAATCCAAAATAATAACATATAAGGTGTGGGATAGGAATTGGGACGGCTAAAAACAAATGAAAAAGGCAATAAATCACTTAAGAAAGATAATTTAAATTGCCATCATATCATATTATCATGGTGGAGCTGGAATTAACACCTCCTCCTATCAATATTGTATTCAGAATCATACACTTTTCGGCTAAATGAAACAATTTCTATACTTCTATTATCACTAAGTTTTTATAAATCACCTTTTCTCAATGTGTAGTGTATTATGGGCAAATCACATAATACCACGTTTTAATTCTCTCTTCTTCTTCTTTTTTTTTTCTTTAAATAAAAAAGGATTAACGTATATGATGAATTCGTGAAGCCCTTCTAACAAAAGAAAGTTTAAACAAAGTTAATCAACGCAAGATTGTAGTTTTTATCTTCTTCACTTAAAAATATCTCATAATTTAACTAAAGGAAGAAGATAACCTCGAGATAGTATAATTCTATGAGTATATGTAACATTTCAATTCTAAAGTCATAATCGTAGGTAGCTAGTTAAAACTTGATTTTCCTTTTTTATTATCTTAGTGAAATAGTATTCTAAATCCACCAACTCTTAAGAAACAAAAAAAAAAACAAAAAACAAATTGGATTTAACAATATAGTATAACCCCTAATAATATTTTAACACTTTCCTACTTATCTAATCCAATACGAAAATTTTAAAAACAACAAAGACTAGTAAACACAATAAGACCATTATCATTATTGGTGTCACACAACATATTTAATTTAAATGCGGGAATATCAAAGTGCCAACAGAAGATTCTTATCCTTACATGTTTTTAAATCCCAACATTAGTTGTCACTAATCTTTAGCATGTTTTAAAAACATTTGCTAATCTTCGATTAATCAATTGAGAGGCGGTTTGGGCGGCACCCAATAATGATCTGCCACGTACTATGTGCCCCATCGTTGTCGTCTCCTCTTCGCTATATAAAACAAGAGCCCATACAAAGCCCAAAATAACAGAGAAAGAAGAAAGAGCTAAACCAGAACCAAAAGTTTTTTCAAAAAAAAATGGTGAAGATCGAAGTTGGAAGTGTGGGTGACTCATTCAGCGTGGCATCTCTAAAAGCTTACTTGTCTGAGTTTATAGCAACTCTTCTCTTCGTATTCGCTGGCGTTGGCTCTGCTATTGCCTTTGACAAGCTAACCTCTGATGGAGCCTTAGACCCAGCTGGTCTTGTAGCCATCGCTATTGCTCACGCTTTTGCTCTCTTTGTCGGAGTTTCCATTGCTGCTAACATCTCCGGTGGTCACCTTAACCCAGCTGTCACTCTTGGCCTTGCCATCGGCGGAAACATTACACTCATCACAGGTTTCTTCTACTGGATTGCTCAATGTCTTGGTTCCATCGTCGCTTGTCTTCTCCTCGTCTTCGTTACCAATGGCAAGGTACGTATACTAGTAGCTTACGAGCGGTTATTCTGGTTTGCTTCGGTTTGCATCATGAATATCAGTTTTTTAGGTTACAATATTTAGGTTTTTTTGTTGTTTGTTGCTTACGTTATCTAGCTCGATCGTAACATTTTCTTACCGAAACAGAACATGCTTCGGTTTGCATCATGAATATCAAATGATTTGTTTCCCGGTTTGATGCATGCAGAGCGTACCAACCCACGGAGTCGCAGCCGGTTTAGGAGCGGTGGAAGGTATCGTGATGGAGATCATTGTGACCTTTGCTTTGGTCTACACCGTTTACGCAACCGCAGCTGACCCAAAGAAAGGATCGCTTGGAACCATCGCACCGATCGCTATTGGTTTCATCGTTGGTGCCAACATCCTCGCTGCTGGTCCATTCAGTGGTGGCTCCATGAACCCAGCTAGGTCGTTCGGACCAGCTGTTGTCAGTGGAGACTTGTCACAGATTTGGATCTATTGGGTTGGACCACTCGTCGGTGGTGCACTTGCCGGACTCATCTATGGTGACGTCTTCATTGGTTCTTACGAAGCTGTAGAAACCCGTGAGATCCGAGTGTAATTATAAACGGGTTTTGTGATTGTTTGATGTTTGCTTTTGTTTGGTTGGTTTGATGTTTTGTTTGGTTCTTTTATGTTTGGTGTTCAGTTTCTTCCAAGATTGTATGTTAGAGAAACCAAAGAAAAACAAAGTCATGTCTTGTTAATAAGAAAATGTATATATTCCACCACTTGATGGGTTTTTTTCTTTTCTTTATAATATGGTTTTGTATAACGTGACAAGTAAAAACAATGATAGCAGTATAGAAGGTAAAAGAACAAACCAATAGCCGAAGGCCATTCGAATTTTTGAAAAATGAACTCGTGGGGAGTATCTTTATAGGAATACCAAAAGTGTTATGACTTTGTGTAAACTACAATTATAACAGAAACTGGTCGGGAGAGTCACGAACTCTGTTAAAGTTGTTCAGTCAAATCTTCTCAAACTCAAAAAGACAAGACAAAGGCACAGCTTCTGGCTCTTAAACCAATGAAAATGTCCCCACAATATCCTACCCCTTCTGTCTTATTATGCATATTAAAAGTTCCATGGTTTCTCTAATCTATATTTTGTGTCCATTTGATGAGACATTTCCTGAATACATGGACTCTGCACAAAGCACAATTGCATTGATTTGTGTTCTCTCCGTCTCTCCCAACCTTCTTGCCTTACTTATATCAGAACGTGGGGACTTCACTAGTGTGTTCGATAAGATTTGAACAATTCCAAGTTATTAAAGAAAAGAGTTAGTGTTTGCTTACTGCTGATCTTCTCTCTCTCACGAACTTGAGTCAACATTAACCTTCATAGTGTAAAGTTCTTTCTTTCGCCATCTTGGATTTTCTTTGACTCTGAGAAGGAAATGGAAGGTGCGTTTTATTCAGATTGGAATGATACATCTTCATCGTTATTCGGATCAGAGAATCTGGAGGAAGACTTGGAGGAGGGAATTGTGAGATCTGAAGATGTATTCTCTCAGATTCCTCAGCCTCAGACACCAAAGGAGCCAATGAAGTTCCTGTCCAGATCATGGAGTCTATCTGCTTCTGAAATCTCCAAAGCTTTGGCGCAGAAACAGAGACAACAGCGAGTTTCTGTGTCCCAGAACAGTCCTAGAGTCTTCTCCCAAGATGTTTCTGCAGATCCACTAATGGTATGATCCCTTCCAGCTGATGCTCATAATTTTGTAGTTTTCCTGAGTATTCTTGATACTGTTTCAGCCAGACACTTTCACTGGTTATTGAATTCTGATATTTTTTTTTATGATTCTCTGGTATTTGCAGGCAGAGAAGATCATGAAATCAGCTGGGGCACGCAGATCAGGAAGATTATCAAAGTGGTTTCACCACAAACAACACACCAACCAAAGCAACATGAGGATTCTAAAGAAAAAAGATAAAGCGCGGGTGGAGAATGCCCATGTTCAATCAGCTGTGTCCGTTGCTGCTCTGGCAGCTGGGTTAGCGGCTGTGACCTCTGATGAAAGCTGCAACAAAGAGTCAAGCTCCACGATGGCACTGGCTCTTGCCTCAGCAACAGAGCTACTGGCTTCGCACTGCATTGAAATGGCTGAACAAGCAGGTGCCGATCACAACTGTGTTGTTTCCAAGGTTAGGTCTTCTGTTGATATCCACAGCCCTGGAGATCTCATGACTCTCACAGCGGCGGCTGCAACTGGTAAGAGTATTGTTAAAAAATTGGTGTTGAGGCTATGGCTGGTTTAGTAAGATGGCTTTTAATCTGAGTTTGTGGAAAAATGAATCAGCATTGAGAGGAGAAGCGGCTTTGAAGGTGAGGCAGCCAAAGGAAGCAAGGAAAAATGCAACTATCACACCTTGTGAGAGGAGCTTCTCAGACTCTCACTCGCTTGTAAATTGTCAATTTAGAGTGAAAGAACCAAATTTTCCTCTAGAGGGCGAACTGGAGCAATGTGCACGAAATGGTAAACTATTCTTCTCAAATTCTGCCTGATTCAAGACTAGTTCCACTAGTTAAGATGCTTATAATACTGAACTTTATCAGCAGGAGTACAGCGAATAAAGCGAGCCTGTGTCTATATCAACAAGAAGTCTCAGGTACTTAAGCAGTCTGGATTTAATCTGTAAGAGGCGCAAATTTATTTGCTTATCTATACTAGTTACTTAACCTTTATGAATTCCTCAGGTCATGATCCAACTCAAAAGCAAACACGTTGGAGGGGCATTCTCCAAGAATATCAAATGTAAGCATTATCTATTCTTTCAAGAGTTAGGAAAATTACCTGTAACAGGAAGTCTGAAGCTTGTTATTGCTTTTGAAGGTGTTGTTTATGGAGTCTGCGACGAGATATCTGCATGGCCTTACAGGAAAGAGAGGGAAAATTCCGAAGAAGTCTATTTTGGTCTGAAAACAGGGCAGGGTCTTTTAGAGTTTAAGTGTAAGAGTAAGATTGAGAAGCAGAGGTGGGTTGCTGGGATTCAGTCTAGTCTCCGGAAAGCAACATGCCTCGAGGCTGCCAAATGCTCTCTGGAATCTCTGAGTCTCAGCGATCGCATGCGATAGGGAATCCTGTATATACTTACTATACCCAAAATTTTCTGCTGCATATGAGTCATCAATCTTACAGAGAATTGGTATAATACTCTCTTGAATCGTTCATAAAAAAAATCAGATGAGAATCATAGTCATTGCTTTTGTAACTAGAATACAACAGTCTTGTTTGTGCCATAAGGTAATACCCGTAGTTCGCAGTATGATTTTATAGCTTTCGTGAGGCATTTTTTCTCTAGGTCCTCGGACTTCTGGACAAAGCTCCTTAGGTTGTCTCGGTGGGAAACACTCTCAACCTGAAAAAGCCAAATTCAGACAGAGTAATTAAGAAAGCTGCTGAGTACATTGATAATAACAACCTTCTGAAAATACTACCAATTAACTATATGGCAAATGAGTTACCATTTGTTCAATGATAGGCCCTGAATCCAGTTCCTCGGTAACAAAGTGACTTGTTGCTCCAATTAATTTGACACCTGCATCAAATGCCTGCAAACAATCTAGAATATAAGTGGCAAAAAACAACAAAATAACCAATTACGGGAAGGTAGAGCCATGGCAAAGCTCAATGACCTGTTTTGCAGGATTTCCGCCTTTAAATGATGGTAAGAGACCATGATGGATGTTGATTACATCCTTTCCATAACCTTTCAGAAAGTTACCGGACAGAATCTGCCAAAAGGAATATGGTATGAATCCATTTTTTTGTAAGTGATTCAAGTCTTGGTTAAAAATAGACAAAGCAACTAAGCTGTATGCAATAATATTCATCTGAAGGCTGAACATAACTGTTACTAAACATTTGATCAAAGAAGGATACAAAAAATGTTAACCTGCATGTATCTTGCAAGAACTAGGAAATCAGTATCTCTAACCAATTCCAAAATCTCATCTTCTCTTTTATTCTCTTTTGTTGTAGCTACATAATGATATGGGATGCCATGCCTCTCAAGAAACCGCATAATGTGAGTGTTTGAAGCTCTTTCATGGTTGCTAATAACAAAAAAAAAAAAATTCCAGACCAGCAGCGTAAGTATTCGAGACACAAGACACTAGACATACATGCTGAGCTAGTCAGATGAAAATAGGAACTTATAAGCTCACCTTATGACACAGGTAATATCCACGGGCAGCTTCCCGTCCTGCCATTTGTGCAACATTTCGACAAGACAATGATCCTGTATATAGAATTACATACTATTATTAATCAGCAGTGAATACAAAGAGTAGAAAAAGAAGGAAGTTGCTAACATTCAATACCTGTTTAGAGAGTAGAAGAGCTATCTTATACTTGGGATCTATAGAAGGCACACGCACAACCGAGTTCAAGGCACCATATGCTTGCGCAATGGTTTGAAAATCTTCATCCACTTGGTTTCTCGGCCACTTAACCGGATCAAAGATAAACTCGCTGTCAAAGAAACCATTTTTTGTTTTTCAACACAAAACATAACCTTTCAGTCGATTCATCTTCAAAGCTTAGTACTTTAAGTCTATAGCTTTGAGAAAGTTACTTAAAAAGGAAAGACTTTGAGTAAAAAGGAGCAAAAGTGGTAATGAATAATACAATACCTGCGGGAGTAGAAGACATTTTTGTTTTCAGGAACAAAAACATCGTAGCCAAGTATGTTACCGCCTTTGGCTGCAATACAATCTGATAGCTTTGCTACAATCCCAACAGCATCCTATCATTCAACCCCCAAGTAAAAAAATTAGATTCAAGATTCTCCATCAACAGAACAAATCCAAAAGGAGTGAAGTACCTGACAATGGAAGACATGAACGCCAGGAATGAGAACAGGGGAGACAGAGGAATCGAGGGACTCGCCGTGGAATCGAGACGATTTGAGAAATTGATTTTTAGCGAATCCACAAGCTCTCTGGGAGATTCGTCGTATCATGATGGTCTCCCAAACCACTCTCACTCTCCGCTTCACCGCGACGAGAGAGAGAGAGACCAAACCACGGTTCCAATCCCGATTCCCCCAATGGATCGCCCCACTCATCCATTTTTTTTTGTCGTCCCGTATCTTTCTTTTCTTTTTTATTTTAATTTTTTTTAATTAATATAGTAATTGAGCAATTAAAGAAATCTTTTACTCTGGTGAAAAGAAAATCAGGCATTTAATATAGAAATCAAGGCCCAATAAGCACTGGAGGTTTGTTAAAAAAAATAGAATACCAAATTTACATATTTTCAAGAAAATTCAATTTTATTTTTTGAACAAATAAGATATTATTAATACACAAAATCAACATTTTATATTTTGATTATTCTGAAAACACTTTTATTAAACTTCCGGCTTAATTATATAAAATTTTAGGCATGAAATATATAAAAAAATATGTGAATTAGCTTTGAAATATGTCAATAATGGTAAATTAAATGTTTTTTTTAAGAAAGGAAAAAAAACAGTGGTTTGGTTTATACTAGGTAATGTCCCGCGCATATGCGCGGGTTGTTGTATATTTATTTAATTATTTTAATTTATTTATTATTTATAAAAAATAGATTAAATAAATTTTAATGCTTATAACATTTTTACATGTTATTTATTTAAATCATACAATAGAAGCATACATTCATATCTTTTGAATTTATTCGTTGATTAATTGTTGAATTAATCAATTTTGATAGTAATTTTCTTTAGTACTTTTAAGTATTTTTAATAAAACAATAATATTGTTAATGATAAAAATAGGAATGATATTGGGAGAATTTAAAAAAATACCCCTTTAAAAATATCACTTTTTAAATTTACTCCCTTTTCAAACTTTATCAAAACAACCACTAAAAATGTTGAAATTTATCCAAATATGTGTGTAAACTTATAAATATACACAAAAATTACCTTTATTTGTGTATAAAATTTTATTTATTTCAATGTCTTACAAATTGGTTTGAATATAACAAAAACAATATTTTGTTAAAATAATTACATACTTTGAAAATAAAATTAATATACATGAATATGTGAGAAAGAAAACATATAAAGTAAAACAATGAAAATGGTTTATTTAGCTTGATTTTCTTATGGTGCGATGATCAGAAATCAATATTTTTGAATCCTATCGATAAAGTAATTTCCTTATAGCCATAAAATATTATTATATATATGTATTATACATTTAATAGTATTAAAAACAATGAAAAAATGAAGAAGTACATAAAATAAAGAAGAAATATAATTGAAAACAAAAGTTTTAACCAAATATATAATCATGCTCTTACAATGATATATTAATTTAGCTGTCAACCCATGCAAGAGCATTAAAAATTAAACAAAGAAAATATTGAGAATATCAGATATGGTGGAGGATGATGTAAAAATGAGTATTTATAGGATAAAATATGATGTAAGTTACAATTCTAAAATAATTAAATCAGAGGAGTTATAATTATAATTTATAGTGTGTTAATTGAAGTTAAATGGAGGAAACAAATAGTCAATTGAAACGTTATATAATTTAAGTTACAATTTAATAGTAAAGTGTGGATTTCAAGTATGAATTAAAGTATATGACTAAATGTGTTAGATATTTGGTTTAATTAAAAATAAATATTATAATTAGAAAATAAATGCTAAATGGACCAATAAGGAGAGAGTGAAACCTTAAAAATTCCCAAGAAATAATTTTATTTTTAATCTCTTTTTATATTCCTCTTAATTTAAGTTATATTTCTAGGTTTAATTATATTTTTCATCCTTGTAGTATATATAATAGATAGGAAATTGAATATCAAAATTGTATTTTAGATAGGAAATCAAGTATAAAATTCAAAGTTAAAACAAATTATAATATTCTTTGTATTATTACATGTTGAATCACAAATTAAATATAAAGATCATTATTCTTAAAAGAATGTCTTACAAATTGGTTTGATAATTATATAACGATAAGTTTATTTTGTTAAAAAATTACATACTTTTGAAAATAAATTAAATATACATGAATATGTGAGAAAAAAACAAACATCTAAAGTAAAAGAATGAAGATGGTTTCTTTATCTTGATTTTCTTATAACCATAAAATATTATTATACATATGTATTACATTTAAAAATATAAAAAACAATGAAGACATAAAGAAATACATAAAAACAAAAAATAAATAAAATTGAAAACAAAAGTTTAAACTAAATAATTAATCAAACTCTTATAATGATATTTTAAATGAGTTTTCACCCCATGCAAGAACTTAAAAAAAAAACAAAGAGAATAATGAAGATATGAGATATGGTAGAGAAGGATGTGAGAATGACTATTTATATGATAAGAAGTGATGTAAGTTACATTTTTAAAATAATTAAATTAGAGGAGTTATAATTATAATTTATAGTGTGTTTAATTGGAATTCAATAAAGAAAACCAATAGTCTTTGGAAATTTATATTATTTTCAGTTTCATTTTAGTAGTAAAGTGTGAATTTAAAGTATGAATTAATGTATATGATTAAATGTGTTTTTTGGTTAAAAATAAATATTATAATTTAAAAATAAATACAAAATGAAACAATAAAGAGAGTGAAACATTACTTTTATATGTATGATCAATAAGGCTTATAAAATTTGTTGTATGATATATGATTAAGTCCTTTCATTTTCTTTGCCATTTGATTATAACTTATAGTGTAATTAAATTTTGTATTGAATGATTGTTATAAACATTTATTTATTTATTTATTTTGTTGAATTTTATATGATTAAGTCTTTTCATTTTCTTTGCCATTTGATTATAATTTATAGTGTAATTAAATTTTGTATTGAATGATTGTCATAAACAATTTTTTTTTTAAAAAAAAAAAAATTAAAACCTTAAATATTTTTCCACCAATAAGGAGAGAGTGGAAACTTACTTTTATATATATCATTCCCCACAATAAATGGGCCTCAAAAGATAAGATTGAATAAATTTTATTATTTAATGGAAATTTTGCTGTGGGATTACAAAAACACGATACGAAAGAGAGAGAGAGAGAGATAGCTCTGAGTTCAAACCCTAGATTTCGAGATCGATCTCTCTGCTTTTCTCGTGAAGACACAGCTTTCAGCTCCTCGATTTCTATGTTTATCTTCTAGATCCTCCTTTTCACTCTCACCCTAGATTCATCTCGGGTTTTTTCCGATCCTGTTCTACCGGAGCTTGGAGCTACCGGATCTCATGGAGTGAAACCTGGTTATTTCGCGACGTTTTTGTAGCTGTGAAGACCTTCGGAGAGGAGATTTGGAGACATCAACGGCGCCATCACAAGCGATCTACTCGATTTTTGATTCAATCACGAACGTTCTCTCGTGCTTGAATCTGTAAGAACTTGTCCAGGATTTGTAGATTTGGATTGGCACGCGTGGAGAGGTTTCTTCTGTGGAGTCGAATCAGGCGAAGTAAACATAATAAAAAAAATTGAATTTTTAGGTCTTTTTTTTTTTAATTCGTTTGTATTTACTTTTATGTTTTGGAAATCAAAATCTCTGGCCTCGTTTTATTTTTTTGACCAGAGGCCTTGATTAGGGTTTTCAAAATTTAAGTAGATTTGTGTTGTTGTGTTTGAGTTTGGTGTCAATTTCTTATAATGATCTTTACAAGTTAAGTAATACATATATATGTATTTTGCTTTTATATCAGATATACAAAATTTCTCAATGGCAATTTATTACAAGTTTAAGAGTGCAAGGGATTATGATACCGTTGCCATGGATGGTCCTTTTATATCAGTCGGTATTCTCAAAGACAAAATTTTCGAAACTAAGCATTTGGGCACTGGTAAAGACCTTGATATTGTCGTCTCCAATGCCCAAACTAACGAAGGTTTGTATTCTACGTCACATTTTTGTGTGTGTGTGTGTGTCTCTCTCTCTCTCTTTGATTGTTCTCTATATGTCCGATGTTAGTTTGCTACCTGAACTTGGAGTTGTTTATTGTCAGATTCTTTTATGGTCTGTTACCAAGTCAAGTGTTTTCGTTTAGTTGCTTTGGTAGTAATTGGCTATATGGTTGTAGCTATCACATACTCAACTTACTTACATTCTCTGTTCTAACTTTGAATTTACTAGTTATATATATATACTAGGGTAGATTTGTCTTGGTTGATACTTTTGTGAACTATTAGGAAACAGTTTGTTGGAATCTGATTCCATAGATTCTTAGGAAGCTTTAGTATAATGTGTCTCGCCAACATGTTTGCACTCTGTGGCCGTTATATGTTCTCTGTTTTGAATTTTCAGAGTATCTGGATGAAGCAATGTTAATCCCAAAGAATACATCTGTCCTCATTCGTCGGGTTCCTGGACGCCCTCGCATCACTGTTATTACTACCCAAGAGTACTTTCTCAGATCTTTAGTTTCTATATTCTTGGTCTAATTAATTAGCTATCTATCTTTAACTCGACAAAATACCAAAAAAACATTGCAAAATTACTGCTCCTACTTTAGCTAAACATAAGTCAATTGTCTGACTATTAGATTTTAAGAAACATTGGGATCCTCATGCGAAATGATGCAAATATCTTTACTTTGCAGGCCTAGAGTTGAGAATAAAGTGGAAAACGTTCAGGCTGAAACCACTAATATTCCTGTTGCCGATCCATCTGCAGCCAAATATGTAAGTTAATTATAGTGAATATTTCTTGGCATTTGTTGGAATGCCTGCAACCAGTTTTGATCCTAATTTTAATCCTGATTCACCCTTTAGCCTGAAGATGAATGGGACGAGTTTGGGACTGATTTATATTCGATTCCTGATGCCCAAGAGGCCCAGCATATTAAGCCAGGTCCTGATCTTGCACCAGCAGACGAAAAAGTAGATGAAGAAAGCAAAATTCAGGCGCTCATCGACACTCCAGCACTTGACTGGCAACGGTAAGCAATCTTCCAGAAATGGTGGAGGTAAAACTGTTGAGTTTGTGTGAAGGTTTAACAGCCTTCTTAATTTTATTCAATGTAACAGACAAGGTCCAGATACTTTTGGGGCTGGGAGAGGTTACGGAAGGGGTATGACTGGAAGAATGAATGGACGTGGTTTTGGTAATTTATACTTCCTTTTATTCTTTGATTTTCGTTGAATTCTGGAATGTCTGTATTAACTTCTGTCAAAAGGTCTTATAATTTTATTTTTTATTTGCATCAAGTTGCAAATTACTTAGTTTGGTTTTATTGGCTTCTATAGGAATGGAAAGGAAAACACCTCCTCCGGGATATGTCTGCCATCGTTGCAATGTCCCTGGTATGTCAGCTTTGAACATTATTAGTTTTCTCTCGCCTTTGTGTATTGATAAATCATAGATAAAAAGTGTTAAGAGCTTTCTATTTACTGTCTCAGGACATTTTATTCAGCATTGCCCCACTAATGGTGACCCTAACTATGATGTTAAGAGAGTTAAACCACCTACCGGTATCCCCAAGTCCATGTTGATGGCAACTCCAGATGGTTCTTATTCCTTGCCAAGTGGCGCAGTTGCAGTTCTGAAACCAAATGAGTACGTTGTGCTGAACTAGTGTGGGGATGTTGCTATTGGTACTTCTTCACATATATTAATTATAATTTTAATGTTTGTTGTGCCTTCATCAAATTCAGGGATGCTTTTGAGAAGGAAATGGAGGGATTACCATCAACAACACGCTCTGTAGGAGAACTTCCGCCTGAATTAAAATGCCCATTATGCAAAGAAGTAATGAGAGATGCTGCGCTTACAAGCAAATGTTGTTTCAAGAGCTTCTGTGACAAGTGTAAGTTCTTCTTATGCATTCTGCTGTTCCACAAAACCCTTTTGTTGATTGTTGCCAGTTCCAGATATACAGATGTATCGTTTTTCACTTTTTATATGCAATTCAGGTATCAGAGATCACATTATTTCAAAGTCAAGGTGTGTTTGTGGAGAAACTGATGTCCTTGCTGACGATCTTCTACCAAACAAGACCCTCAGGGATACGATAAACCGTATTTTGGAAGCTGGAAACGATAGCACTGAGAATGCTGGCAGCGTAGGCCATATCCCAGGTCTGTCATTATTTGAAATTCATGTGTTTTTGTACTTTGTTTGATTAGTCCTCACTGCTGAATTATGACGGACATAATATAGATTTGGAGTCTGCTTGCTGTCCAGGTCCGAAGGTTCTATCTCCTACTACATCTGTTGCATCTAAAGGGGAGAAGAAACCAGCACTTAGTAACAATAACGATGCTTCAACCATAAAGCCACCAATGGAAACTGCAGAGATCACAAGTGCCCCTCGGGCGTCTGCTGAAGTTAATGTGGAAAAGCCAGTTGATGCATGTGAAAGCACTCAAGGGTCCGTGATTGTGAAAGAAGCAACTGTTTCAAAGTTGAATACGCAAGCCCCCAAAGAAGAAGTGCAGCCGCAGGTTGCTGCTGGAGAGCCAGGTAAAAGAAAGATGTCTTAATATTAACTTTTCTGGACTTCGCGAATGATTTGGGACTAGTGCAGCTCAGATTTTCCGTTTCTAAGATTAATCAAGATGGACCACACATGCATGAACTTCTTTTTTTCAATGAGGAAACAAACTCTAGTTGCCATTCATCAATGTAATATGTTATTTTTGTTTTATACAGGAAAAAAGAAGAAAAAGAAACCTAGAGTGCCTGGGAATGGTAAAAGCTTTTTTGCTATGCTGAACGCCATTCATTCTCATTTTCAAAGTCTATGTGAATCAAAAGGGAGGTCTAAAAGATGGTTTATTTTTTTGTGAATTATTGCAGACATGCAATGGAATCCTGTGCCAGATCTAGCAGGCCCTGACTATATGATGCAAATGGGACCAGGGCCGCAGTACTTCAATGGCATGCAACCAGGCTTCAACGGCGTACAACCAGGCTTCAACGGCGTACAACCAGGCTTCAACGGTGTTCAACCAGGCTTCAATGGCTTTCACCCTGGCTTCAATGGGTTTGGAGGGCCTTTTCCAGGCGCAATGCCTCCATTTATGGGTTATGGATTAAACCCAATGGACATGGGATTTGGTGGGGGTATGAACATGATGCATCCAGATCCATTCATGGCACAAGGATTTGGTTTCCCTAATATACCACCACCTCATAGGTAAACCAACCAACACTCACTTAATGCTCTCTATCAGTAAAGCTTTCTCAATAATAGTCTCATGATTGAATTATGTGCGCATGCGCAGGGATCTAGCTGAAATGGGAAACCGCATGAATCTCCAACGCGCCATGATGGGCAGAGATGAAGCGGAAGCCCGAAAAGCTGAGATGTTAAGAAAACGCGAAAACGAGAGACGAACCGAAGGGTAAAAAGATACACAAACAAACTCTTATCTTTTACTAGACATATTAAGACTGAAGATAGTAATTCCAAAAGCTAAACGTGGGCTGTGTGTATGAAACAGTGGGAAGATGTTTAGGGATGGAGAAAATAGCAGAATGATGATGAACAACAATGGGACTTCAGCCTCTGCATCATCCGTCAACCCTAACAAATCTGTATGTCTCCTTTTGTTGTCTCATCTTCCTCTCTTCTTCTCTCTCTTTACTAGTGTAGCTTCGCCTTTTCATTTACTATTGGTTTTTATTTCTTACGATCAGAAAATGGCCTCTAAATTTCCCCCATTCATTTTGCTCATCAACAACAAAAACACTTTTAGGAAAAAGAAAAAAAAAAACTAGAATTATTATCAGGAAACAATGATTTTTTTTTAATTTCTTTTCAAAAATGTAATTTTCTGAATTATTTACAATCTGAACTATATAAAAAAAAAAGAAACAATTAAACAATAATGGAGAAAATATTAAAAGAAACTTTAAAGTAAAGCCTCGTATGATTCGCGAGAGTCATTGGGCTATAAAGCCCAATTAGGTATTATTTTGAGGCCCGAGTCCAGTTACATTTATATTATTGTTTTAATGTTGGGGTTAACATATGTTTTACAGAGACAAGCACCTCCGCCTCCGAATCACGACTACGACCGTCGGCGGAGACTATCCCCAGAGCATCCACCACCGCGTAAAATCATCTCCCCGTCGCGCGATTCCAAGAGAAAATCTGATCGTCATCCCGAAGAAAGAGATGGGCAACGCGACCGTGAAAGGTCTCGTCATCAAGACTTAGAACGTGAACACGACCGCACTCGCGACCGTCGCGATGAAGAAAGAAGCCGTCACCACCGTGGTGATTCGGAACGCAGCCAGCATCAGCACCGGAAGAGATCGGAACCTCGTTCATCGGAGCCACCAGCGACAAAAGCAGAGATGATGATTGATAACAATAGTCACAAGTCAAGCGTGTTCGCTCGTATAAGCTTTCCGGAGGAAGAAACGTCTTCCGGTAAACGAAGAAAAGTATCATCGTCTTCATCGGCGTCAGTGACGGATCCGCCAGCAGCCGTCGCGGTGGGAACATCGGTCCACCGACACAGCAGCCGGAAGGAAGTAGAAGTAGCGGACTATGAATCGAGCGACGAAGACAGGCATTTCAAGAGGAAGCCGTCAAGGTACGAGCGGTCACCACCGGTGGTGGTTGCAGATGTGAGTGAAGATAAACAACATCATCATCATCATCATCGATACTCCTCCAAACGTGGCAAGGGAGAGAGATCCCGACCTTAGTCTTTTTTTTACGTATAATCGGAAGAAATGAGAATCTTCTTTACTCTTTGCTGTATGAACAAATCATCAGAGAGTTCTTTTGTCTATCATAAAATGCTTTGTTAATCTATTTTTGTAATGATTCCATTGCTTTTATCTTTCAAATCTAATGATATGAGAAATTATGTCTTCATTTTCACGATTGTTTAATTGATTATTCAGCTTGCTTCTATTTTTGTTTAAGGGACAACATGAATTACAGATTCAATCGTTGAATTGTTCACAATAATAGGTTGACGAGTTTTTGGAAAATCAACCACTGCTTCAATCCATTTTCTTAGCTATGGAGTCAATCTAATAGCATAAACCATTAGAAAGAAACTCTACAATTTGTTCGAATTCCTATTTTCTTATTTACGTTTTCAGAGCAATATCAAAGCAACAACAACACATGTGTCTGACTGAACCGACTAGTAAAAAACGAAAATAAAATGGTTTGAGCTGTGTGAGTGTGTATCATTCCTCGTTTTCAAAGTCCCCAGAGCTAATTTCAACAATTACAACGTTACTATTTTTGCTTGACGAAAAAGCGTCTCGAATTCTTTCTATCTCTGCTTTCAAACTTCGGTTAAGATTAACGATGATAGAATCACAGCGCATGCCAGGAACGCGAATATCGCTATCTGTATCAACAATTTTGGATTTTCTCTCATGTTTGGCGACGTCACCGACCTGTCACAAAGCTTATATTTGTTGTTAATTGTTACACAAAATCAGATTTTGGATTGGTGGTTGGTTTTTTACCTTGCGATACGCTGCGAGAGCCGATGAAATGGTAAGCTTTGTATGAAGACAATGCCTGGCCCCGTTAGAGTCGCCATTACTACGTTATCACCCTTTTGTACGTTGAAAGATTGCAACATATTATTAAACATATCAGAAATCCTGAATGAATGACATACATTTAAATGTGAGGGAGTGTGTAAATTATATGTACCCCGAATACTGCTCGTCTCAAAGGAGCATTGTATTTGATTTGGACATCAATTGAGGGAGTGAGAGCAGCAATGCAAGACACGTCAATGGTTAGAACTTCTCCTACCTCCAAAACTTTTTGTACAACTAACATATGTTTTGGGATGGTAATATCAGTTTCTTTTGGAGGTAATGAGGCCTAAACAGTAACATCATCTCATTGGGATAAAACCTCACCTGAGCCACCTGCGAGGATGAAAGCAAGACCTTGTCCAGATAGGCGTTGTCTCAGAAAACCCTGCAACAACAATTTGTGAGTAGAAGCCAGGAAAGAATTTGTGGGATTGGTAAGTATACTAATGCAAATTACTGCCCGTCTTACCTCAGCACCAGTGGCAACAATGTTTCTTGCCCTCTGGTCAACGGAGTTGACAACCTTCACATCATGGACGGAACAAAGGAATGCATCTGGCTACACAGCAAGAAGACAAGGTTACACAACTCTGTAGGAGCTTGATCTGTACGAGTAAGAAACTGAGAGTTAAGCGTCCACATTTAGGAAGAAAGACTCTACCTGGCATAATATCTCACCTCCAAACATAGCCAAATCGATCTACAGGAGAAACAAAACAAACAAGAGATCACAAAAACAATCATGATTGAGATCAGAGTGATACAGAAGACAATTAATGTCAACATGGAAAAGCTAAAATCACACTAACCGGGAGAATCCTAGCCAAATAAGGTGCAGCAATACCAACAAATCCATCGTTTTGTCCAGTATTCTTAAGAAGTATGCTGCTTACACTCTTGCCCAAAATCCACTGCAGAACTCCAGCTTCTTGTTCAGGAGTGTATGTATTTTCCATCTCGATGGAACCAGACATGTAGCACATGGAAGCTACAAGCACCACCATAACAAATTAGTTGAAGCAGTCTTACAAATTTGAATAGAGAAGTGAATTATTAAGCGAAGTACCAGGCTTAGCAATGACTTTCTCCTCTGACTTTAACATAATCTGCCAGCAGAAGACCAATGGTAAGACAAGTTAAAAAGTATATGGCCTTATCTAATAGCCACCAAATGTGAAGATCAATCTACCTGAACAACTTGGGATTCTCCACCCAAAATCTGGAAAGGTGTAACTGTATCCTGTTGACTCTGCAATTAACATGATCAACAAAATTGATATCAATGTCATAATCACATCATCTCAGAACACATCTATACAAATCTCTGCAATCACAACAGATAAAATGGAATTCTCTAACTCCTACTTACTACAATGGACCTCAGATACTGAGTCAAAATCATAGTGACATGATTGAAGAGAGAAGTAGTGAACCTGGTAAACATAAGGCTGAAATGGAGTTGAGAAGAAAGGTGCGGCCATGGTGGTGAAGACCGCTGAAGATCTGCAAGCAAAACCTCTGAAAGTGGGGGAGCTTTTAACCAAATTCGCGACAGATCAGCCAAGACTGACGAATTCTCCGGCCAATTTCGAAGGTTCGCGTTATAGAGAAACGATCAGATCACGAAGCAAGCCATATAAAATTCGAAATTGTTGAAAGAGTGGAGAGAGGTGCTCGGAATTTCTCATACAGTCGGCGACTCCACGACCAACGACCGATGAAATTTTGTTGATGGCTGGGATATTATTATTAGATGACACGTGTAGATTGATACGTGGAGAATTCTTATTGGATGTTACAAGTAAAGACACGTCCCCGGCGAATCATAAAGACGATGATTGATTCATTTTGCTTTCATATGTAAATGGGACATACGTGTAAATACCCGAAAAACTTGTCCCTGTTTCGTAATAAGCTTTGCAATTCCTATCAAATCCTCTATGCAACTTAGAGGGTCTATTTCCTTATACTTTAGCATCCAGACACTACGAAATCATTCTAGTTACAATCCTTTTGAGACCAAGAAACAAGATATAGAGGAATAAAAGCATCAGACACTTTTTGGACGCCATGACCCGGAGGTTGACTCGAACCCCGAATCTTTTCATTAGCTGCAACACCATACCACATACCATCACCATCCCTCGCAACAGCATCTTCGCAGCATCTCCAGCTCCGCTAATGCTTCTCACATCTTCCCCTGATACGTCAACATATGACACCGACTCTGAATTCTCTTTCTTGTCTTTGTTGGTCTCCGATTGGTTTAGCCCAAGACGATCATTGAGCCGGATTGAGATGTTGATTAGAAGCTTAGCCATCCACGCAACCTCATCTTCTGATATGGGACGGGTCATCCAGTCCCCTTTGTACTTCACACTGCCTGCTATTTGATTGCCAGCACCACGCGGCTTGAAGAGCTCGTCACGGTTCCTCTGGGGATGGTCCGGCTCTAGGGAAAAAGCAATTGGTTTTACAACATGCCCGCCAAAGAAGTTTGAAACCGCTGATTTTAGTGAATCTACACACTTAAGGGCCTCTGTGTTATTTTTATCGGATACAGTTTGCAGTTCGGCTTCTGCCCGTAGTATGAATAACTGCAAATGCAAAGAACAAAACCCTTCAGCACAGTTAACAAGTTTTAAGCTCCACTTGCCCCTGTGAGCTTTAAGGGTTCTCGTGTCGTATAAAATAAAGTAGAGTATCTGATACAAGAAAAAATGTGTGTAGCAGTGTAGATGTGTGCTCAGAGTTTATAATGCTCATCGATACAACTAAGGCACTGGAAAAAAAATATATCAGATAACTAGTTCTGAAATTGTTTTTATGTGAACAATTCCTCAAAAATACATTCCCAAGTTAATAGATAGCTCACAATTTTTAGATATCATCCAGCAATATTTTTAATCTTCTACTTTCTTATCCGAATTTATCACTACAATAGATTATAGAAGAAAAATATTAACCTGAAGCAGTTGTTGTCCGCCATCTTCACCATCACTAAAGAGTTTCAAGTCTTTGTTCCAGTTTTCATGCAAGAATGAACCATCAGCGTTGCTCTCACACAACCCATCTTCCCAATCCTAAAGTTCCACAAGCAGTTAAACATGATTAATCAGTATAGAGTGTGCATATTTGTGTCGGACTTTACAGTATTTTGTTAAACTTTTCAAGGGTGTTATGATGAAAAAAGCTAAGTTCCCTTTTTCATTATGAGATCCCAGAGAAAAGATAACAAATTAAGTTGAGGAGAAATATAGGCATACCTTCAACTGCTCACGAATAGATGGAGCAAATCTCGAGAATTCGTTCACTTTTGAATTTCCTGGTCCAGTTTGTTTGGTGTGATAGGCTTTATCAATATTCTTCATCAGAAACAAAAGCTCTTTTGACGAAGTCAATGCACTCATTACCTAATTAGAGAGACACAACAGTCACATTAAGTTAGAAACAGAAGTCTTGCAATCCATACTCTAAGAGATAAACCCATTGATTTGAGAAAAATAGCTTAAACCAGGGATCTAACCTTCAGAACCATCTGAGTTATTATTTCTGGATCTGTATGAAGGAACTTGTGCGCAAAGCCAATAAAATGCATGACCAGAGAACTGTAGTAGAGATAATTAGATATCACATAGCTCTGCCACAAAGACGTGTATCCACAATCGCGTAATTCATATGACTCTTCCTTTTTCACATCTTTTAAAGATCCATTTAAAGAAGCTTCAAGATCTGAGAAATCGTCTAAACTGATAATCCATGGTTCCAGGTACATAACCCAAATGGAGAACACCTGAGACGCATTCTTAATTGAGCTTCCTATGGGACAGAACAAGAAACTCCTCAAAATATAACGATAGAGCGGCCTCTGTAAATGAGTATTCCAAGAAGTGAGCGGTCTGAGGCTCAAATTGGCAACATGGAATGATGATCCTGAAGTCGGAGTCTTCCACCGTGGACTCTCGCCAGACTCAACGTAGTTTTCACTCCCAACACCACTTGTAACCCAGCTCAAATTCAGATACTTGACAAGCAACTTCACTACTTCTTCCAACCCACAAGTAGGTGGAATCTCCTCCACAGCAGAACGGAAAGGAGGAGCCACACCAAAAGATTTAGCCGTAACAACAGGAAACGGTGAGAAGTCATTCTCAACCAGCCAATAATGCACGAACACATTTACCAAGAACTCAGCTCTCGTCATTACTGACCCATCATACCCATGTCCGTAATGCAAAAGAGAGCTACGATAAGGCTGGTGTGCATTTAAGTCGAAAACAGGAACAAAAGCTTTCAGATATGAGTAAAGAAGCCTTAAGTAGATATTACACTCCAATTTCTGATCTGGGTCACGCTTGTTACTCCCTGGAAAACCTTTCATATGTGTCCAATTCTGTAGCCTAAACATATTTTTCTTTTGGATAGGAATCACAGATGAAGTTTCATTGTTGCCTCTACAAACCGGATAATAAGAGAGCCAAAACATGTAATACTCGAAAACATTTAGCCTAACTTCATAAGATGAACCCCGAAGTGAATCCTCCTCAATTTTGTCTTTCAAAAAGGGGCACAGATTAGATAACGCACTTCGATCCTTCTCGCTGGAGAGCATGAATCGAGCATACTCCGGTAAACGTTCCGTCGGGAAAACGTACTTAACAAGAGACAATTTATCAACAGCAAAGATTGAGCTCATGAGTATACCACTAGGGGATAAGAGAGCGAACACTCTTTCCGCTAAATCCAAATCGTTAGCCGCCGAGACTACATCGATCCAACCGTTCGGCCGTAACGACGGAGACTGTGCCGCGGTTGGGTCGCCGAAGCCGAAGATCTTACAGATTAAACTCGGAAAAGTGATAGAGAAGAAATGGCGACACTGATCAGGCGTATGTGCGTGAAGAAACGATTCAACGGAAGAGCAAGCAGCGGAGATGTTCGGCGGCGTGGAAGCTGCGAGTATAGTCGACGCTAGGTCTTGGGATTGCGAAAGCGAATCGACGGTGTACGAGTGTGGAAGCATCGCTAATTACGGCGAAGTACACAAAGCTCTGAAGACGAAACTAGGGTTGTTAACGAGAGAGAGAGAGAGAGAGCAAAAGGTATGCGCCGGAGAAGAAGAAGGGTTTGAAATGCGAGGGCGACTCAAATCGCGCCTTGTGAAGGGGAAACACACCAAAAGGGGACAAAAATATCAACACGAGGAAGAAAAAGGAGAGCGTTCCGTGCCACGTGGCATCTCTGTAAATCGCCGTGGTTACTTTCCATAACTGTGGACTTTTATTTTAACCAGAGAGAGTCAATCGGTGAACGCGGGAACACTCTCGATACTCATCGCCCTAAATTTAACGCTCCTGATTTTGCCACGTCATTAAGTTCCTTGAGGCCCATTTTGTACAATTTAAGCCCATCTGGCTTTTGGGAACTTGTTAATCCTCTCTACACAACACTGATCTAGAGCATTGGGCCTCAGGCTTACTCAAAGCAGCGAGCACAATATAGAGTCCGGTTTTAATCGGTTCGGCTTACTTTAATTTGCAATCTCAATCCGGTTAGTTTGGTTAGAGGATAAACAAAGTAAAACTGTATTTTATTTATTCAAAACTAATAAATTCTAGTTTTTAGTACACATTAAACGAAAATTAACGCATCCTAGAGTCAAAAATAAAAGCATACAGCAAAAAAATAATAATTTGTTTTTTTTTTTTTTTTTTCTCCCTAATGATCAAAGCTGAACTAAAACATCCTAACCAAGTTAAACAACCTAACAAAGCAAATCTTATTTAAGTTACTGTTGTAAACCAAGAACTAACCTTAAACAACCCCAACCCAGAGACGAGATCTTCCTGCAATATTGTCATTTTTGACAGTCACTTCCAAAAGATCTTTACAAAGCGTGTATCACGCTTTTGATGTCTGAACTATCAGAGCTAGGGTTTGGGTGAAATGCTGATTGTCTTGACGATGATCCCCCACCTAGCTTCAGCGAAAGAGACTGATCGGTTTCTCCATTCTTGTTGGACTCTGCAAGGCTAAGCTTTGACATACCGAGAAGCTCATCAACATTGATAGGAGCTTTCGAGTGCACAGCAGTTGGTCTGAGAATCTCATGAGTTTCCTCTTTCTTGGGTGGTTCAGGAACGTAACCAGCAGGCCATATTGGGAATGGAAACGGGTAATATGGTGAGAAGTAGGTTGGATAGATTATGGGGAATGAGCCAGGTAGTTGTTGTTGCGGTTGTGGTTGCGGTTGTGTAGTTTCTTCTAGTCTGGAAGCAGAAGAAGAAGCAGCAGCAGCAGCAGTTGCGGCTGGTTCCCCGGTGGTAGAGTTTGTGGAGTCCATGGATTCACATTCTTCAATTTCCAAGATTGATGGAGCTTGATGGGAGCTAGGAGCAAGTGTCTGATGAACGGAGTCAGCGCTTTGCATTTCTGTTTCCACAGGAATGTTCTCTCCTTCCGGTTCTTGCAAGTCCATCGGAATATCTCCAGCCTACAAGGACAAATTAGATGCATAAGCAGAACAATCAAGATCAAATTTCCATGACAGCACCAAAATTTCAATGCTTAACCAAGGTTAGCTGCAAAATGGTACCCTAAAGCATATCCATTAGAGCCACAACACAAAATCCAACTTATTTGGTAATACTCTAGATTCCTATCGAAATGTAGAAGACAAGCCAAGTCCCCCCTACGGATCACTCAATATCTAACTACTCTGATATCAAAAAACAAAAGAAAATGTGCATAAGACGAATCAAATAAGTGTTTGTGAATGAAGAAGGAATATACCTCATCAGGAACCATATCAAAGAGACTAGAACGCCTTTTGCGACGAGACACATTGGATTGTCTGATAAAGTACTTCTGAGCATGGCTAGCAACTTGTGTTGGTGTCCTTGTAGTAACATAGTTCCTTGAGATACCTCGCCAATCACCTTTTCCCAGCTTCTGTAAACCTAATAAGAACATCCTGTGTTCCTCCTCTGTCCATGGAGTTCCTATATAAAAAAAAAACAAACCAAATCAAACACACAAATACATAAAACAATCAAACAATGCGTTCTAAACCAAATTGCATTGTTTAGCCTCACAAAACTTGATTGGCTAACAATAAATACTCTGATTACAATAACAAGATCAAGACTTGTAACATAATGCACAATCAGTGACTATGATGCAAAATAAACTCATTTCCCCCACGGATTGATTGTACGGATGATTGAAATGACTTTCAAAAATTGGAATTTGAAAAAGGAAATTAAAAAAAAAGAAAAAAGAAAAAGAGAAAAAAGGAGAAACCTTTCTTTCTCTCGCGGCTAGAGGAAGAGCCAGCAACGAAATCCTCGGAAGCATAACCATCACCAGGGACATGGTCAGGGACATCACCCGGAGAACCCGGAGTATTAGACCCGGTTCCACCATGACCAGCTGATCCGGAACCCGTGTAATGGCTAAGATTACCCATACTTGCACTTTTCCGGATCGAGCCTTCGGTGAGCCTGACACCAAAGAGCTTCACCCCGCGATTGGGACAAGTCCGAGAGTTGTGGCCATTGTGATTGCAGTGAGAGCAGCGACGAGTCATACCCGACCCGATTTAGGCTTTTCCTTCGAATCGGATCTGATCGGAGTCTGAAACGGTCGCGGATCGGATCTTAGCTGATCGCACAAGCACAGAATCTAATTGAGAGAGAGATAGAGAGACAAAGGAGCGGAAGAAAGAAAGACAATAATATCGGTTTATCTGGTGGTCGGATATATTACTTAATATTAATAATAAATTCTTTTCTTTTTTTTCTCTTCTTTGCTCTTCCTCTTCTTCTTCCTCTTCACTCTCTGTTTTATTTATTTATATATACAATCGGAAAATATTTTTGGTGAATCCTGTGTGGATTTTTTCCTTTTACATATTTCACATTGACTTATTAGTCAATGCAACGTGTCTACATTTGTTGGTTTATTTTTAGGAAAAATTATTGAATTACTTGAACTAAATAAGTCCAGTTATCTATTACTATTAATTACTATTAATTATTAATGGCTATTTTTGTATAAAATTTTTGAATGGTTGTATTTACAGGCTGCTATCTAAATTTTCAAAATTTTAATTTACTATATTAACAAAAAAAAAACAGCTTTTTTTTTTTTAACATGATTACAATTAATAGTATCTTAAATCAATTATATATTGATGGATACAACAAAATATAATAGCTGTAAGTATGTAACTGATGCATACTCTCTTTCTAAATAGACTAGTTAATTATGTTTAATGCATTTGTGATTATCCTAGTTGTCATATGCTGAATAAATTATAAATTCCCTTATATTTTCTGTTTACATAAGGATGGATATATATATTTTTTTAAACTGAAATAAGTATATATGTTATGTACAATTGCTAAGCACTCAACCAGAAAAAAAAAAGATTAATTAACAATTAGGGTGAATAATGTTAGCCACAAAATATTAATCACACTAAAAACATTTCAAGTGTCTTCACGCGTTCCATACATAAGAATTGACTAGATTTTTTAGAAGTTACAAACAAAATAAGTATGATGACATCTGTTGAATAAACATATCATTAAGTAGAAAAGGAAAGGGGGAAAAAAAGTAATTCAAATGTAAACATCCCCACACACATAAAGAAAAAAAAAATAGATATTTGTTTTTTTATAGATAGAGCCATAAAACTATTGGTTAGATTTTACTTAATAATCTTTGGAACTTTATTTAAAATATATAATTATTAGTAAAATAAGACCCATGAGTAGGTAAAATATGTTATCTTTAAGTAAGAGCTTTAGTTTCTTGCTAAAGATTATTACAAATGAAATATCATATACTAATAAGTGTTTTTTTTTTGGGTTAAATCGTCAAATACATATTAAAAAGGAAAGAATCTTATTCACCATTTTTATTACTTTTTTTTTGCAAACTAAGATTAGCTCAAATGAACCATTGTTATTACAAGAATCAGAATTTGTATTCACCAAAAAGAAAAAGAAATCAGAATTTGATGTTACTACAATAAGAAAATAAAAAAGGACGAAGGGTACAAGGAAGAAAGAAAAAACATTAATAACATATAGATGATGACGAAGATGATGATAGTAGTGTATAGTAGTAGTAGGAGAGGGAATAATAAAGTCGAGAGAAATGAGTGGATGGGTATAGTCATATAGATTAGTAGGTCCCACTTTCTCAAAAAAAGCCACGTGGACACGGCGAGAGAACGAACGGCTTATCCATAAAAGCATCAACTAGTTTTTAGTTTAGTTTGGTTTGGTTTGGTCTGGTCTCTCTCTCTCTCTCGGACTCGGGAGATCGATCGGTTCATATGTTTTAGGATTCTCTTCACAAAGCTTTTCTCAGCCGTACACGTGTCTTTCTCCCGTCGGTGGCATATTCGCATATTATTTCTTCTTCTTTGTCATCAACTCATCTTATAAAAAAAGGCTCAAATAAAAATGTTTTAGAACTATTATAATAGTTTGTTTCTTGCTATTTTTATCCACTTACTGTATATCTATATCTACCTTTCTCCAACTTTTATTTATATATATATTTTTTTTTTGCATGCCCGTGGACTTATTGTAAATATGTAATAACATTTTTGACAGAAAGCCAGGAAATCCTTATTTCCACTGAGGTCATAAACGTAGATCTTGGGCCAACCCAAATCTCAAGGCCCAAGTAATTCTGCTTCAAATCCAATAATCTTATGTATTGACCTTTCTCTATCACTCATGAAATGTTTTTTGTTTTCGGTGGAAACTGAAAATTCCCAAAAAAAAAAAAAAAAACAGAAGTGTCACGTTGTATACGAAATTTAACGGACTTTTCAAAATTTGGAAAACAAAGAAACAAAAACATTTAATGTAACATTCGTACAGACATGACAACATTAACTAGTCTGGAGAAAATAAACTATTTTTGGCCAGTTTTGTAGTAATTTCACGGAGAAAAACAAAAAAAGAGGAGGGAAATGGATATAGAAAATTATAAATTGTCACAAAGAAAAAAAGAAACAAGAAAAAATAAAAGATAACGGAAGTAGTAAATGCGATACAACAACCATAAAGTGAATGTAATTGAATATATATGTTTTGGCAGGCACCCCAATATACATATCTGATCAAACCTGGTCCTTTTCTTCTGGCTGGTCTATAATAAGCTACAGTGCTCTCAGTTCTCTGCATTTACTTCTTCATTCTTTCTTTCTTTCTTTCTCCTCTGCTGCTGCTTTTTGAATCCTTCTCTCCTTCTTTTTATCATTATTTCTCGCGTTCCATTTGAGAGCTTTCTTCATATTCTTGCTATAACGTTTTGGCTGAGATGGTTGGTTTGGATTTGAATAAAGCAGAGCAGAGAATACACACAGATTATTCTTGGCATTGCCTTGATTCTCATAATCATGGACGGTCTAAAAGGTACTCTCTCCTCTATCTCTCTTTTGTAGCTTAATCGTTTGATTCTCGTTTGTAGAACAGAACTGCTTTCTCAAACTTCTATACGATGTAAAACGACATAGAGACTACAGTGTTTTCATACTAACGCTTTACATTTAACTCTGGTTTTATGATATTCCCAGTGCGTCTTCAGAGCGAGATCTCCACGTTTCTAGTAATGAAGCCACACAATGTACTAATAACAACTTCCCTAGCTAGAATGCAAGTAAGTAAGATTGAGATATTGTATCTCATATATATGACAATATTTTTTATCTCTTGAAGTTGGTCCAAAGACATCATCATCTGCTCAGACAAGAGCAAGCAAGAAACCAAAACCTCTGCATAATCGTCAGATATTGATTAGAAACAATGCCTCTTCTAACGATAGAGCATCCTTGGAACGCGATGTGAGCACCACCTGTATCTTTTAACATGCATCATTATATCATGATGTCCCCATAAGTGAAACTTTATAATGTCAATGGTCTTTGCGATTTGACTAAACAGGTTGAGCAGCTTCACCTTCGTCTGCAACAAGAGAAATCTATGAGAATAGTGTTAGAGAAAGCAATGGGACGTGCTTCCAGCAGTTTATCTCCAGGGCACCGACATTTTGCTGGTCAGGTAAACACTTGAGAGTACTTATGCATTTTATTTCAGAGTATATAGAAATTTATGAGACTTTGAGTATATATATATGTGAATTCAGGCCAAGGAACTTATCACAGAGATTGAACTGTTGGAAGCAGAGGTTGCGAATCGCGAGCATCATGTGCTCTCTCTGTATCGGAGTATCTTTGAACAGACAGTCAGCAGAGCATCCTCAGAGCAAAGCTCAGTTATTTCTTCTCCAGCTCATCGAATAAAGCAGCCCCCAAGAAAACACCCAAGTGTTATTTCAAATGCATTTTGTTCCTCCAAAAATTTCCCTCCAAGGCCTTGGCATGCTCTTGTTACTTTTAAAGATTCAAGTAGAAAAACATACAAAGCAGATCAATCTTCTCAGTTCCAGAACAAACACTCTGTCTCTTCAACAACAAGTTGCTCAAGTCAAGCAAAAGTAAATATTATGACTTCTTCCTAAATTATAAGACTTCTTCTAACTTTTATATGTTCTGTTGTTGTTGCTTTTAATTGTTTCAGTCCCATTCCAAGGATTCAGTAACAGATAAATCCCCATCGCAAAGGACTCTAAAGGATCATTTGTACCAATGCCCAAACAAGTTGTCTGAAGATATGGTCAAGTGTATGGCTTCAGTTTACTTCTGGCTCTGCAGCAGTGACATGTCAGCAGATCCTGAGAAGAGGAGAAGATCACCAACCCTATCAAGATCGTCGACCAGCAATGTGATCATCCCCAAGAACATTATGAATGAAGACCGAGCTTGGTCCTGCAGATCCATGGTGGAAGTCTCTTGGATCTCATCAGACAAGAGAAGCTTTTCTCAAGCATCATATGCTATTAACAACTATAGGTTAGTCCAACAATAGTGATTTTTGTTTTTCCAAAACAAAGAGCATTTGATGGTTTAGATTACAAGAATAAAGCATGGTTTCACTCGCAGGCTCCTCGTTGAACAACTGGAGAGAGTTAGCATAAATCAAATGGAAGGCAATGCAAAGTTAGCATTTTGGATCAACATCTACAATTCTCTCCTCATGCATGTAAGAACATATTGATCTGATATAAAATCCCATAACCTTTGGTAATTCATGATTCTTCTATGAGTATATAATTAATTAATTAATTATATATCTTCTCTAGGCATACTTGGCATATGGTGTACCTGCTAATTCCCTCGGAAGGTTAGCTTTGTTTCACAAGGTACTCTACTTTCATTTCAACTAGAGGATGGCCCGTGCTTTCGCACGGATGATGTTTTTTAAACTGAAGATATAATTGGATTTGTATTAATATTTGGTATTCAATAGTATAGGATAAACATAATAGTCTTGTATATTTTAATTTTAATTCTATAGAGTTAAATCGCGTGTTGATTTGTATATTTTAACTGTATAGAAAGTAAATAATATATACAATAATAATTAGGTCTGGTTTTAATATAAGTACGTATATATTATATTTTCCCTAAAACCGTTAAATTTATCAATCACGGACATTACCTCAACGGTGTATAAGAAAATGCAATCTTTTAATATAATTTACAAAAATTGTATATCGGTTGAAAGATAACATAAGTGATATATAACAATTTCATAAATTTGGATAATCTATTTATGAATACCTTATGAATAAAATTTAACTATTGGCAAAAGTATATGATAAACTAATCTGCTAAAATGTTAACAAAAAAGGAAAATATGATAAATATTGTAATTGTAAACAATTTCAATATAAAATTTAATCTTTAATCTACTTGAAATAAGGTAAATTAAATGTTTTAAGTTTAATAATGTACGAAATATTTAAATTTAGAAATATCGACCCCGATCTGAACTGATGGAGATTTTTC